AAGAAATGGGCAATGTTTCTTTCACCCTGAATGCCCGTTACCTAGCAGTTAATAGGTACCCGGTAGTTAGTCAACTGTCACGGGCGGCTTCCTAAGGTGTGTGTGTGTGTGTGGTGTGGAAAAAAATAGTTAGTAAACAGTTGATTGAGAGTTGAGAGGCGGGCCGAAAGAGCAAAGCTCAACCCTGCAAACACAACTATGTGAATACAGTCAAATCATAACATAGAACAATAAAGCAATATAAAGAGTTTGGGCGTACTGGAAGACCTTACCTTTTAAAAAACACAATAAAGTAGCCATCACAACTACTTTATTGCAAGAAAAATGACAGGTTGGATAACAAGAACTTGTTTGTTGTGGTGGTGGAGTTGGTGTGTGTGTTGTGGTGGTGGTGGTGTTGGTGTGTGTGTGTGTTGTGGTGGTGGTGTTGGTGTGTGTGTGTTGTGGTGTTGGTGTTGGTGTGTGTGTGTGTTGTGGTGTTGGTGTGTGTGTTGTGGTGGTGGAGTTGTTGTTGTGTGTGTTGTGGTGGTGGTGGTGTGTGTGTTGTGGTGGTGTTGGTGTGTGTGTTGTGGTGGTGTTGGTGTGTGTGTGTTGTGGTGGTGTTGGTGGTGTTGGTGTGTGTGTTGTGGTGGTGGTGTTGTGTGTGTGTTGTGGTGGTGGAGTTGTGGAGTTAGTGATATTGGTGTGTGTGTGTGTTGATGATAATATTTGGTGGTGTTTGTGCAGACCGTTGGTTATCAAGGGTGGCTTCCCTCGCCTGCTTACGTCACCCCAATAGTTGCCATCGGCTCCTTGACTCACTCCTTCCCAACCCACCTGTATATCTCCTTCCCTACTCTCTCTCTCTCTCCCTCTCTCTCCCTCTCTCTCTCTCTCTCTCCCTCTCTCTCCCTCTCTCTCCCTCTCTCTCTCCTCTCTCTCTCCCTCTCTCTCCCTCTCTCTCCCTCTCTCTCCCTCTCTCTCCCTCTCTCTCTCTCTCTCTCCCCCTCTCTCCCCCTCTCTCCCCCTCTCTCTCCCCCTCTCTCTCTCTCTCTCTCGCTGTGTGTGTGTGTGTCTGTCTCTGTCTGTCTGTCTCCTTTATCTCCCCATGTTTCCCCCTTACCCGTTTATCAGTAATTGGATTAGAGTTTTTGTCTATCTTTAAGCACGCCCTGGGTCAGGCTCATTTAGTGATAACTTGATTGATCAAACTTTTGCTTGCAGAGACCCACGGGCCTATACACCCGATCTATTCACCCTCTCTCCCTAGCAGGGGTGAGAGCCAAACTGTGACAAGTGGAGCTCTACCCCTCTGGTAATTACAGAGGTACCCAGTCACCTCTGTACAATACCTGGTTGATACCTGGTTACCTGCTTGATGGCATTCTGGGAGTTGAGTGTTTGGTCCACCAGGCTGTTGCTTGGAGCGGCCCGCAGGCCCCTATATCCACCACAGCCCGGTTGATCCGTCACTCTTTGAAGAAAACTATCTAGTTTTCTCTTGAAGATGTCCACGGTTGTTCCGGCAATATTTACGCGTACAACAATACTGTTGTACTCGTCATATATTTTTTGTGGCCTCATTCTCTGGAAAAGTATTTATCCTTCAAGTGGGAGGTTGCTAATGTCTGAGGCAACTCTGGCTTATTACTTAGGCTTCTTGTTATAACTGCTAATATCTTATTTTGCTTGTACACGTCAAGTCAAGTGATTGTTGGAGGCAAGTGATCCATCTGCACCACGTTCACCACCCTCCACATAACTCCCTTACTCTACTCGACTGATGATTTATTAAATATGCAAGACAAGGGCTCACACAATTCTCTATATTCTTTAAGGATCCTAACAGATACTTGGTCTGGCATAGAGGAGACACGATCACGCCATACAAGATATTTTGAGGCATCTCTAATGTCAAACTTTGGGAGAGTTATCAGGGGGGGAGGATATGTTCAGTGTGAGGGTAGGAAGGTAAGTGTACTTCAGGAAGAAATGGTGGAGGCAAACACCTTAAAGGAATTATAAAACACACGGGACTGAGGATACAACAATTACACCATGTCTTTAAATAAAAGATGTAGCCTAGGAGCTAGAACTCGTTCCTGGCTATGAGTCAAAGGTGTAGGGAAGGCTGCGTAACAATTGTGCGTTAAGACATTTAGATAGGCAGGAACACGGGCGGGGCAGCGACTGGGACCAGACATTGGGCGACCGTCACTCCAGTGAAAATAGGAGACGTTTGAATTTATGAGAGAGTAAAGTAATAATGTTCGGAGGGTGAGGTTGGGAGGAAGGAGAATGGCGCTTGTGGCCGCCTCAAGGTACTGGAGAACTGGTTTATTATGGTCATCGGGCGTTGGGAGGCAATCGCTGACTTGTTGATAATTACCCTAACGCCATTAGTCATCAAAATCAGTTTGGCAGCAAAACCACGTGGTGTTAAACAATGTGATGAAGAAGGCATGTCCCAAGAGACGTCGGAAATGGCAGCCAGCCAGCCAAGCCCACCAGTAACGACCGGCTGACCCCTCTCTCCCTGCCCTTTGGTCCATTTAACGCTTGAACAAGGCGGGGCAATATAGCCTTGAGTCATGTTTACACTCATAATCCATATCCTGCTGACAATACCTAGTTATCTTTAATCACGCAACGAACATGATCCATCCATCAAATGCACGTAATAAACATGTCAAAGAAGGAAAACTTTCGTAAGGAATGCATTAGGCTGGAGACCTTGGCGAAGGCAGCTCTTGAGCCCAGCCTTCTCAATGAAGAGTGGGAGCTGAAGCACATAAAGGAGTGTATACATTTAACGGCTAATTGTGATGTTGGCCGCCTGCCAGGGATTACATTTTAGACCAGGTTCTCCCACGCTCATAACACCCACCTACTCCCCATTGTAAACATAATGCAGTATTGATATAATGATAATATTTGTATAAACACCAGCAATGTTGGCATCAGTAACAACAACATTGCTGGCACCAGTAACAACAACATTGCTGGCATCAGTATCAACAACAGTGTTGTTGCTGCCCGAAGCGCTATGCGTGTTAGTGGCTTTACAAGAATGTAAAATCATCATTGCTATGTACTCTCTTAACCCCCCTAATGTACCATCTTGTATATAAATAAATAAATTAATAAATAAATAAGTGATGGCATCAGTAACAACAACTGATGGCAACATTAACAACAACAATATTGGCATCAGTAACAACTGATGGTAATAGGAGGTTGAATATAGTAGGTTCAGTCAATTGAATCCTCTATAGATCCTGACGCATCTTGTGATCCCAAATAAGGGTTTTACACATTACCCCCATACACTCTGGTGTGGTCTAAAAGTTCTACCCCCCCCCCCCAATAGGGATAGAACTTAAAATGCACAAAGAAATTGTTGATATATCCAACCCATCCTCCGAATTGACAGTATGGTTTAATACTAAGTGTAATAAGTACATGTCCTCACTGTCATACATAGTACATAATTGCACTTATGGTGCTGTTGTATTTACCTCCCCATTTATTCGCCTCGTTTTCTGTTAAGACATTCAGAATTTTAGGATGAAGTTTTCCAGTTCAATTCACTATACACAAGTTTTAAATATCAGGAATTTCTTTTTTCAGTTTTAATAAACAATAGAGATTTTATACAAAATTTGAAAATAGGTTGAATATATAGGTTGGATTATGAGACCCTTCAAATCCAGGGATCCCATCACAATGCTCATACTATTAAAATCACGGATGGTGTCTTGCCTGGAGTACTGCTCAATGCAAACTCTCCTCTTCAGAGCAGATATTACTGAAAGAGAGGGAATACACAGAAACTATATAAAGCACCTAAATTTTTGGGATCATCTCAAAGCTTTCAAAAATGTACTCCCTAGAAAGGAGACGAGAGAGGTATTAAAGTACTAGTATATGGAAGGTACTGGAGGTCTCTCATTTGCATAATAAAATAACAACATACTGGAGTAAACAATGTGGAAGGAAATGCAGAATACAGCCAGTGAAGAGTAGCGGTGCCATCTTCTTGATGTTATCTTGAGATGATTTTGGGGCTTAGCGTCCCTGCGGTCTGGTCCTCGACCAGGCCTCCTTTTTTCTTTCTTTTTTTTACTGTTCATTGTGCCATAGGCACAATCAGAGAACAGTATGAACATCAGAGGTCTATGGTTATTCAACATCCTCCCAGCAAATACAATACAATATAAGAAATATTGCCAGAACAAAAGTGGATGTCTTCAAGAGAGAACTGGATAGTTTTCTTCAAGAAGTGCCAGACCAACTCGGCTGTATTGGATATGTGGGCCTGCAGGCTCCTCCAAGCAACAAACTATTGGACCAAACTCTCGAAAGTCAAGCCAAGCCCCGGGCCAGGCTTGAAGAGTAGAACAACTACCAGAACTCTATCCAGGTACACTCCAGGTATAGATGGTAACAATTACAACAATTGTTACCAATTGTTAAAAATTGTTCAGGTTACAATAACAACAGTGATGGTAACAGTAACAATAACAAGGAGGTTGTAGGTGGTAGTGTTACTGCAAAGCACAAGTAGGCTGCAAGTTGCAGTCTGACATATAAATCACAGTCCAGTTGATCAGGTATCTTTAGGAAATGTTTATAAAGGTCTTTCAACACTGAGAGAGGTCGGCAAGTTATGCCTCTCATGTTTAAAGGGAGATTGCCGAAAAGCCTTGGGCCTCTTAATGTCGATGAAATTGTCTCTTAGCATACTGATTGCATGTCTGCTTTTCAACAGGGTTATTTTGCACATTCTGCCATTCCTCCTGGTCTTGTGTAGAGTTAATTCCATGTGCAAATTTGGAACCTCCTTTAGATAGTGGATGTGGATGACACTACCTAACTGGTAAAAGTACATGGCCCACAGTAAAAATAACCTCCCTCCCTCTCCCCTTTTACCTCTACTGTATTACATTTTGACCCTTCCCCACAAAAATAACTTTATATTTTAGTAATTAGTGCTAATGTATTTTTGTTTTTCATTTCAGGATGAAGAGGAAGAAATCAAACTAGAGATTAACGTCCTAAAAAAGGTAAGGGAGGTGGGAAAACCTTATCCATTTAGAGACCGAGTGATGTATTCAATGGGTTTTGAATGTTCATATTATTTATAATTAACATATTACTGCACCTGATAATTAATACACTTGTTCTTCATATATGTATGTGTGGGCTTAAACACTCCTCCCTCAACCTTAAATACTGTACAGTATACAGAATAATGGCTTTGCTTCCATGCCAATACTCTGACCCAAATCTCACCACTTATCAATGGATAATGATATGTCTACTGAGGTCTGCTTGCCCACTGAGAGTACCAGAGTTTTACTCAATGCCTTACCCTGTGTTTGATTGCACCATACCCTTTTGACCCCCATCACCTCATCCCCATACTTTTTCGGCCCTTTCGTGTGTGTGTGTGTGTGTGTGTGTATATATTGTATATAATATATAATCCCCAATGATAGATAGATATCGATAGTTGTGGACCATTGAACTATATTTAAATAGTTTCATAAATCTCTAGTGTTTATTATATGTTGTTGATAATTTCAGTTTTCCCATCACCGAAACATCGCGACATATTATGGTGCCTTCATCAAGAAATCCCCTCCAGGGAAAGATGATCAGCTGTGGCTTGTGATGGAATACTGTGGGGCTGGCTCCGTTACCGACCTTGTTAAATGTAAGCTGGCTGGCTTGTCTTTTGGCTCATGTCTGGTGTGGCCAGGTGTACCATTTGCTGCAATGGTACACCTCTCTACTGGAGACCAACCACTTACCATCCCACTGTGTTACATAGTTTTCCTGGCCTGGTGCCCTTCTTTAGATAATTTCTTACCATCTCATTGCATAGTAGAAATAGTTTATTGCTTACCTTGTGGTGTTTCTGAAGATCAAACGGCATGTGTTATCTTTATGCCAATTAGGGCTGTTACTTCTACTAAAGATTTACCCTTTAGAGGTTTACCCAACACTGGCAGAAACTTCCCACTTAGCACTGCCTGGCTACAACACCACCAATTAAGTCTCAAGTCTCATGACCTATATGGCATTTTTCATAATTATTATTATAGCTTGCTCTCACCCCCTTCTCTCCCCCAACCTCCTTTGCTTTTTCTGCTGACCCCTTATAAATTTGTGCTGCTTTGCCCATTATCCACACCTTATCCTCTCTTTACATTCCCTAATACTTCTGTTACTCCAAATAGCCCCTCCCCTTCTAGCTAAATAAATATTTTTAAATGTAATAATTATAAGAAAAACAAAAGACCAGAGACATTGTATTAAACTGCCAATTGTTTGAAAGCTGGGGCTTATAAGCTGAGGTTTAACCCCTACAAGCACATCTAGGTGAGTGAGTACATTCTCCTTCCCCTCCTGTACCTTCACCCCCCCCCCCCCCCTTCATGACTATAGAATTTACTCCCAAGAAATCGTTGTCATCAGAGTTAGTATTGATTCATTTAATAATGCTGTTATATATTTATTTTTTATATACTGTACTTTACTGTTAATATATTAGTGACATACTGAACTTTACTGTTAATAAATTTGTGATATACTGTACTTTATAATTATTAATTGTATTATATGCATGAAGTTTTTTACCTTAATGAGAGCAGGATGACAACTGACCTAATGTAATTAGATATTCCCCATAGGGACATACTGTACTTAATTATTTTCACATCTTTCACTAAATGTGTGATATCTGAAGAACCACTTTATATATCTGCCTCAAACTTTTCTAGTCTTATGTAGGTTTTGGTGGTGCAAAGATCCCTTATTGTTAGTGGGCCATGTAGCTGCTTGGTTGTGGATTTCAAAATCAACAGGAATTGGGGAGGGGGACTTGACTGATATATGAAAATGAATTAGCGTAGCATCACAACACACAACACTTCAACTGATATTCCATACATCTTTGTTCATAGGAATCTTTGCAGATATTTGGAAAAAACAAACATAATTCCAAACCTTCAAAAATGATATGAGAGTAGACCCTCTAAATTATTGCTTGTGTCATTAACAAGCGTGGTAGTCAAAACACTAGAAAAAAGTTAAAACCAAATAGTTTGCATTTCCAATACTGTTATCCAACCTTCCACATTTCCTCCCTCTCCACAAACTACATCCACAACCATGTAACTATATACACTAGTATATAACCACAATCACCACCACTACAACAACCAGGAACCATGATTACAAACCCCCACCAATTACAACCACAACTACCATTCCCTGTAAACACTGATGGATTATGATGCCACACTGCAACAGTTGACCACCCTGCTAGCACACCACAATCTAACCACCACACAGCAACCATATCATCAACAAACAACCAGACCAACAAAAACAACCACAATATCAACAACACATCCAACACCACTACACTGAGAGGCATAAGTGACCCCCCCCCCACAAGTACACTTGAGCACACAAGAACGTACAACTATACAACACAACCACACCCAACCACCACTAAACATACTACCACAACATCACAAAAACTATTACACCACCATAACCATTTCCCACTCATTACAGCAGTGTGTATTTGTTACAGGAGTCAAAACATGTTATGCCTGTATTTCATGTATTCATTTCATTCCTTGAATTCATTACAGGACCCTGTAACTGCTGCATCCCCAGTACTCATTATATCACTGTATCCTGCAACATGCCAATCCAAGGATACCCCTCTTGATCGGTTCTAGTCAAAACATATCTAGTTAATATTTGTATTTAGTATTTTATACTGCTTTGTATATTTATTTCAGTTTATACTGAAACTTTATTTATACTTAACTCTTTCACAGCTCTTAACATGTGTGACACTGTTTTCACAGCCACCAAGGGCCAGAGTTTAAAAGAAGAATGGATAGCATATATTTCTCGGGAAATTCTGCGTGGTTTGTCTCATCTACATGCAAGTAAAGTCATCCATAGGGACATAAAAGGCCAAAATGTCCTTCTTACAGATAATGCCGAAGTTAAATTAGGTAAGTTGTGATCCAGTATTGATAAATGATGACGATGTGCAGATTCCATGTACTGTATGTGGAATCTCCACATCGAAATGTGCCTCGTACTTTTGTAATATATATGAATGGATGGATGTTGCAAACATATATCTTTCTTAAAGGTTGAGGAAGTCTGTATCTCAGAATGTCTGGCATTTATGTTAGTAATACAGTATTATGTTTCTTGTAAAACCTAAATCATTGTTGTTTACCATTTAATAAATACAAAATACAGTAGTGTTACACCCAGTAGTCTTCTTTAATAATACAGGCCCATATTATTATTGAATTTGCACAGTACAGTTATCTAAGTGTTCTTGCCATATATATATTAATAAGTTAGAGATGTGCATGATAATAAAACTGATAATTCCAATCTGCCATTAACACACAAACACCATTTCCAACATTGTTTACTATTGCTCAACTTTCCAGTCTCCAGAACAGCAAGTGTTGTACCTTCTCCTCTCACCATTTCAGGGGTTACATCAACAAAACACTTTTTCTCACAAATACCAAACTCCAAAACTAATCAAAATGTTTTAAAAAAAAAAATTTTTATCGTGTTCTTCCTTTCTTCTTCTTACAAAAAAATATTGCTCTATCTCCTTCCTTCATGTAATGCTTCATAATAGTTCCATACTTCCCAGTTAATACTCTACAAGTTTTATTTATCATTTGTTTTTAACCCATTAAATATATGTTTTTTCTGTATTTTTTTAGACTTTAAAGTTATGCAACCCGTTTCATATAAAAACAAATCAAATTCAGGTTTCAAGTACAGTATTTATATTTTTTAGTTAACTTGGTGATATATAGCATGTATATACATTATATACAGTACTGTAATGTGTCTGTGTGACAAAATTTGCGTTTCATTGCAGTTGATTTTGGTGTTAGTGCCCAGTTGGACAGGACTATAGGAAGACGGAATACATTTATTGGCACTCCATATTGGATGGCCCCTGAAGTTATTGCCTGTGATGAAAACCCCGAAGCAACGTATGACAACCGTAGTGACCTATGGAGTTTAGGTAATACAGTACTGTATGTGGTTTCTTGTATTTGTCATATTATGTTATTTGCTATCTTTACAAACTTACTGGAGAGAAAAATATAGTAGGTAATGCAGGCTAGACCTAGTACAGAAAATACAGGAACACTAGGAGAACATCAGTGGCCCATGACTCTTCACCCTCTCACAAAACACTATAAAAAAATATTACTGGAAAACAAATAGAGGTTTTCAAGAGGCATTTGAACAAGATCGTGGTGGGAATGCTGTAGCAGCAAGGTTGTAATGGATATATGAGCCAGTAATGGATATGTGGGTTGTAATGGATGAGTGTCACTGCAAGTAACACCCCTTACCGATCAAGTTATTACCAGACAACTCTTGCCCTGGCTGGGCTAGAGGAGAACTCACATAACTGACTGCAGGTAAACTACAGGTGTGTAGGCCTAATGTAAATATAAATTGTAAGGTAATGTATTGTCATGTACTAAATGTTGGTGGACTTTAGTCAGAATGTTTAATCTTTATTTGTAGATGATTACAGTATTTTATTTTATGCTTGAGTCTAAACAGTGCTTAATCCTTTGGGTTTTGTACAGTACTGTATTTATGCACAGTACTGTACAAAACCTGGTACAGTAGAGTTTCCAAGTGTTCCCAAGACTTGGAATCTCGTCATAAATTTCAACAATTACCGGTATTCAGCAGCCTTATTCTCTAAGAACTCTTGTGCACAGATAACACTGACTTACGCTTGCATCTCTCCAAGATGTTTTCATTCCTTACTCTATCCTCCTAACACCACAAATGCTGTGTAAGCAGTAAAATATAAATGGGAGTAATTATTTGGTCTAGATTTATAAAAATAATTAGTTTGGAAAGGTATAAAAAATGTAATTGTTTTAATAATGAAGGAATGGAATCAAAGCCAGAGTATAGTGTATGCTACATAAATATAATTACAATTTCTCATGGTCTACCATATTTTACAGGTATTACAGCCCTAGAAATGGCAGAGTCCCAACCTCCATTGTGTGATATGCACCCTATGCGTGCACTGTTCCTAATCCCTCGTAATCCTCCTCCCCGTTTCAAGAATGGTAAAAAGTGGAGTAAGAAGTTTCACTCTTTCATTGACAGTGTTCTGGTCAAAGATTATCATCAGGTAAAGTACTGTAATTCTGCACACACTAGCCTAATCCCTCACCCATGATATTTTGTATTTGTTTTGTTTATTTCCTATTGAATTATTTTCTTGGGTATCCCAGGTAGGGTACAGTATGGCAGCATCTTGTTTATCTTTTTAACTTCTTTCTTCTAATGGGTTTCCATTCAATAACTTGAGAGTGCTTCATGCTTCATCGTTTTGAATTGAACGCTAATAGTGGGGCCTGACAGCTCGATGGACAGCGCTCCTGAGGTTTCGGGTTCGATTCCCAGTGGAGGCAGAAACAAATGGGCAGAGTTTTTTTCACCCTGATGTCCCGGTTACCTAGCAGTAAATAGGAGAGTTTGACAGCTGCTATGGGCTGCTTCCTGGGGGTGTGTAACAAAAAGGAGGCCTGGTCGAGGACTGGGCCGCGGGGACACTAAGCCCCAAAATCATCTCGAGATAATCTCAAGATATACTTAAATTTAATAATGAAATTAAATTTGGTCTTGAATTTCAAGTGTAGCCTCATAGATATAATGAAGCATATTCCTCTTTTTGTGCTCAGTATCTTGAGAAATTCTCATTGTATTAACTTGAAATTAACACCACATATGTTTGATTATAAAATACGTTGCATTATTGGGCAGTACAGTACTAGTATAACCCAATGGCAACATTTTTACTTTTTAATATCTTTGTTTTAGTATGCTTTCCCATTTGATTGATTCTTATATGGGAATGCAAACCATTTAGCCAGGCAAGGTAGCACTTTTGGTACAGTACTGCCACAAATAAGTTGATATGCTTGCAAAGACAGCCTGTAGAAAACCAGCAGTAGAAATTGATATGAGTGTTTTGTTAGAAGTGACAAAGAGAATACTTAAAGATCTAATGGAAATCTCACTGGCCTAACAAATTCACAAAGGCCTGAAAGTTGTATCATTAAACATTATGATAAATATCGTGAGGAGACATTTATATATGGAACTAATAGAGCAAGAACTCGGCAATGTGATGTTATAGTGGCCAGAATACGCCTGGGATATAGACGTATCTGGCAGCTTTCTCAAAACCCAAATGTCGAATACACCGTTTGTTAACTTTGTGAAAGAGAAAACATGCACTTCCTTGAGCATTATATTGTGGATATTGCAATATTGCATATTGACTGACTTTCACCCTCCTGGGCTGAGGCATGCTGAATTCTGTAAATACTGTATGAATACTGGAACACTTGATAATATACTGGACTTGCACCCAAGATTGACTATGTAATACATCTGTTATACAATGTATTGTACCTATACAATATGTAATACATCTGTTATACAATGTATTGTACCTATACAATATGTAAATACTGTATATCTGTTATACAATATATGTACCTATAACCTGAGCTTTTAAAAGCATCTTAATCACCTTCAGTGATTAAGTGTTTGATATCACACTAGATTCTATAGAAGCTATCTTACCCTATCAAAGTAGGAGAGACATAGGTGTATGTATATATATGTAGATATGTGTATGTATATGCAGGGGGGGGGGTGTTTAGGTTGCAGAATGTTAAACTTCACTGTATAACTCAATTGATATATGTCTTAACATTTTTGCTGCATACAGAGAACGTATACGGACCAGCTCTTGAAACATCCATTTATTCGGGACCAGCCTACAGAGAGACAAGTTCGTATTCAACTAAAAGATCACATAGACAGATGCAAGAAGCACAAACAAAAAGGTAATAGTCTTTAAATATTTATATACAAAAATTGACATTCACTGTATGTACTTGCTTTGATTACTTGGAATTTCATAAGTTAACAAAAAATATTTTCCATAAAAATAAAAGTATGAATCATAAATTGATACATCAGCTAAAAAATGACTGGACTTCAATTTTGTTTTGTCATTATTTAAATTCTAGTATTGGCAGTACATATTTCCTTGAAGTACACAGCTACCTTCTACTCCGCTGATGGTTGTTCTCTGGCAGCATGACACCAGCATCACTATATGCTTCTTCTTGTTGTTTGTTATAGTCTGAGACTGGAAGCCTGTTAGGCTTATACAAGTTTCCCCACCGGAGTCAACTACTGACCTTGCCCTGTAATGCAAGTCACAACAGTTGCCTAACTCCTGGGTACCTAGTTTCTGCTGGATGAACAGAGACATCCGATGAAAGGAAACATTGCCTAAACACTTCTGTTCTGATTCAAGAATCAGACCTGGGACCTTTTGTCTGTTGTCACAAGTGTGCTTACCTCTGCATCACAGGACTGTATTTCATCAGCCTCTACAAGCTGTGGGTTCTTGTGATTTAACTTACATAAAATTTGAAGTGGTTTTGTCTTCCCAGAAGTGCTGCGATACTGACTAATTAGTTAGAGGAAGTGTCAGTATTGTGGAACTTTTAATTTCACTAGAGCAGTTGAATTTTATGGCTGTTGCTGATAGTGTCCAAGTTAGGATTTATTAAATGTGAGGGCAGGTTTTCCCGAGATCTCTGCTAGAAAAACCACATTACTATTATTTGCATTTCTTTTTTCATCCTCGTTCCTTTTTGTCTTGTTTATTGTATACATTCCAACATGTATTTGTTGTGGCAGCCATCGTTCCTCCCACGTACTGTTATATCTCTGCAAGCACCTGGTAACTGCTTCACCTGTGTGCTAGCCAACATGTTGAATTTCTTGTTTCAAGTAATCCTTCAAAATTTTCATGCACTTCAAGTCATTTGATTTATGGTATATTCTTCACTGGACATTCCTCAAGAATGGACAGTTATTGAGATCAACAAGGTAATCTTACTGTGTCTATTAACACTATAGTGGTAAGGGATTATCCTACATTCCTCATCCTAAATGTTTCTAGCTCCCCAGGGGTAACTCCCCCCCCCTCCTCACCGACACTTAAAATGTTTATACCTGTACTATTTTTCTTGTTTTCTCAGTTTTTAAGTAATACTGTAACCATAAACTTGGTGCCAAAATGTTTTCAAATGAATTTGTTAGAATATAGATGCCATACAAAATGTATTTTTGTAATATATTATGCATGATGGTGCTGTATATACGAATTAGTCATTAGCATTTTAATGTTTTAGTGTCAGTGTGGTCATAGCTTTTCAGGGGTATGAACCAAAGTAACCAGGAACTGCCCAGACATAACCTCAGCTATCTTTCTATCAATTATGATAATTACTCTCTTTGTGAGAATTTTCACTATGCTGTTCAGATTTTTAGCTGGAAAACTATGAAAGATATGTTTCCTTTTTACAGTAATATAGACTGATAATGTGCACATATTCCCATGTTTTATTTTTACTTACATTGAAAAATAAATGAGGAATGTTAAAAGTATCAGAAAAAAGTTGACATGTTCATAAAAATTTGTATTTTCAGCACCTTCATGTAAATTCTATTATCAAATCACATTATCTTTTGCATCTATACTCTAGCAAATTTATTTGCAAACATTTTGACACCAAATTTGTAAGAATAACCCACAAACTAATTGCGAATACATTAAGAGAGTTTAAACATTTTAGATACTGTATCCCTAGCTGGGACCCTTGAAATGCAGGGAACATTTACAGTCGAGAATGCACTGATGGGTCGGAACATTAGTGTTAAAGCATCTTCTTATTCTTACTGTGTCAAATGAAGAATGTTATTCTTACTGTGGCTATTAAAACACTATGTCTATTAAAGGTCCTTCTTAGTCTTACTCTTTTTGGTAATTCAAAAATATAATGCCTTGTCATCCTATATGTCCTTTCCACAGCTGTCTTGTGGAATAGATTGCTAGCCATTCTTTTTCCTGGAACCTATGATATTCAGTCATTGATGAATCGTCTCAAGTGGATTACATTGAACTTTCTGATGTTTTTCAATGTATAAGGTTAAGCATTGTTGAGTGGGCAGCATTACCTTTTTTTAATAACTTGTTCTATGCCAGAATAATTAAGTTGTTATATTGTATACAGTATTCCGCTCTTCATCTGTCTCATACCATTACTGTACTTCATTTTAGTCATTTTTCCTGTAAAATAATATATAATTATGAGTTTAAACTTTTGAAAGTAAATACTGTGTGTCATTTTAAAGCGGACAGACAAGAAACCTTCAGTTACAGTGGGTCAGACAATGAAGAGGAGGAAACAACGCAAGCTGGAGAACCCTCTTCTATTATCCAGGCACCAGCAGGTGATACACTTAGACGGAATTTTATGCAAATTCAGGTATGTACTTTTTTACTTTCTGCACGTGTATGTGTGTGAGAGTATGAGTGAGTGTGTTCTTGCCTAATTGTACTTGTAGGAATTGTGCTTTACCTCTTGGGTCCTGCCTCTCAGTTTTCAGTTACCTGGTATACAAGTATCCATGCCTTTTGTGCTTTAATCATATCTACATTTGAAACTGTATTAGATTTGCTTGTGTATGGAGGTGTGGGTTGTGATTGTATTATACATGTGTTCACATGGAAATCACTGGAGAGAGAGAAATAATGTTGTGGAATAAATGTTGGAAGAGTGAAAGGTAGAAATATGTCATTGTAGTACTTACAAGACATGAAGCAGACCATATTAAAGATTTGAAGACACAGTTAATGAACTGTTGAAAGAAAGTCATTTAGGTACAGCTAGAAGATTGATTGATTGTTGATTGTATGTGAAGGAAACATGTTTGATAGATGTGAGAACAATTGGCAGTGTGGTGCTGACTTAAAAAACCATCTTGCTCAGGGTAATGATTGAAGATGACTGGCTCCAGCTGTGAAGTAAAAGGGATTTAGTCTTATTTTGTGCATCCTTAACTTCCAAATAATATGAAAAATGTTCTACTCTTGATTTGTCTTATCGCACATTGGAGAGGAAATACAGATAATAAATTTAAATACACACCATTATTCGGCTCAATCTTAAAATCTAAACGTAATCATCAGGAACACCAACGTAATGGTGGGAAAAAAGATAAAGAAGAAATCCCAGAACCTGGTCCTCCAGCACGACCAGCTCTTCCATTACGATTGCTTGGCCAGGAGCAGCCTCCTCCTCAACGACCTCTTCCTCCACCACCACAAGCACGAGAGCATCACCAACCTGCACCACACAAGCCAGCCACACCACCTCAGCATCATCCTAGGGACCACCGTGAGCATCGCGACCATCGAGAACACAGGTCAGAGATTGTCAAGAGTTGTAATTTAAGGACATGTATATATGATCAAAGATATTGGACAACTTAAAAACTAGATCAGATAAAATTACATAATTGTTATTGAAAGTTATGAAGTTCGTCATTCTGGTTGTAGCTACTGATACAGATACAAGTAGTAGATTTAATATGAAATGCACTCTAATGTTTTTCAAGTAACTGAAGTGGGAAGGCGCAAAATTTGTTTAAGGAAAATTTCTCTATGATAAATTTATGCATCAGGAAAAAATGAAATTATAATGAGGATTAGAATGAAGTAGATCTTATAAAGAGCAGGATTGAAAGGAAATGAGAGAAGGAAGAACAGAGTATGCCTGCTTATGAATAATGAAAGGTATCGCTCTATGCATAACTTCTCTTGTTATAGTTCATGATGTTTGTGTCTGAAATTCAAGTGTGATAGATTAAAAGTGGCAATAAAAGTGAAAAGACTGATTGCATTATTGCTTGGGGGAATGAGGTAGGCACATAGAAGCTATGGAATATTTGTAAAGAGTGACCTGAATAGTAAATTGGGAATAATGATGTTAATAACATAACGAGTGGTTAGTGTCCCCAGGAATAAATTATAATGACTGTAAATTGAAAGATTTATGTAATGGAGGAGAGTTGTGTATTATTAATACTTATTTTAACATAAGGATAAGCATAAATATATGTGGTGCAAGGTAAATGATGAAATTAAACAAATGATTTAACTATGTGGTTGAGAAAGAAGTATGGTTGAGTATGTGTGTGTGATACAAGAGCAGTGTGATCATCTGTTGATGTTGTGCAAGATAAGATTTAAGATGATTGCACCTCACAAGGAGGTGCAATCGCAGGTATAAGAATATATATTGAGAAGTTAACCGAGAGACAACTGATTATGATCTAAGAGACTGAATTTTGTTCAGTTGCACATAGTAGAATGAAATGGAAGAATGAAAGGAACTGTTAGCGAAATGAAGAAGTTGGCAAGAATAATTAAAAAAAATTATCGGAATTTCTGGCTATGAAATGAACAAGAGGCAAGAAAGCACTTGTGTGGCTAGAGTAAAAGACGACGTGAAAAGATAAATTAAGCAGAAAATACACAGTGAATGATGACGGAGGGATGCACAATGCAAGTAAATTATTTAGAAAGCAGGAATTATTATTATTATTGTAGTTGTAGAGTATTTTAAAAGTGTTATGAATGGAGGGGACCTAAACATTCCCTCTAATGCGTTGTGTGTGGTTTCCTCCGAGGCTATGGGTCCCCTTCTTCCAGCCAGAGGTGGTACTTATAACAACTGTATTTTAGATTTCAGTTAATTGCAAACAGTTAGTTGATAAGTCCATATGCTGTAATCATGGTGCTTTTACCATAATTTTTGTTCTTCATAATTCACTTATAATACTATTTTTACAATGTGCAGGGAGCATAGAGATCAGAGGGAGCAGCGTAATTCTCCCATGGTAAAGCAACCGCAGTCTTCCCAAGTACAGGCTAGAAAACCAGAGGTATGAGGCTTTTATGTTGTAATTATTACCTTCACATTTGTTTAATCTGCCCAGTTTTTCTTACTAATAAATGTATTGGAAATAGATTAACTAATGGGAAAATCTGGTTTTTAGAATGCAATTACTATGCTTTGTAGAGCTGTTCACTAATATTTACTAGTTGCAAAATAAGTATTAGTATTAGGCAAGATAGTAACAATTGGTATGAATCTTTTTATTTGAATGGCACAGTATTATCAAGATATAAATTAAATATTAAATGTTGACAAATTTATTAGCCTATATAAAAATATTAAACATAAAAACTCTAAATTGGTTAAGCACTTTTTCAGTACATTTCTAAATGTGAAATGAAAATTAGGATATTATGTGTGGGGTGAATGATGTACAGTTTTTGATGAGGTGCCCATGTTTGTCCACAGTATGATATCTCTGTACTGTTTGTAAGTGGCCCACCAATCTTCCCCTATACGCATGCCTGTGGGGGCTTTATGCCACACTTTATCCAAACTCTTGTTAGCTATAATATACAACTTTTAAGTGTAGTCCCACTTTTTGTAGAGGAAGGGATTACTAGTAGCATTGTTGACATTCATCATTTATAGATGTTATTTTTATATTGTTCATGTGTGCTTTATAAGTCATTGCAATTTGTTTTTTTTTTAATATGTTAAAGGTGGATATTAGTTTTGCCAACTTGGGGCATGGCTTTTGAATGTATTTAATACCTTATGCTCACATTTTATGTTTGGTTCATTTTTGCATGAAAAGCTACTAACTGGATTGTTTTTTCTTATGTTTCATAATGCTTGGTGTCTTTTGTTGTGGGCAGCCTCACCCTCGAAGGTTGGAGGTTAGTGATAACGCCAGCACACACTTTGCATCCCTCTGCCCATTACCTTCAGTCTTTACTTACAAAAATTTATCTTTATTTATCTGCACTATAGTCTAATAAGGGGTTAAGGAGTATTAATTTTAACCATAATATTAAGCTGTGGCATGAAACAATATTTTACAATATACAATATTTTAGCTTAGGTTGACAACATTTTTGAATACTGCTTTTGCTGATATTGCTTATCTTACAGAAATGATATATATAATAAATTTTTAATTGGACTGCAGGACTTGGACGTGCTTGCTCAACACCTGAATGAGCTCGGATCTGTTGCTAATGACAGAGACAGAGATCGAGAAAGAGAGAGAAGTGAAAGAGAACGTGCAGAAAGAACTGAACGAGAAAGAGCGGAACGAGCTGAAAGAGACCGGGAACGTGAAAGGGCAGAAAGAGACCGTGAGAGGGAACGTGAGAGAGAACGAGAACGCGATAGAGAACGAGATAGAGAACGGGATAGAGAACGCGAGCGGGAACGAGAGAGGGAAAGGGAACGTGAACGGGAACGAGAAAGGGAACGAGAGCGACGAGAGCAAGATAAGAGTCGTCAAAATGGCGGAGGAAGTAAACACGAATCTCCTGCACCGCCTGCTGTCATAGAAGAAGATTCCAGTGATGAAGATGATGAAGGTCGTATGAGAAACGATGGAACCCTCTTAGCATCTGATCCACCGAAGCCACTGTAAGTTCTCTGGCAAGTTTTAGTCACCTATGAATTTATCATCTCATAAAATAGCCCCAGATTGATACCTTACAGTTCTTGCTTAATTATTATTAGAGTTAATTTGCTCTTGACTCTGCACAGTAATGTGCAGAGTAAACATATTGGATATGGAATCAAGTTGAAGTGCTTTCGACTTCAGCTGCTGTCTTCATCAGCAACTAGACTGAAAGCAAGTCCTCTTTTTGCAATTTCTTGGTATTTTGTCCAAGAATGTGGCATTAGGGCGAGGCATGCATGTCATGCTACACTCCCTCTCCAGATCATCTTGTGTGACAATTTGATTCATTGCAGTTCCAAAGATCATGATATTATTTTGTGATACTTACTTTTTCAGGGGCTGCATTGCCCTTTTTTGTCTTGTGTAAATAGGTTTAGATCATTATGCAGAGATCCTGCCTTATGTTCAGGTTTCTTGTTTGGACTGTAGTCTAGGGCAGAGTCCCTACGTCCCTAGTTTATAATCTGTTGTGTTGTTAGTAATGGCAAATCAGTATGAAAATTTAAAGATTCTGCATGTGCAGTTTTGGATGCCTTGTACTAAGGCAAGTTTTTTACAGTTGCTCTGAAGTGTGTTTAAGCTTAGTCTGTGATGGTCTTACCCATATTTTCATGATCCGAGGAAGTTTAACACCCGGTGTCTTCATTTTATTCTTTGCTGACATTAGGACCTGGGAGTTACGGAGTTAGAACTACATATTTATGTTGGAATACCTCCTTAAGATTTCTCATCTAAATAATCGGTGTATGTGGTGCTTGTCTGACTCTTCTTAATGATCATCTCTCATGAAAGCTTAGGGACTAGATGTTTGGATTTCCAGGGATGTGGGTCAACTCCCTTGCATTTCTTTCTTCTGGGGTCAGCTTGCCTAAAGAAGTAACTTGAGTGGAACAGCTAGAAAATAAGGCTTAGTGTTTAGATCAAATGTTCCTTTCTGAGAAGGCTTCTCTGTTTTTCCCATTGTCCAGAATTCTCATTTTGCTTTTTGGGATTCTAGTCCAGTTAAGTGTAAGGTGGGCTTAGTTAAAACTAGTCCTCAGCAAAGAACTCATTGGCAGTCTCTTTAATGCTGAATTGGAGTATTGGAGTTGAGTTGGGGTGTTGATAAATGGGCTTTCCAGAGGTCATTTACCGACTTCAAATATTCTCTAGCATTTCACTTGCCTCCGTATGAGCTAGTGGAATTAAAAAGATCCTCACTACTCAGGGCAAATGTTGACTTGCCCTACATGTGCATGGACTTGAATGGGAGAAGCAGAACCTTGGTTGGGGATCTCTCTCTTGATTAGCTATTATTAGTTCATATTTAATTTGTTATTGTATGGGAAAAGTAGTTGCACAGTTTGTTTGCTATAATTAAAACAAAAAACTAAATGCTTAGGCTTTCACTGATTCATAGTATTGTATGGTTTTTAAATTAGACTTATGGCTTGATAAAATTATTTGAATTAAATTAGTCCTTATGACAATGAAAATGCTGGTGGTGCCCTCACAAAAAAAAAAGTCAAAGTAGTGGCATGTATTTTGTTAAAGGTTAATATAAGAACCAGTGTGTGGGAAGTGTGTGAGAGGTTCATGGTTTTTATATTCATTAAATTTGAACCAAGATTAGTTTTCCTCCACAACATTTATTTAAATGGTTAAGAAAGTACCAACTTATGCTAGTTCTTTGGGCTGAGTGGATCGCGCGGTGTCATTGAGCAGACCAGATGGTTGATGTCAGCTGGTTGATAGTCAGGTGGGTTGGCAAGGATGTGCTATAGTTCACCAGCTGATAGGTACAAAGTAAAGACTTTCACAGCTGAGGGCAGTTATGGGGCTGATGTCAGTTCATTGTTTGTTTGATAGAGAATTTTAAAAAGTTTAAGTCGTATGACTGCTTTCAATGCCTGAGTATTTATACAAACTGTGGTTTTGTATAATTCATTTAAAATATAGATGAGCTTTTAAGATTTGTTGAAGTTTTCTCTCTTGTACATGATTAAATACTACAATGGTTTGTGTATGGCAATAGGTTGCACATGGCCAAAGCACATTGTTTGTCCAAATGCCTAGTTTGGTTGAGTAGTCGTGGCAACAACTGGGAGCACATGGGTCAAGCACCTGCATGTTCACGGTGTCTTTACATTTTGACTTTTGAAAGTCGTCTTATACCCGGCTCTTGTAAGTAATTCATTGTTAAGCATAGTTAAGGCCAGGGGTTGTAATATACCCTGTCAAGGGCTTTAACCCATATTAGTAACTGTAAAAGGGGATTATTTGTTTAAATTGGGCTTGAGATTTTAGTGTCCTCAAATCATGTTCAAGTACACAGACATTCATTTTAAATTGCATCTTACTTTATTATGCATTAATTCTAAATCTTTACTCACATGCTTGATTAACTCTTCAGTAGCATTCCTAAGTACTGTATACTAATACCTTTGATTTTGCATGACTTTCTGCACTTTTTTTTTCAAGAATTCAGGTGCAGAGAAAAATATTGAGAATAAAATATGTTCTGGGAATAATACAAAAAAAGATGCTCTTTGAATAGGAAGTTGCTTTTAGAATAAGAGAAAGGTGCACTTTGCATAAGAAAAAGCTGGTCAGGAAATAGGAGGAGGTAGCTCTAGGAATAAGAGAAAATTGCTCCAGGAATATGAGGGGGGGGGGAGGTTGCTTCCACTTATAAGACAAAAAGTGGCTCTGTGAATATGAAAGGGTTACTCTAGAAATAAGAGAAGGCTACTCTGGGAATAAGATAAATAATTAAATATATAATTTGAATGTGAAGGTGTACTCATGTGCTGCCAAGATCTCCAAGAAGATCATTGTAATCTCCTGTTCATGAGAATTGTTTTGATTTACCTGCCGGTGATGTGGCTGATGATTGGTTAAAGCATGTACTCTAAACTTAACCATGTTGCTGCTTGGAATAATACATTCTCTCAATAATTTGTTTCCTGATTACAAGGAATCCCAGGAAAGCAGCCAACTTATACATACAGTACATGCTAGGCTTATATCAAGGTGCCCCCCCCCCCTTCTCCCAGGGACAAATTACTGACCCTTCCCAGGATGCAACCCCACAAGAAGCTGACTAACTCCTGTGTACCTATTTACTGGTAGGTGGACAGGGGCATTAGGTGATAGGAAATGCGCCCAGCCATATCTGTCCTGTCTGGGATTTGAACCCAGAGCTTTAGATTGTGAGACAAGAACGAACCCAACTGTACTACCGGGTCCCTATAAAGAATATAAGTATAAGGTATAAAACGTATTTAAAGTATTTTATGAAAGTAGTAAGTCTAGAAAGCTCTCCTTATTTCTTAAGGTTATTGGAATAATGAGCTATAAAGGCATTTTTCATCTACATCTTTGATGAATTTTACTCGTTGTGCAGGATCAATTATTTATTGTAGAACAAGCTTCGTATTTTATGACTAACACTTCTTCACACTAAAACTGGCAACACTTATGTTTGTAACCTATTTGGCTTTTGGCTTTTGTGATGCCAACTTCACCGGATTTGGTTTATGCATCATATTAATTCAGAAACTTGTGTTTACATTATTTTGTTTGAATTAATTTGAATTGGAAATGTTAACAAATTAATTTAGTACTGCATTAAGTAGCCGTAGTTTTGCATGCCCTCTGGTGTTTGGTGTGGATGCCAATAACCCACTAACGCACTAACGGGCCGATCTTCCACTCTTCCCCTGCTAAACAGGTTCGACTATTCCACTTTCAGGCCTCCAGAGGGTGCCCTTCCACACACTGCGTTGCAAGGTGAGTTATTGGCAAACTTTCCAGATTTTAATGTGGACATGGATTCTAGAATTAGTTTAAAAGCTTTTCAAAGATTTTTGTATAAATTTTGGTTCATATAAAAGTAAAAACTTTTATATGAACTTTTTATATATAAAAAAAACTTTTCACCTACATTTTCTGAAAGTTTCAAATTTCAAGTTTCACTGAAATTCACTGTAAGTTTACCCTTTATTCCTATAATGCTTGAACATCCTTTTTTAGCAGATGTCTTTCCACTCTACCAAAATTAGTAATATTGTGTTAGTGTTGAAGTAGTTCCTTAACATGTGTGTCTAAATATGTGCAGATATGTCTTTTCATTTTCTATGCAAAACCTTCTAAACATTTGGCACTATTTAACCAAAACGGGCAAAATTCTTTGAAATTCAGTCTTTGAAAATTTTAGAAGTAATGACATAACTTGATAATGGTCCAGGACAGACTGAAACATCCCAGTTCTTTTATTTTCACATTTGTGGGTTGGATGTATAATTTCAGCCACGTATAATATCAGCCAATTTCAGCCACAGATTTTAAATTTATCTAGATATTTATGTAGATACATCAAGCCTATAGTGAATGATTGCAAGAATATAATTCATACTTCAGTCAAACAATCTTTTAGTGTTTACAGGCTGCATTACTTTCATGTCCTTACTTGTAATGTCATAATTTTGCCTGCATTGTCCTCACAAATTACAATTCTGGTAAATTGCTTGATTAAACTCATGGAAGTTAAAATTATTTTTGTTAATCTTGGCCACCAGATTTCACTTCCTTAGCTTCATTAATGCCAGAAATAGTGCCAGTACAAAGATCAAGCATGTCTGCCAACCTCGCTCTCCAGCCATGTTAATATTTCTCTCGGTTCACCATTATTGCTCATGTTAACACTTTCGCGGCCCGATGCCGAATATTCCATCACGAAACCATAATACGGAGTATTGTGCTAGCAGAACACCAATTGAATGTTCACCAAGGTAGCACTTGGTGAACACCCAATTGGTCTGAGAAATCCCACGCCCATGTGTCGTACCATAACATGACCAAGAAAAAAACTTTTGCTAGAAACAAATTTATGAAAATGATGAATCTAAGGTACACATTGGGCTTACTACGCTTAACAAAGTCTCTAGTTTCCTTGGACCTGGCAAAAATATCTTGAAGGGAGGGAAGAGAGAGAGAGAGAATCTCATATGATTCTAATCAGGAAATAATTGTGGCCATCACAGATACATCAGCTGACTGCTGCTTCTGAACCACCTCATCAGGGAACAGTAAAGCTGAAAATGGAGAGGATTAACTCCGTTTTAAGAGAGAAAATGGATTGAAGGATTAACATAGACCAAGTAGTCTGAAACAGAAGAGAAGCTAAACATTCTACCAAAACCACCCAGCTTAGAAAGCTATCTGAACATAACATAAGAAGCTCAGGCCATCAGATCTGCTGTAACGAGATGCTTTGGAAAAGGTGGCATCCATGTTGCAGCTGCTAGGACACTGTCACTCGAGTGCTTATGAAAACTAAAACAGTTGCCATTTCTCCACAGAAATTAAACAAATATTTGTAAGACAAGAGGAATAAGGAAGCCAGCTCTGCAGCTTTGATGCAGATGTAGACTTTTAAGTCTAAATGAGCTGTCCATCAGAAGCCTTTCCTTGTGTCTTAAATAACATTTATATTTGTACTGAGACGAGTAAAATTATTCTACAGGCATGACATGTAAATCCAACCTCTTATCCAGAAAATGTGGCATCTTGTTGAGAAAAGGTAATCAATTTATTGTACCCCTCCCATGCCTATCTTTTGGAGATTACTGGAAAGGGTATTGGCACACACGTTCAGGAATAGAACTTAATTGTTCTTTTAGTCCAGATTGTGTTAATGAATTTTTTGTAATAGATGAGATCTTCATAAGAAGGCAGCGGTGCAAACCTGGTGTGTGACCCAGGCATGTTAACTGTAACTAGAGCTCCGTATCGTAGTCTCGGTTCAAATACAAACATTATTATATTAAATGCCATTGAAACAGATACAATACCTATTTACTGCTAGGTAAACCTGGTTTAAGGAAATCCAAAAGTGTGTGTTTACTTTTTAATTGAACCCAGAGACCATTTAGTTGAGTGCTGACTGTGCTGCTCATTGCCCAACAGGTTCTCCAGGGAGTTCGACCCTTCAGCTGATAAGAGGGAGAATGATTGCAAAGTTAGTTAAAATAATAAACAAAGTGAAATATGGTAATGCCAAGTGGTAACATTTGAGCAAGTGAAGTTGTTTTGATGGTAGAGAGGCTGAGTGTGGTGCAGCATGTGAGAGAGCTTGGAGTGAGTCAAAAGTGCTAAAGAACCAAGACAGTGGTTGTGCTTCTTTACATTCTCATTTCTTCAGATTTCCCTTATTCTTATTTTTATGCCTCTTTCACTGGTTAAGAACAATTTACCAAATATTGTGCCAAGAAAACTATGCAGTTACAATTAAAATTTTAAGAATTTTTTTCTCTTCTCAGACAATAAAAAAAATTTTTTGTGAAGAAATGTTTATGAAAACTTATTTAATTTTTTAGGACCACCTCCGAACCGGCCACTTCCTCCAACCCCCGATGACGATGAATCTGGTGATCGCACATTAATTATGCGCAGAGTAAGTTTCTTGTATTTGTTTTAATTAAAGGCTACTTCTAAAAATCTTCTCATAAATGCTGGGTTTCCTGTCTGATGCCCATGAACTTTATGTATATTTAAGTTTATAAAACTATTTCACAGGATGGGTCTAAGGTGGCATAGAACTTTGTTTTATGTTTTGTATCAGTATTATATAACTGCAGTTTAACATATCTCTTAGTCATATAAGTGATGTGAAAGTTTAGACATAGAGGCATGAGCAAGGTTTCTTAGAATAAATGATGACCTGGACAAAGCACAAACAACAGATGTTGCGGACACTGGCGATTTAAAGACAATTTAAAAGTTTCGGTAAATAAGTAATATAATGTTGTGGGGCATCACAACATTATCTTGAGTAGTTGTCAACCAAAGGTAAAGTCAAACAAGCTTTTAATTCTTCTCAGGTATGCCAGTCCTTACTGTTAGTGTGGAATATTCATTGAAGCACTTCAAATGCTAACCATCATTACACCTTTAGGGGTAAGGATCCATTGGCAGCGATTTAAAATTGACTTTAATTCAGTAGTACGTAATTGAACATTTTGCTTAGAAAGAAATTGTTGCCACTTACAATCTGATGGTGAGAGTTGCTGCTGTAAGTCTGTGGACAGATGCAGTTAACAGGTAATTGTAAGTTTGTTTGGTTAGAATTGCTCATTGAAATGGAAGCATTGCCTCAGAAGTAAAAAAAATAAAATAAATACTGTATCAAGGATTTAAAACTAAAACTGTAATGACAATTCATCAATAATTGGTGATCAGAGGCATCGGGGAAAACAGAATGTGGAAGTTTATTTAAGATGACTGTAGAATGGAAGAAAGTGAAAGTATTGCATTCAATCCTTGGATTAGCAGTAGACTTAAAATAACTGTAAGATTGGACAGGAGCATAAGAACACAGTTTGAGATAAATTTATCAGACAATGGCAGTGTGAAGTTTGTTCAAGCATGAGTGTATAGATTATGCAGTATGGTTTGTCTAGAGAAAAGATGCATAATGTGCATAAAGGGCTTCTACATGCCCTGGGATGATTGTGATCCTATATTATGGTATTAAAAAATTGGAGCAATTAATATCTTGAGCAAAATATTTTAAGTTGGACGTAGGGAGCCGGTCGGCCAAGCGGACAGCACACTGGACTTGTGATCCTGTGGTCCCGGGTTCGATCCCGGGCGCCGGCGAGAAACAATGGGCAGAGTTTCTTTCACCCTATGCCCCTGTTACCTAGCAGTAAAATAGGTACCTGGGTGTTAGTCAGCTGTCACGGGCTGCTTCCTGGGGGAGGAGGCCTGGTCGAGGACCGGGCCGCGGGGACACTAAAGCCCAGAAATCATCTCAAGATAACCTCAAGATAACATGGTGAAACTTTGAATTTTTTTTAGAATTTTATTGAATTTTTCTAGGAAAAATATAAGTTGCTAAGAAATAATAAAATCTTAGATATCATTTATTACACTAGTGTTTCACCAAGTTACGAGACATATTCAGAAATTGTTTAATTCTAAGCAAAATTGCAATAGCATCATACATAAATGAGAACATTTTGGAACAATAAGGATGGACTGAAATTGTGCTTCTCACCACCCCAACATGTGCATTAATGAAACTTGCACGACACGCTTAAAAGTATTACAACCATATGTTCCGAACACCAAATGCCACATGAGCACAGTAGAACTTGTGGTTGTGACACTTTAAAGGTTGTCGTGGGTGCATCAGTAAAGTGTGTGGGGGGAGGTCAGAGATGAGTTCACTCCTGCCATTATACTCCAAACATTCTCTCATTGTTCAATTGTAAAATTGTTTTCTATTCATTAGTACTTTGCAAATGAAATGTAAGTGTTCGTAGTGTAATGAATGGCTAGTTTGATGTAAATGTAGAAGTATGCTGTGGATGACTCAGTGGAGTGTGATTTTGCTGCTATTCCAAGAAGCTTTGTGAAGGTGAATGAGTGGGTGTTAAATTTCTGAATATAAAAGCTGCTTTTCTTATACAGTTATTCAACCAATGCCTCTCAACTCCCTAAGAGTAGCAACCAGAGTAATGATAGGGCTCACTTTTTCTTTGGGTGATTGGTCATAACCTGCAGCATTTATTTATTGTTCTTTTTTATTGGCATTGTTAAAGGTTTTTTATATTAAATATAAGAACACATCAAAATTTTATAACTATAATTTAGCATAGTGTTCTTGTGTGTGCTAGCTTAGTAACTGTTCTAGAGTCATCTTGGCAAGGTGATGGGATTGCTTTATTTAAGGTGGAAGATATTTCTTGCATGCTTCTTTTTTAATTGCTATTCCTTGTGTGTGTAAGTGCTGCAACAACTTCAAATTTCAGCATCAGTCTGATGCAGAGCAACAAGTGCAGCCAGCACAAGTGGAGAACATAGATAACAATGTCAACAGTAACTATGATTATCAACAGACACAAAACAGTGTAGAAAATCGTGGTGGATGCAGTACTGGTCCTAACAATAAAGATAAGGTAAAGCCAAGTTCATCCAGGAGTGACAGTAATCACGAACGAAGATCGGGTAGAGACCTTGCCAATGGCCATGACAGTAGGCCAATTCAGGACCCCAAACCAGCTCACCGAAATTCACATCAGCTAATACATCAATCAAGCGATGGTGATTTAAGTCAACGAGCTCACCGCAGAAATGAATCCGACTCAAGATTAGGGCTGTTACGAAGACAGCACACAGATGTGGCACTTGCGCGTCGATCTGATGTCTATCGTAGCAGTAAAGTGGAGTTATCCTTTCCTTCTGCTAGCTCAGAGGTGACGGCTAGTATGGCTGGTGAGCCTGTTCTTACAGATTTCATGGCTATGATAGGAGATGAACATCAACGAGCATCAGATGACAGTGGACATAGAGAATTACGTCGTCAGGTGTCTCTGGATGGAGACCTGCATGCGGTTGGCTCTGTTGGAGGCACTGGTCGGGATCAAGTCAGGTACGAGTGGAACCAAAGACGAGAAAAGACAGATGTGGATCTACGTCGGGCTGAACTGCGCAATGAGTTGGAGCAGCGGCGTGTGACTCCCCAGGGGGTGCGTGGCCGTGACAGCGTGAGCAGTCTACAGCAAGGGCCAACCCACCAGGTCAGCTGGTGTGGACACACATCATCACAACATCATGCATGTCAAATACTGCTGCCATCTAGCAAGGTCACACGCATGGGCCTCTCAGTGACACAATAGATAAGCGTTTTAACACCAACAGTTGTTAAGAACTTGAGTGCTACTAACAACCTTACTGGAATTGTGAGAATCTAGAAAGCAGATATCCCTCATGGGATATGTCTAACACTTGATTGCAGTTGTGTTAATGTGGTTTTGAAACTAATAAACAAACTAACCCATCTTTGTTTTACTGCAGTAGTACATTGTGCATGGTGTAGTTATTTGTTTGCATTGCATAAATAATTTCTCCTGCTCTCTTTTGGAAATTCATGTGCATGAAGATAATAGAACTGTACATAAACATGTTTTGAAATAAGAAAAGGCTTAGGTAAAAAATGTACTATACATGCTTTTCATTTCTGGGACATTTCACTGAAGCCATGGTGTGTTTTGCATCTTCTTCACTGCAAATTAAGGCATATACATAATATAAGCTCTAAAATGTATGTATCTGGCCTGTTTTAAAATAAGTATTTAAATTTTAAAGTTTTCAACTTCATTTTATTCACTAAAGTCAGATATTAATGTCATCAAATTTCATATTATATATATATATATATATATTATGTAGTATATATATTATATATTATAATATAATTTGTAAGGTAATTCATGTCTTGGTTTCAAATGTTGATGGACTTCATTATTTGTATGGACAATATTTAAGGTTGTTAAGATTGTTGAGTAGAGTTGACTGCCAAACCTTCCTGGTCATAACATGTCTAAACATATGCACTAAACATACTGGTGCTCATTTAATTCATTTAAGCAGTAAATGTTTCAAACAACAAAGATTTGAATGAAGATGCAATTTTATTTTGGCAAATTTGGTCGAGTGTAAATCTTATCAATGTGGATTGATATGTGACACTCTACTTAATTATGGTATTAAAAATCTCAACGCAAATAAAAAGTTTTAGGTGTGTAAAAATGAATAGGACTACAGTACAGTACTTTTAAAAAAGGTTATGTGGCTTATATTTCATTTTAGAAATTACTAGGATTGTTCAGTCAGAATGAATTTTGGATATCTTCTTAAATAGTTGTTTGAACTGGTTAAAACAAAAAAAATAATAGTAAATCTGTACACAATGAAATAATCTGGGGCATGAGAAAGTCAATGGGCCTACATTGAAGAAGTTTGTATGGTCAGTTTTATTTTTCAAACTAATATGCTTTGCTTAGTGAAAGTTAGAGTTTTATGCTGTGGAGTATTATTTATGTTAAAAGATATGCAACGATATCTTAAATACAGCTTTCGACCTCCTCTACATAATGTGTGTGCTGAGAGCTCTCTTCAAACTGTACCAAGGAGTAGCATTTGACCCTCGAACAGCAGCTGTCAATTGTAAAAAAAAAAAATTCTTTTAAAAGGATGTTTGCATGCAAAAAAAATAAGGAAAATGGAAAAAAAAATGACAAATCTATTCTTGTTTTGTGCACATTGGGAAGGAGCCAGGTAGGGAGTTAATAGGTCCGTGGACAGTGAGGGGTCAACACAATTGGTCGACTCTTGTAGGCATGGGTGCTCTCATGTTCTTGTTAGATGGTTTTATGTTTGCTGTTTCACTTTAGTTTATACAGTGTGTGTGTGTGTGTGGAATAACTCAATTGATGTACACGCAGTTGATAAAAACAGTGATTGAGTACTGTCTATATGCCTACAATGTAATATGTTCACCTACAGTGCATGTAAATTTGTTTCTGGCACAGCTATAAAGAAGTGTCTTGTAACTAGCTTCCTTGCTGTTATTCTGTCTGGGAACATTGTCCAAAAATATTCAAACTGACGGGAAAGACCAAATTGTGATTTGACAATAATCGTAGCTACTTATAAACGATAACCTATTCCTGAAAACTATTAAATTGCTCCTCCCCCCATCTTTTCTGACTGGCACCAAGTGGCAGTACTGTACCAATAAAGTACCCCAGTCCAATCTGATCACAACCTTCCTGAATGTAGTCTTGTGACAGGCCGTGGACCACATTTATGTTACAGTACTTGTTACATCCTTAACAAATTATTTGTGGGGTGTGCCTATATTTATATAATGTTCTTACATGGCCATTGTGTACTTTGTATATTACTTATATTTTATTACAGTTCAATTTCCTTAACATTTGGCAAGAGGGCACAAGCTGTGAACATATCCTCTTTAGCTCTCCCATTACTGTACGTTTGTGTTGACGCACTCATGGAGGGACATAGATGTTAGTAGGCAAGGTCTTTTTAACTATTATTGAAGCATAACTGGGTATAGTTTTTCACATTCTTGTGTTAATGTGCAGTTTGTGTATTCTATAAGGTCAGCATTTTTCAAAACCTTCCCAATTTGCAAATTGTGCTTAGAATCTATTTCTGTTACAGTTTGCATCACCTTGTTGATTTGTGTCTTGGCCATGTTCTTCAAAGACATCTGCTGTGCTTATGAAGTTCTGTTCTCCTCTCTTTTTTTTTCCCTTAACTCTGTTAGCACCATAAGTCCTCAGACAGATCTTTCTCTTGGGATTCAGTTATCTTCAAGATGTTCTTTTCTTGTTAATTGTTGAACCCTTTGCCTCCAAATCTTTGACCAAACCTGACAATCTCAATCTTTTTGAAGGCTGTGGTATCAAAACTACTGATGTCTTGTGCACACTCAAAAATTTGGACCAACAAACACTCAGGGTTGTGCTCTTCTTTTCATACCATGCTCTTTTGATGTTCTTGATAGTATGCCTGATGTAACTCAACATTTCTGGAAGTAATGGCTTATCTGGTCCAACTGTAGCATCTGCACTTGTAGTTCCCAACCTTTCTGGAGTCATGGCACTATTTTCTAATACTCAAAAAGACCTACAATCCCCTTCCAGACATTAAACATAATATATTTAATTGCATCTGTCATGGCAGTGTTCTCTGAATAGTTAAAATTTGCCTGACCTGATGGCCAGTCCCAACAGGCTGGGAACCAAATATCTACACAGGAAAAAATTTGTATCCTGGTATAATACTACATAAAGGCAGATATGATGCCGTGATATATGGCTTGCAGCTGTGAGGTAGTGGTGAGTGACATAAACACCCAAGAACTATAGCATGGTTGTTCTTATGACAGTAGCCTCTCGCCTCATTGCAAAAGGTACAGATAAACTAGTCACTGAAGGAGTATTTACTTATCCAGGCTAGTGTTATTTGCTTTCCACTAAACTGGGAAGAGATTATAATTGACCTTTCAATCCTCTGGAACGGAGTGGTAAATCAAAAGAGGCTTATGCTTAAAATCCTGTACAACATTCCCACCATGAAGAATAGTTACTCTATATTTTGCAGCCTTGTAGCCAGTCTGGTGCATGTTTCTTTTGCCTGGAAATGTATATTCATTTTGGCATGCGCTTCTAATTTCAACCTTTTTGATCAGCTTTAAACACTTCAATAACCGCCTTCAGCTCATCTGCCTCACCATAAAATTTAGCATTATGAAGCTGTTGGCAATTCATAAAATTGAAGAACAACCCATGCTTGCTGTGAAAGTTTCTCCTCTTGACGTTGAACCTCCTTCCTGTACTAGGATTTCTTACATGTCCAAGACATTATCAGAGATCACTTTCAAATTAGTCAGCATCCTCTTCTGAGTACCTCCACCCACGTTTCTAGCAATTTCTTCAGTCTCGATGAGAATTTCTAACCCGCCTTGATGTTATCTGAATATTTGTGCACTTGACCGGAAGACTCGCCATAGTTCACCACACATAATATTGTATGTTTCATTTACTTTTACCCTATGTTGTTTCATCTTGGTATATTTCTAGGAAGCAGGAGTTGCTAGACAATCAATAAATGTCATTGGAAGAACAGAATCCATAATTTTCTTTAAAACACAAGAAATGTATTTGAAAGATCCTGCATACACTGGTATAAAGACAAGATGCAACCCTGTTACAGTATAAAGTCAAATTTGACTATACATTTCCAAAACTGGTATTAAAGATATGACCTGCATAACTTCAGACACACTGTATTTAAAACCACACAAAGTAACCTTGTACCAGCATATACTATCACTACCACATGATCATTACAAGCACAACATGCCTTCACCACCACCACCCACCACCACCACCACCACATGGTTACCCACTGACAGAGACATCTACCGCCAAGTCTTCCTAAAGTCAGTGACTGACCTTCCACAGGATGTAGTCCATGCCATGTACCTATTCACTTGCATAGAGGCATCGGGTGAAAAGATGCTTCTCCAGAACATCTCTATTTTGCACAGACATCAAATCCAGGACTTTTTAATTGTGAATCTTCTGAGCACATCACTAAACTCATTATGGTCCCTGGGCTCATTACAACCCCTGGGCTCATTACAACCCCTGTGCTCATTATGACCCTTTGGCTCATTAAACCCCCATGGACTAATTACAACCCCAGAGTTCATTATAAATCTGGGCTCATTAAATTCCTTAGGGCTTATTACAATCCCAGTTATTACTGTTCAATTAACCACTGGGTTAATTGCAACCCCCACTGGGTTAATTGCAACCCCCACTGGGTTAATTGCAACCCCCACTGGGTTAATTGTAACCCCTACTGGGTTGAGTACAACCTCCCTCCCCCAGGTTCATTACAATCCCCCTTCCCTCCTGAGCTAATTACAACCTGCATGCCTCATTGCAATCCTTTTGAGCTCATTACAACCCTACTTGGTTTATTATAACCCCTGGGCTCATTACAATTTTCCCTGGATTTATTCCAATGCCAATGGGTTCATTCCAACCCCTCCTTGTTTCAGTACAATCTCCCTGGGTTCATTGCAACCCCCTGGGATCATTACAATGCCCCTGGTTCATTACAACCCCCCCCCCAGTTCATTATAATATCCCCCTGCCACCATTATAACCCACTGGGTTCATTTCACCAACCCCCCCCCTCCCTGGGCTCATTAGAGTAAAGCATTAAAATTACCGGGTCTGTCTGAAAGCACTCAAGTATTCCCTCTGAAAAGAATACAATAAATATGTCACATGGGATAAATATATCACATATGCTGGAAGGCCAGCTAAATAACAACTTGGTGAGAAGAAAGATGTGGTAGAAAATATTTGAAGAGACCCATAAGAGTTGTGTCATAGGCACGGTCAGAAAACACTCTTAACATCACAGATCCACAGCTCTTCAACCTCTCTCAATTATATGAAATATTTCTGGAACATAAGTGGAGGTTTTAAAGAGGCAATTGGACAAGTTCGTGCAGAAGGTGCCAGATGAGCCGGGTCATAGTGAAGGTACGGGCTTGCGAGCTGCTGCAAGCATAAAGTCGCTCTAAATCTGCATCAAGCTCCAGCTTTCTAAAAACTGGAGATCAAGTTTTCACAAGACAAGCCTGACCCCAGGCCGAGCTTGGGAAGTAGAAGAACTCTCAAAACCGACTGCATGTAAACTACATACTAGTAATCATGTTTGCCTCTGTATTATTTTACTGTATCACCCTATTATTATGCGGAGATACGTTAGCTCGAGGAAACCTTGAAACCATATTCAGTACAGTACAGTATACTTTTTTCTTGTGCTTGTATTATGTACCATCAGTGCTGCTAATTCTTTAAACAACTGTGCTTTACTTTTACCTTGTTTTCCTCATACCTTCATAGTCTGAAGGGGACATTTTGAGTTTAATTTTTTTTTTTTTTTTATTATTATTATTATTTCTCTGCACATATTGTATCTATTCCTTTTATATCTCTGTGACTCCTGATGTGTTGAGTAACGTGTGTTTGATGAGACTTAAAGTTACAGCTATTGAAATATGTTAACTGCTTGTGTGCACTTGCGCAGTGTTGCCTCCAATCTTATTGGGTTATTACCAACCTGTTATGATGATATTCTTCATTCTCACTAAAGCATTATTTTCTCCTATTACAATACTGTATTTGTCTGCCTATTTTGTCTCAACACTCTTACTTCAGAAATAATTATGAAGCCCAAGAAGGTGATTTGCTGTAAGACCCCGATAAATGTTGGTTAAGCTAACATACATTTTGATAAATGAGTTTAAGTTTAAAAGAATCCAAGATAATATTTTTTCTGGAGGTCAATTTGACGAAGTTTTAATACTTTGTGCAAGACTCTACTTTTGTAATGGTTTTGAGGACTGTTTTAGAGATAACAAAGTACACAGTATGTCAGGAGAGAAAATATCAGCTTTTTCTCACTTATTTTTTGCTCCACATAAATGGAATAGCAATTGTAAAAGTATTTGGAAGACCTTAAGACTGTTACACTGTACTCTCCAGCAACAGGACCGTTCTCGTGGTGCAGAGCCCTCGTCTGGGACGAGCACCCCAGGTTCACGCACTTCTTCTGTTCTTCCTGATCTCCTACCACAGGTTGGTTTATTATTTTTATTTTTATTTCAATGTTTGATTTTATTCTTCATAGAAAAAATAGGATATAAAAGATGTTGGGCATACAGATCAGAATTTTCAGGTAGACTTCCAGCTGCCAGGATGAGAGAGATTTCTTGCATTTCATCTGGCGAATGTCTTAGGCAATTTGATCACCTCAAGTAAAAAATAGTAATTTAGTACAAACAACTTGAATTTCATGTTTATTTACTCCAACTACAATTTCTGGGAGGGCTCCTATTGGTGGCTCCTTGGTGCTTGCTTCCTCGCAAGCTCAATCCAATTCAATCCATGACAGGCCCTTGATGTAACATATCGGAAAACGAATTGAAAAGAAATGATAAATAAGGTACGAGGGAGGTAGAGAGGTGTGAGGGAGGTGGGAGGAGGGAGTGGTCAGGGGAAAGGGAAAGTTTAGAATGAGAGGGAGAGACTGAGATCAAGGAGGAATTAGAAGAGTAGGAAGTAAGAGTGCTTGCATAGTAGAAAGATAGAAAAGTGGAAGGATAAAGTGTAGCTGCCACCATCCATTCAAATTAGTCTCAACTTTCACATTCAGTACTGCACTCGTTTGGTTTCTACATCTGGATTGATTTTTGTTGTTTATTTTCTTCATATCTTTTGATGAACCTAGCTAATGTCAGTCTTGTACAGAATGTATTGTACATTGAAGTGGGTTATGTCATTCTTCATGTATCTTGATACAATACCAAAACCAATGTGTTTAGTATGAGAAGTGGATCAAGTGTCTGAGTGGGTTACTGGTGTTAGGAAGTTTAAGGAAAGCAACTTCACCAGACTAGGCAAAGCAACGCAAGTCTGAGGAACAAGCAGCAGTTGCTAAGGTAACTAAGGGCTGCCTTGTGTGTGTGTAACATGAGATGAAAAATGAGTGAGAAAAGAAACAATGTGAAATTTTGATGAGATCCTGACACATTTCAGCAGACAGTGCCATCTTCAGGCGTTCATTTCTTGCCAGCCGATGGGCATACTTATTACACTGCTGTGCTCCTATTTCTCTCTAATAATTTAGTCATTCTTACACTCACAAAATTAATTATACTTGGAATTATGGTTAATGTTTCTTCAAGTGATCCATATACAAGTTAGAAAAAAGTACAGTATGTGTACTGTATGTGTATCTTCATTTGTTTTGCGGGCGTGCGTGTGTATCTATTTATGTATGTACAGTATGCATATATTTTTTGTGTATGTTGTGTGCTCGCCTATTTGTGCCTGCAGGATCGAGCGTTGGTTCTTGGATCCTGCCTGTCTAGCCTTAGGTTGTTTCACGCAATGACTCCTGTCCTACTTCTCTATCATACCTAGTTTTAAAGCTATGAATTGTTTGCTTCCACAACGTACTCCTTTAGTTCATTCCATATGAATGAACACTGTGTGTGTGTGTACTCACCTATTTGTGCTTACGGGATTGAGCTTTGGCTCTATGGTCCTGCCTTTCAACTGTCAATCAACTGGTAGAAGATTCCTGAGCCTACTGAGCTCTTTATCATATCTACATTTAAAACTGTGTATGGAGTCAGCCTCCACCACATCACTGCCTAATGCATTCCATCTGTTAACTACTCTTGACACTGAAACAGTTCTTTCTAACGTCCCTGTAGCTCATTTGGGTACTCAGTTTCCACCTGTGTCCCCTTATTTGCGTACCACCAGTGTTGAATAAATTATCCTTGTCTACCCTGTCAATACCCCTGAGGATTTTGTAGGTAGTGGTCGTGTGTGTGTGTGTGTGTGTACTCGCCTAGTTGTGCTTGTGGGGGTTGAGCTCTGGCTCTTTGGTCAAAATGTGTGTAATTACCTAAGTGTAGTTACAGGATGATAGCTACACTTGTGGTGTCCCGTCTTCCCAGCACACTTTGTCATATAGCGCTTTGAAATTACTGACGGTTTTGTCCACCACCACCTTCTCACCTAACTTGTTAAAGTGAGAAGGTGTGTGTGTGTATGTGTACATGTGGAGAATTTGTGTGTATTTGAGCTGTAGCACGTGATCACTTTGGGTTAAGACATTTTTATTAGATATTAACTTTCTGTAGAGCTATTTAAGTAGGAAAATGTCAACTAAGGCAAAATTAGTGTCTTGTTGAAACCAATGACACGTGTGCTTTTGTACCAAGACTTGGTGTGGGATGTTCCAAATTGGTCTGTCTGCGGCATGTACATTAATGGAATAGCAAGTTGATATTGTTAAAAGCTGTGTGATGTTATTGTCAGGTATTGACCAAATATATCTGTATATATTATGTCTTGTACAATATATATTGTACCTGGGGGTTTAATTTGTTCTTATATGCATTTAAAATTATATTTTCTTCGGCCTTAAGTGGTTCTTGGCAGAATATGGCCTTACTTCCTATAATGCAGTATTTAATAAGTGGCTCTTGGAAGACTGTTTCTCAAACATATTACTCACTATCTAATTGTTATGTAATAAGTTAAACAAATAAAACTACTGTAATCTCATGGTACCTTATCTTATTTATATATTTTGTTATAAATCATCTTGGAAATCCGTGTTCTGGCATGTTCTACCAGTCTTAATTTGCTCCACTTTCCCAATGGATATCCTATGATTTTTTTTTTTTTTTTTGTCCTTCCATACGCTTATCTTCTATGGTGTGTCTTTCTTATTGACCCCCAGCATCACCCTGTTTGCCTCCTTCACATACTGTATAGTTGAACACTTGACAGTTGTCATTCCTTGTATTTACTGCTCACTAATCTGTAATGTTTATATAAAAAACATATTAGGTATAATAGTGAGATCATATATTTACAGGCATCCAACAGTCCCAATGGATCCCGCCATGACAAGTCCACTAGCGAGGAGGTCAGTGCTCGCCTCTTTATAATACTTAAATACAAACTGCTTGAAATAATTTCTTTGCAGTGCTTTGCTGATTAAAGATGGTTCATTGCTTGCCTTGAAATTGCTCTTTTGATTGCTTTTCTTTTTGAGGGGTTAAGAAAGGAGATAGATAGGAATGGTGAAGTTAGGTCAGACTTGCAGATTGGCCTCTTATTTGCTGTAATGTTTGTTAAGTTCATCGTCTATTGCAGCATCCTTATAATAGGGAGAAGAAGTATTTTATGTCACCTCATGATAGAAGATTTATATATTATTCTGAAATTATTGTACATTATAATAGTATTATTATAATGCCAGTGAAGGTATTTTTTAATTTGTAAGGGCAATAATCAAATTACTGTACAGGTAGTTACAATTATGTAATTTAAATATATAGAGTATGTATATATATATATGTATGTTTTATACAGTGTAGGTGGTGGGAGTGTTGGTATAGATAATTAGTCGGTGTGTGATGATGTGTGTTTCTCCATGAGGCTATATAGTGTGTATGATGCACTCGGAAGATGAGCGTTCCCTCCCTTCTTTCTTGGCTCGTATCTCCCACCCCATGATAGTGGAAAATGGGACAAAGTAATAACAAATTATCTTAAATACATTCTAATTATACAGTACTTGCTTAAAGGACATTGATGCATCAGCAAGTTTGAGAGTGCACGTGCGAGAAATTAACGTTGAAAAACAGAATTTGCTTCTGGCAAAATTTTAAATTGAATATTTGTTAACAATACTCAAATATGGCATAATGATGATAATTTACTTTTGCATTTTTGAAAGTACAAAAGAAAAGTGGAGTTGTAGGTAATGGAAGGGAAAGAACCAGAGAAATAGTACACTTTATGTAAATGGTATACTGGAGCCAATATGACAAGAGGGGTTATTCAGAGGCAGGTGTTACCAGGTGTGCTTTATACAACTGTTGGACACCAGGTTCCACCATTGATAACTAGGATATTACACTGCCAATTTATTACTTCTTTTATTTATGTAGTATATGTAGTCAAAAAGCTGGTAATGCCTTGTGTGAGCAAGAATCAAACCAGTATTTAGACCAACAAATGAGGAATGCATTTAGTTTTCTAGTTGATGTTTCTACTTCCAAAGGTATTCAAATTATAAATGTACCTTTTTCCACAATAATATGAATGAGTAAAACTGTGTGTGGGAAAGATACAAAATTGACTGTGAAGTACACTAAATGCAGGAAAATTGTGTAGATGGCATCTGTTTCATGCATCAAATACAGGAAATTACACAATTATTGTAAACACCACATGGGAAAAGAAAGGTATAGGAAAGAGTTTGGTCATATTTGGAGATAGGGTAAAGTAAGGGGCATCAAGGGGTACAGGATAGGAGAAACTGCAGCATTGTAGCAGTGAGGAACATAGACAAGAGAAGGATTAAGTGGGAGTTGTGTGGGTAATGAGGCAGTGAAGCTGTGCATGACCTGTGTTGTCAGCATGTGGAATGGACACAGAAATTAACCAGTCAATGATTGCTCAGGAATATGTATTTCTATCAATTAGATATCGAAGATTAAATTCAAATTTTTATCTTGTGTATTTAATCATGAACTTTAATGTGCATCTCGTGGAAGCTATTGAATTAGTATTATCCTATACAGAGTCAATTTTATGCCAAAAAAAAAAATTTTTTTTTTAACTGCAAAAATAAATTTAGAATAATTTTTTATATTTCAAAATATATACATTGTTTTTACTTAAATACTGTAATTCACTGTAACTTTGCTTATATCACTTTACAAAACATTTGATGGTACAGTAACATAACTAGTCACAGAAAATCAGATTTGATTGTACTGTATATATATTATTCCAAGGCTTTCTGTTTGCACTCCCACAAAGCTTGCATTGCATGTGCAACAAAGTATATTTTCCCAGTACTGTATTGTTGATATAATACTGAGCTCAGTGCTTAGAGCTCAACTCTATTAAGATGTACCATATTGTACATCATTTGCACTTTCTCTCCCTGTCTAGATATATATGATTATTTTTTATGATGTATACTGCAAAAAATGATTAATATTGTTAATACATGTAATGTATAAAGTGAAGGCCAAGTGTAAGATACATGGTGATGTGATCCATTTGTCTTGCATGCGGACTAACTGTTGAATGTGGTGCTGAGTAACTAACCCAAGAAGACGTCTCATCGCCACTAACACGTAAGTACAGTATCTGGTTGACAAGTGTACCCTGTGTGAACTAGTAGTATGGTGAGCATGCAATACTTTCTGCCTTATTAATCACCTACTCCACTGCTGCATATTCTATCGTTTATCTTCTTCCAAACGTAATTTATTATTATTGTTAACACTTAGAAATTGAGCGGTGTTCTTAGTAACGTTTACTTTTAATGCTCAACTTTTTCTTTGATTTAATTTGCTTCAATTTTTTGGGGGGATTCAGCAACATTCTTCAACTCTGAAAATCTTGGCAGTCTTAAATAAATGGTGCATTCTTTAATCATATGTAGATGCAGCATATATTTGAATACATTATGTGAATAACCCACTACAGTATTTTAAAAACACAAAGAAATGTAGCCTCGAAGTTTTGGTCCCAAAGTTTGACCCTCTTCAGCAGTGAAGTGGGTCCAGGTTTGGGACTGACATATTCAGTCTATGTTTCCTTGTGTTTTCAAAATAGTGGGTTATTATTGCCATTGATTAGTGCACTACTGCACTTCATTCTCATATGAATAACATTAACCTGTAAAATTGTAAAGCTCATAATTCCTACACTTCTTTCACCAACAGAATCCCTCTTTTGAATATTTCTCCCTCTGCATATAACCAATATTTACAAATATAGTGAATAGATAAATTTGACCAACAGTTCAGGTAACTACTTTCTTTCATCTAACTTCAGCCTTAGAGATAGCTAATGTCATCTACAATTTCTGCATCTCTAAGAGTATACCTGGAGTAGGCTCTGGGAGCTCTTCTCCCAGAGCTCTTCTCCCAGAGCTCTTCTCCCAGAGCCTTCTTAACACATCCAAAACTTCTCCCAAGTCAGGCAAAAACCTGCTATCTTGCACTATTTTCTAATTTATCAGCATTGAATATACTGAGTATTGGTATTATGTGGGTGAGATGTTAAGTGTGGATTGATACCATAGTTTGTTGCTATATATAATAAAGGCAAATGTTGACAAAGTAGTGAATTACGGTACACTGTACACCTGCTTCTCATTCTGCTGCTGATATACTCCCACCTCATGTATTGACCCTGTAATTGGACTTTCCTTTATAGGCTATTGCTAATGCCAATAACAGACCTACAAGACCTGCATGAGCTATATTATACACCATTATTTGATTATGTAAATTGCTCTTTTCCTATGTATTACCCTTTCAAATATAATTAGACGCAATTTTTTTTTTTTTAGCTATGTTGTAGGTTTACCTCTTGTGTAAGGTTTCTATAACTTTCTTTTACACCATTTTTTGTGTTAATATGTATGTGGGTAAGAACATTGTAGAACCCTGAAGTCATTTGATACAGCATTTAAGAGCTAGTCATTGTGGGGAAAGGGAAGGTAAATTAGTGATAGAAGTTGTGATTGAGTGTTGACAGTGAATAATGTTGCCAATAGATGGAGTGAATATTTTAAGTTTACCGGTTATTAATGGTGAAGAAATAGTGATAATTTCAAATTTTGGAATGAGGAAAGTGGATGGAATAGAACCAGTGGAACTAAGAAGTATAGAAGAAGGAAATTAGGGAAGTTATGTATAGGTTAAAGAGTGAAAAGGTTCCTGGTATACTGTAGATGTAGTACAGTAACATTGGATATGTTCAAGTATAGGGTCGAGGTGATGGTGGACAAAATGGTTAATGTTTGATGGTGTGACAGAAGAGTGAGGTACCAGATGTTTGGTCTAAGGTCATTGTAATCCCTATACTGTATATATATGGCAAAGGCAGTAGAGAAGACTGTGGGGCTTACAGGGATTAGTTTACTTAGTATTTCAGCAAGTGTATACAAGGGTACATTGTGGAATCTCTTACAAGAGGTAAATTTATGCATGATGAGAGGAGAGTTGTACAGATTAGACTTTTACTGTGAGATTGGCTCTTGAAAGATTTCTTGCAAAGGACAGCATGTTATATGCTTCCTTCAGGGATTTAGACAAAAACACATGGCTGACAAATCACAAAGCAGTGTTGTAGAATTTAAAGAGTTATAGACTTTTAATGTTGGGTTGTGTAGTGTCTCCTTGGCCCCTTAATATATGGTCTAAATGGATGGGTTAGCTTGGGAGGTAAAGGCAAACTTCTTTTATTCTTGTAATTTTCACTGCCTTTATGCATATGTGACTTGATTCCTTACATCCATGATTAAACCATGCCTGTCTTTGTTCTCTCTCTGAAGGACAAATTTGCCAGCTGCCTCCCAATGTTTCTCATAGAAGTTCATTATTTGCTGTGGGAGACTTTCCCCCTGAGTTCTATCTCCCATTGTATTTTTTATTGTCTCTCTCTCATTTCCACACACTTTTTTCCCTTTCATATGCCAACCATTTGTCTTCTGGCCATTTTTTTTTCCACAAGGTACTCAAATTACATTACACAGTGATCAATCATTCCTAAATTGACTTCCAAAATCAAGCGTTCGAAATTGATTTCCCTTATGTTTGAGTTGTTTTTGGCATGTTTGTATGTAGATGATAGTGTTTTATTTACTAAGAGTGAGGAAGCTTTGCTAAAGAATATGACTTATGTTTGTGTGCTAGAGAAGAAAGTTGAAGATTATGGTACTATTTGATATGAAGAAATCTGGAACCATACCTGGGAAATTTGGGCACAATGGCAAATATCCAATCCTGGCATCCAAAGAACACCAGTATAAAGGAAAAGCAGCTTGATGGGAAAGCCATTCAAAGAACTAGAACACTCACATCTCGGGCCTGGGGATGTGAAAAGGGAAACGAAATACCCAAAAGGAAACTAGCAGGACCCTTAGGACTTTGGAATACATACTCAGGAAAGTGAGCAAACCCACAAGGAAAAGTTTGCTCCCTTATTATTATTATTATTATTATTATTATTATTATTATTATTATTATATATATATATATATATATATATATATATATATATATATATATATATATATATATATATATATATATATATATATATATATTATATATATATATATATATATATATATATATATATATATATATATATATATATATATATATATATATATATATATATATATATATATATATATATATATATAAAAATATGAGTTTTTACATTCTTGTACAGGCACTAGCATGCGTAGCATTTCAGGCAAGTCCTTAATCATGTGTTACCCAGAATACGACCCCGCCAAATCGTTTAACAACCAGGTACCCATTTTATTGTTGGGTAAACAGAGGCTACATTTAAGGATTGTCGCTCACTAAATCTCCCCGGCCAGGATACGAACCCAGGCTAAAGCGCTTGCAAAACGCCAGGAGAGTGTCTTAACCACTACACCACAGGGACTGCGGGACTCCTTAGCTCACTACTGTAAAACATGGCTCGTATAACTGAGGCATGCCCTTGGCACGCAGCCTACATAACTTGTGCAAGAAACTGTACCTCATCACCACCTACAGCTTCTACACCTTTTAACTTTCTAACTGATGTACTTGTCTTTTTCCATAAATGTATCAGCTGTCATGCTGTCTTGAACTCTCTCAAACCATCAGTGTTCACATTAGCATTGTCTTTCATTATTTGCACATATTACATCTTCAAGGTATTCTCTCTGTACTTAAAACCCCGACCGTCCAATTGGTTAGGCACCATTCCTTGCCCCGTCCCATCCTAAATCCTTACCCTGATCCCTTCTAAGTGCTATATAGTCAAGCACCAAGTTGACTTGGTGCTTTCTCCTGATAGTTCCCTTCCCCTTCTCCGTGTACAGTATTTCTAATTAACTCTTAACTTAACATTTATCATCATTTACCCATCTGCCTGTTTTCCTGCTACACTTCCTTAATTATCGCAAAGAGAGTTTCCTGGTTTTTATAACTTTCTGCCATTTTTATATATTGTCTTATTTTCTCACTTTCTCAGCTGAACTAATATTTTCACATACCTTTTGCTCTCATCAGACTCCCTTTTATTACCTCTTTATTTTGCACTCATAAAATCCACTTCTTTTTCTTATCAACAGTTTTTGCCAGTTTGTTATCCCAGAAAGCGGTTGATTTCATTCTTCTCCACTTTGGTTAAGAATGCCAAGAAAGTAAACACATTCCCAGTATACATATCACATGTCACAAAAGTTCATGTGTTCATAATTGCTTACTGCCATCTCTTCTTTGTATATATTTAATGATTATTTCTTTTTCACTCAACATTTCAACTTTTAATTCTTCACCTCTTGGATCTTTGAGAGTGTCAATCACCATTTTTCTACTTAACCTTGACACTAACATGAGATGAGACAAACCTTCAGATGTTGCTCTCACAGCCCCTCTACCAGTTTAGTTCATTTATTATACACCCCATACCCATCTTGTGGGTGGTAGTGGAAAGGGTTACAGTGGCACATAATGGGCTCAGGGACTGAACCCCACAATTCATTTAGCTAAGCAAATTACAATCTTGATGAGCTAGTTACAAAATTCAGTATAAGTCGTCACATCATCAGTGGGTTCAAGATCGCCCTGTAACACACACACATTATCTCAACCAGCAGTATAGACAGTTACTCTCTTTCTGTTTTTGTGCTTTATTCTGTTCTGTGCAGATTTCTGTACAATATACAGTATTCTAATTTTTCAAATGTGTTTTATTTTTCATGGGACACCATTTCCACCCATTATATTATTCTTGGGAACTGTTCCCACTTTACCTTTCAGATTGTCTATTCCTATTATTCTAGAACACCTAGGTATCATTCTCGCAACTACCTCCAACAAAATATTACCATTCTAATCTGTCATCACAGACAGTGCTATAGCCTTCTAGGCTTAATACTTTCTTTTAATAGTACGTACCTGCTTCTCTCCTCATATGGCATATATGCAGTTATGATTGCTACCTTCTTCAAACTTGAAATTCTCACTCAACCACCTTGAGCTGCAAATATGAGAAGTCATCATTGCCCCCATTCTGCCTTATTTGTTATCATTCATAGTTTCTTAATAATCCCTCACATTTTCTTTTACCCCTGTTCTTAAAAAGTTCAAATTAAATCTGAATATCCAGACTAACTAAATCAAATAATTCCCTCATAATATTCTGTATTTTTGTAAGTGGTTAAACTTTCATGCAGTGGCCAGGACGGGGTGTAATTTAAAGAACCTTATCTATGCTTTTCTCTGAAAGTTTGTATTTTCTGAATTCAGTATATTTTTTCACCTCTCTTTTTATGATCTTCGTTTCTTTGCATCTGCTTACTGTTACTTTATTGCTGTAACAATTTTAATCCATTTCACATATTTCAATTTTGTCCCATTTTCAGCAAGTGGTACTTATATGATAGCAAAATCAGTTTTCACAATTTTTCAATAATAAATTCTTACAGCTTTGGATTTTTTATTTTTTATTGCACAAAAGAATTTTGTGTGAAGCCAGCCAATGGCTATAGTGTTTGAAGATTTTGCATGTGCCATCCTGCTTTAAACATGGCACAGATTGATCATTACAAGAGCCATAGATGGGGTAGAGCTTATTATTTATACATTAACTTAAATATAGGGTAGATCATTTAGAACTATTTAATGTGAACTTGTAATTAATAGTTTTTGCTGACAATATATTTATGAAACATAATTGTCTGTCTTTTTACAGTATCGACAAGCAGTAGGTAAGGGTACTCCTCCTCAACTTCAGATTAAACAGAGGTCGTTCATGACGTTCGGCTTTGGTGCAGGGGGAACAGAACCACCACGACGAGAATCACACATTAGTATCAACGTTGCACCAACATCACACGAGGTCAACGATACCCCGGAAATTAGGAAGTACAAGAAGAGGTTCAACTCGGAAATTCTCTGTGCATCATTATGGGGTGAGTATTTATAGCAAAGAAAATTAAATTAATTCCCACTTTAGTCTTTGGTTTAAAATAAGACACAGTGTTACTGCCAGGATTTATTGTCGTGGCAGGTTTTGCATGCACAGTATGTAGTTCCCAGATAAATGTTTTTCTTTATAAAACTTTCTGGAAGTGAAATGAGTGCTACCTAGGGTCTCATATCTCGTTTTTAGATATATATATATAGTACTGCTTAAATCCATTACTGTAGTATTTGTTTACAATCACCTTGAGGTTACCTTAAGCTAAAGTTATATCACTACTACTGAACATCACTACTTATTTTGAATACAACAACACTTAATTCATTATCTGATATACACTTTGAGTGTTAATAAAGCCTGCCTATTGTGTTTCTAGTCACCCCTGGGATAAGCTTCCAAGCTCTGGGATACTGCCTGTGTATCCTCTGGTATATTGTGCTCTGGGCTATGCTCCTCCCATATGTAGATTATTAGGGATAGTCACAACTAAACATATATTCTTGCTGTGTTGTGGAGTATCATTTTCTGAATGAAATTTCAACATTTCCAGGTGTTAACCTATTAATTGGTACCGAGACTGGATTGATGCTGTTGGATCGGTCGGGCGTCGGCAAAGTGTATCAACTAATCTCTAGGCGACGATTTCAACAAATGGAAGTACTCTCTGACCAAAATATATTGGTGACTATATCCGGAAAGAAAAATCGTGTTCGAGTCTATTATCTCTCTTGGCTCAAGTCCAAAATTCTCCGAACAGATGCTGTGAGTTTTCTTTGTTTTATATACTTGTGTTGAAGTTCAGTACATTAATACTGCACATATGTTCATATAAAAATGTAGACTTTGGGGTAGTAGTAGACTAAGGCTACATGGTATGCAAGTAGACTTGTGGGTAGCAGGCTGGGATCAAGCATCTGCTACTTGAATTATAACTTCATTTGTTGATTTTTAGAAGGCTTATCACACAATACGTAGCGATGCATTTATTGTGAATGGAGCTCTGTTGTTTGTGAGGAAAGCTGTTCAGTACTATAAATTAATGCTTGTTTAAGAGGAACTATAAATATCCTGAAATAAAAGATGCTAGTGCCTCAAGGATGTGTAACATCATAATGTCTGTGTGACTTTTGAATGGATGATGCAGTGTGTCCGAGTAAGGTGCAAGGATTGTCATATAACTTTTTTTTTGATAGAATGAGTGAAAGTTGCTTTTGGGAGCCTTGGTAAAGTCTACATAGTTACATATTGATGTGACCATAAACGTGTGAGAATTTTTCTCTTGGTATATATATATACCAATATACAAGAAGGGTAGTGCTTTTCCTATTACTTTTACTGAACAATAATGAAGTAAATTTTTCCATGTGGAAAGAGTATGTATGGGCAAGTAACCAATTAAGCACTGCATATAACCACTGAAGGGGATGGGTTAAAAAATATTGATTTGGCAAAACCATGTCCACAATTTGTCATATTGGTAGATGACAAATGATGGTAATGCAGAAGTGTCATAAAATATTACTAGAACAAAAACCCTTACCTAATCTGTCTTGGGCCTAACTTAACATTACCTAGGCCTAATATATTTCATATATATTAAAGCTCTAGATAAACTAAGCCTAGGTAATTAATGTAAGCTAAGCCACAAGAGCGTTACTTTACGCTTTTGTCGACATTTTCTGTCTCCCATAGAAGCACTTTGTCATCCTTCAGTGTTAAACTTGTTGGTTGGTATTTCTGATGGGCTTCCATACTGTAAGGAGACCTGAAAAATATAATGTTATTACTTAAGTTGATGGGAACAGGCAGAATCCAGAGTTCATTTGGCTCTATTGCCAGATTTCTGCTCCAGTACATGAACAGTTGTTTGTTTAGATGCCTTATAAGACCTAACTAGCTATTCCATGTCCAGTAATGCTGACAAATGCATTGTATGTATATCTGGTGCTGTCAAATCCTCAAATTGTATGAATACACTTTGAAACACTTCATTGAAGATGTTAATAATTGAAACTTTTAAATTTCCTTTTGTCTTTATTAATGTTAGCTATTCTAAACACCTTTATTTTATCAATTAGATGCAGTTTACTGTTAATAATTTATAAAATAGCCTGGGTTGTATACAAGGCAATCAGTTCACAGTACTGGAACCAAAAAAAGCAAAACACACACATGTTCATATAATGGAAAAACCCCCATCCATTGGCAAGGGTTATGAGCTAATGTGTTGGTGAGATACTTCACTGTAATTGAACAACAACATGATGAGCCTGAGGTAGTATTACAGCTGTGAAAACACTTGGATTTTAATATCTATTTGATAATTAATAAATTGGTTATTGTTAAGTGTGCTTCATCAACCAAAACCTTAGGCTATTTATTGCAAGAATAATATAAAAATATGGCTTTTAAAGTTTTTTTTAGATTTATGTAAACTGAATTCGCACCGTTGAATATGTTTAGAGAATTTTGTAAAGTTTGATTAGGGCCATGTGATAAGTGTTACATTTTAAATATGTCGAATTGTCAATTCCCTGCAGCAACAAGTTGAACGGCGGAATGGTTGGATCAATGTTGGGGATCTCCATGGTGCAGTACACTTCAAAATTGTGAAGTATGAGCGAATTAAGTTCCTGGTGATTGCTCTGCGTGATTCAATTGAGATATACGCCTGGGCACCTAAACCCTACCACAAATTTATGGCATTTAAGGTAAGAATAGCACGATTTATTCTCAGAGTTAGTAATACGTTGTCTATTCAGTGAGACAGATTAATGCTGACACTGGAAGAAAAATTTTGTTATGGTCACTTGGCAGAAGGCTGGAGGACCATGTGTTGTGTGATGTTACTGTTGGCCAAGTTGTTTGAGACAGTATAAAACTTTGATCAAGAGTCAAAGAACAATCGTATCCCAGGTTGCATCCAATTAAAGTTGCAGCAATTTAAGGAAGAAATATTCTGAGTGATTATGAGCTCCAGCACCAAAGATATCTGGTACTGTATTTAATACTCTTTGCATTCATGATTCGTGAAGTGGGCTGAAGGATTGGTTGGACTTATTAATTGTATTATGTTTTTTATTCAATTAAATAAAGTAAACTTATAGATGCATTGAAATTTTGGTTGGTAGCATTATACTTTGGTATGGATCTGTCCATTCAGGAATACAAAGGTATTGAATAAAATGTTAAATTTGCATTAATAACAGGATACAAGACAGTCAGGTCTCATGGAACAGGGCAACATATTAAAGATATAAGAATAATGTCTGATGACCTAACTCAGTGAGCATAAAACAAACTTAGCATTGGCCAAAATGATATTGTAGGAGGAAATGCGCAACTGACACCAAGAAAACTTTAGATGACCTACAAGAAAGGTATAATAACACTGTAAATGAAAAACAGACAGGACAACACTGCCCTCAACTCTGCTTAACTTCTCTAACATCATTAAAGTATAAATTTCACTCTTTGTACACAGATGTCTGAATGACCATATATACTTGCCAATCACATGCAACTGGAGAGAGAATGCTCAGAGGACCAGTTCAAATTGACAATAGAAGCTGACATGCTCACTCGTCTATGCCATTGTCTAAACTGTTCATCAACTTTAGAGGTTGCTATATATGGATTAAGCTGCTCTCAACGTTTGAAACTTGCCAACACTTTCCTTGTTCAAACACACTCAGATGGCACTTTATATCATAATACAATTGAAATGTCTAAATAGTGCAGATTGCCAAGAATCTGTGAAAAATCAAAGATTCATTGTATGTGAAAACCATTGAGGCAATGGAGTGACTTGAACTTGAGTTCTGGTGACTCCCAGATGGTTCAGGCAGGTGTTTGGGAATCACCAGAACACAAAATTCAAGTCACTCCATTGCCTCAAAATGATTTTCATTGATGTTTTATGCCATTGTGATTTCAATGCAATGCATGTGTGTATGTGTTATAAAGATTTGTCATCTTATTACCATCATGTAAAATTATATCATTAACAAACCTACTTTATAAAACATGCTTTGTTTAGGCATTATAAGCCAGTCAATAATATTGTATTAGATTAAAATACTACTCATTAGTAAAATTCTTATGACATAGATGGATAGAATTAGGATGCATTTATGTATTCTTTAGCCATTTTGCCATGAAATCTATTAAGGACTTTATAGAAGGAAAAATTAATGTCATTTATTATTTAATATAAAATGAAAAATAAATATTTCATTTATTTGTTCTTATTACTGTACTGTGTAGCCTTTTGTTACTAAATCACAAATCCTCTTTAGTATCTGGCTATGATAATAGTACTTGCCTAGTTGTGCTTGCGGGGATTGAGCTTTGGCTCCTTGGTCCCGCCTCTCTTCAGTCTTCAGGTTTTAGTGTACAGTTTAAGGGGCAGTTAAACATTTATTATTTTATATTTTGAGTTATTAATGTATTGGTTTCTCTTGAAGAGTTTTGGTGAGTTGGTTCAGAAGCCATGCTTGGTGGATCTAACTGTGGAGGAAGGGTCACGTCTCAAGGTGGTCTATGGCTCCAACCAGGGATTCCATGCAGTAGATGTCGACTCGGGACAGGTCTACGACATCTATCTTCCCAAACATGTAAGTTTTATCAGATGAGTTAGGGATACATAATTGCATTTCCCATAATATGTGCAAACACCACCATCTATAATAGTTTTAAATATTATAGAGCTGTGCTTGACATTGTTGAGTAGCCACACAGCTTCAACCTCCCTGTGCCAAATACACCTAAGAGCACAGACTTAACACTTGGGGGTATAAGGATGGACTAGGTGCAGGTTAATAAGACTTATGATGTCAACCAAGACTATGGCAGGTCTCTGCCTATACAGTAACACCTTTAAAAACTTCAAATTTGCCAGTGACACACTTGCTTTTGAAACAGTTCATTTATTCAAATGCAGGCAGACAGACAGAAGTCACTAGTTTGGTGACTGGTTGTCTGCCTATTATGGATCAGTGAAGCCTTACAGGCAACTTCTGGGTTCACAAGAATTGAAGCCTTGAAACTACCAAACAACTTCCATAAATGATTCAACAGAATCCAAATAATTTATTTGAAACTATTTTATTACTCAAAATACCAAACTCTGACCTTGTGACGTTCTCATAATTATTGTGTGTTTTATGTACTTTTTGGACAACATTCTTTCATCTCTACATGAAAAGTGTTTTGCACTTCATTATGTACAGTATTTGTGGTAGGAGAGTTAGCCTAACTGCATGCCATAAATTAGGTCTATTTCCTGGAACACACACAATATAAAAATCTGAAATTCTTTTTCCTTTGTTTTCATACATTGCTTTCTGATGTTGGTGAAAAAAATTATAATTATTTTAGCTTAGCTATAGCCAGGTGAAGAAATGTTGTCATATACTGAGGGATAATTTCCAAGTTAACTATTTGTAATAAGTTATCCTCATCATCACTAATACCTCTCAGGTCCACACAAGTCCTTGAAATTTTGCTTGGCATCAGTGGTTGCTGGCACTGGCACGAGTCAGTGGATGGTGCTGCACCTCACATGCTGCCCATCTTTTGACCAAGACTTTCAGAATTTATTCTTGTATGGCAAATGATCACCAAAGATTTCTAGTGTCAAATGACATCCACATAGAATCTTAAGAACTTCAGAATATTACAAGTCACATCTAATCTGCCACAGGCAAGAGGTACACTGTCGGTCTATCACTTGAGGGTGACTGGAACAATTTAAGGGTTAAATAATAATATTCAAGTATAGTACTGCAGGTTTATATTGTGACAATTTTAATTTAGAGGCTTGCAGGACTTGACCCTGTTTTCTTACACTATCTGTGTTACCATCAGGAACCATGTATATAGCTCCACTACGGGCTCACCATAGCTCATGCTACTTGAAACTTTTGTTCCGAGTAGCTGAATCTAAAACAACAACAATGTATTACTATAGACTATTATGGATCAGCATATTTTATTACATCACCATATTATACAGAGCGATACAAAAATTTAAGACTTAGTAGGAAGTATTGTATGCTCTTTTCTGATGTTTAATCATACTTTATTTTTTTATTCATTATTAAACAAACATTAACTTAAATGTTCCACTCTTAATAATTTATCTGATAATTAGTCTCTAGCATCAGTTAGTGTAAGAGAAATTTCACCTTCACCATATATTATTTATTCTAATGAAAATTATATTTTATTTTATTTAACCACTCTTCTGGTGTAGCCTTTCTGACATTCTATACTTGTTTCACTTGCCATTCCTTATTGTAAAAAAGTAGTGACTACCTGCCATGGGCACGAAGCATTTGTAGGGGGAGTGTCCAGAGAAAATACGACCCATGGAAAATTAAGCAAATGTTACATGATTTGTTATTATTTTCAGATCCAAGGTAACATCACTCCACACACAATAGTCACACTGCCTAACAGCAACGGTCTTCAGCTGCTCATCTGTTATGACAATGAGGGTGTTTATGTAAACACTTATGGAAAGGTAAACTGTCTTCTGAACTTTTACTTAGCAATTGTTAAATAGCTCTCAATGAAGTGGCAAAAAATTATCAATAGGATGGAGTAAAAATGGGTATGAAAGTGTTATGCTGCTATGAATGACGTAGCATAGCTTGTAGAGCTTGTGTATCAGACTCAAATTTAAAGAGAGTGTGGCAGTCATTACGCAATAATTAAGGGTGATTTCATTTGTAAAATGTAAAGTTTGAGTAGACTGACATAGCCTTCCCGGTTTGGTGCCTTCTTTTGATAATTACTTACTTGAGTAGACTGATGTACACCTGTTTAGTTTAGCCGTTATTGTGGTGATTTGTACAAGTTGAAATAGTTTCTTATTCTGAGTATGACAACTGTAATGATTTTAAAATAATTAATAAATGTTCACTTTCATTTCTTGAGTATACAGTTCATAATTACAAATATTTCTTGTTATTATTATGACACTCTTGGGTAAATAATTTACTGTAACTTTGTGCAAACTTAACCCAATTATAAATGATAAGTTTTTCAGAGCCACCTCTTCACTTTGGGCATCTGGTACAGCTTACCCTAAATTTCATACATGTTTTATCTACTTTCAAAACTGTAGATTGAACTGGCCTCAAATGGCCTCTTCATACAGTTCATTCTAATTACTTATACACTAAAGGAAATTATGTCACGTGGCTTATTTGTTTAGTTTCAACCTGTTCTCTAGTCCTACTTCTCATTTAGAAGTGTTCTTCTCCCATTAATCTCTCTCAGTATATTGTATTTTGTGACCACATCGCCTCGGGACATTCTTCGCTCCACTTTTTACAGCTGTAATTCATTTAACCTGTTCACATCGCTTCAGTCTCTTTCCAGGACGAGCAATGTAGCAAATCTTTAAACCTTTTTAAATTTCTTTTTTGCATTTCAATGTGTGTGGATTTCATGTCATTGTGTCACATACTCTAGGGCTTGTTTAACCCTTGGACAGCAGTTATCGTCAATTGTTGATTCACAGGGTAATGCAGTTATCATGTGAAGATTTAATAAATTTTTGTCTAAGGGTAACCCAGGTAGTACATAAGTGTTCTGTTTCAATAGCATGTTCTTATGTCTGCTAATTTTGCCTACATTACTGTTGTTGTTCTATTTGCTTCTGGCATGAATGTGTTTTTTTTTTTTTTTAACTTTTTTTAAAGATTATAGTTGCTCTATTGTCAGTACTGTTATCTGCTCTACTTCTTTCCCCCATTTTCATAACTTAAATGAATGTTGAGTCTAGTATCCATATGTCTGACCACTCTTGAAGCCCTCATTTATTTTTATACTTCTCATTAGCATAGCATAATCTGCAAATAATGATATGAAGGAATCCATTTTCTCAGGTCCAGGAACAATAGGGAATCCAATCCTGATACTCTACTCCTCTCCATTTTGAACGTGCATTTCTTGTGATTATAGTACAGTACTTTGTTTTCTTTCTGTTAGGTAGTTTGTATCAGCTGTTTTTCCAGTTTACTTCTGTCTTGTATGTTAATCTTGGTGTGGGATGATGTCGAAGACTTTCAAACAGTCAAAGATACACTCCATTAATACTGTATACAATATAAGGCATTTTTTTATTTTAACATTCATTTCTGTTTGCAGGTAACCAAGAATATGATGTTACAATGGGGAGAAATGCCAACATCTGTAGCATTCATTGGCACTGGCCAGATAATGGGATGGGGCAACAAGGCTATTGAAATTCGTTCAGTGGAGACAGGCCACTTGGATGGAGTCTTCATGCACAAAAAAGCACAAAAACTAAAGTTTCTCTGTGAGCGAAATGACAAGGTAAGATATTGCTATTGGACACATTGAGTTGTACTTTGTTATATTGTTCCTGGATATAATTAATTTAATCTATAAATTTGTAGTGCCCGTCACCACAAATATGAAGGACGTCTTTGAGTATCTACATAAAAATGTCAAGATTTATGAGTTAAAATGTTTGTAGTGTTATTAGGCCATCTAACCAAATATTTGGAAAATGTCAGTGGAAGCTTGCTTGCACAAACCTTTCTGTATATTTGACCTGATGCCACAAAATACAATCATCACTTATGTTTAGTGTATCACAAGAGCAATTAACTCCATTCAGCTTAAACTTGAAGTGTATAGGTCTAAGAACCATACAATATAATATGTATACTTACATTATTGTAACCATGAGTTACAGAGTTGCAAATTCTTCAGAGCTGTAAGCCTCTGGTCGGTATGGATTTAAGACAGACTTGAAGGATTGCTTCATAAATTGTTATGAGTTTTACTTAACTTCGTATAAATATATATTTCCAGTAGACTGATTTTGTAATAGAGATTTTAGAAAATATGATAAAATAAACATTAAGTATATTCAGAATACCTCAACATTGACTGTTGTCAATAAATATTGAAGCCGTATGTGGGTTTGATCTCAATATACATATTCATACACTCGTGTTCTTTTGATTTCACTGGCTTTAAGCTTTATTTACCAAGATCTAATTATGGGTGCTGTTGAAAAGTTTAGCCCCCCATAGAAACTATTATTTGTATATTTTTGCTGGTTTCTGTGATTATGAAGCCTTATGGTACTGAAACAGAGTACTGTACACTTATGTATGATAGTTATCCTTTGGCTGTTGGATAATGTTATGACAACTACAAACAACTACCACCATATCTCTCCTTCATGCTCATTATATTTGCCGAGTACATTACACTGGTTTTCACAACACTCAACCCTGCATGTTTTGCACCTCAAGCACTGGTTACCTCAAACATTGAGGGAGGGAATGCACTACATGCATTCTCTTCCTCAGAGGTTAGAGCAAAACATCGGGACATATATTCCCTATGCCAAACTGGGAGTCTGCTGTACTGAGTAACTAATTTTGAAAATTGCTCTCTTGCTGAAATATAACTGATTTCCAAACATGGAACTCTACTAGTTTATATTATTAACACTTTGGCACCCCAGCATCTCTGCATCTTATGAACCATAAATGTTCAGGGCTTCCCAGGCCACTTGGCAGTGCAAGAAATGTTTTCAATTATTTTTTAAGTTGGTGGGTTATAACTATAAATTTGGGGTCAACATATTTGCAAAGGTCTAGAGAATGGATGCAAAACCAAAAATGTATTGGTAACAGATTATGCTCCTCTCCGTGCATTCCCGAGCGTAAACATAGCAGGCTTGGTGGGTCCTGCTCAGCAATACTTAAAATGTTTAACGATCATTTTAAGTTTTCTTAGGTTATAGCTAAAAGTTTGGTGGCAAAGTCTTTGCAAATTATTTCTCTAGAGAATAGAATAAACAAAAATGTTTTTATAATAGATTATGCACAACAGCAGTGAATATATGAATCTTTAATAATGGCAATATGATGAATCAATTTTTTTTGTCAATTTGCATTGACATGAATTTGGTAAAAGATAGTATTAAGTATTCATGCTGCCATATTTTGTTACACTATAACCATATATACTGACAAAACATTTTGTTTTAGGTGTTCTTTTCATCAGCTAAAGGCGGATCTTCGTGCCAAATTTACTTTATGACGCTCAACAAACCTGGCATGGCTAACTGGTAAAAGAAGAAACCAGTATGTCCATGTTACTAATATCTCATCACCAAAGGATAGTCTTCCTTGGCTACTCAAAAGCTGAACATCTGCGGAATAACTGCTACAGTATGCTGTTAAGAGAGTACTGTGAAAATAAGTACTTGTCTGAGGACTAGAGTGGTTATTCACCTTTACCAGTTTGAAGAATAGACATCTTGCCAATTAAATGCCCAATACAAAACTTGCTGATATGGAGAGGCTGCCCTGGACTCTGTAGTTAAATATTAAGGGCTGTGTACAGAGACCAAGTGGTTGGCCAACACAGTCATTCGGAACCATTTTTTGTTATTCAGTTGTAGGGTGGTGAAGCTTGTTGTGCTTTACTGTTGGGCCAAAGTGTGTTGTTGTTTGGAAGGTTCACCTGACTTTGCAACACAAATTTATTAATGTAAAATTCTTTAATAGCGATTGGACATTTAGTATGTTAAATATTGATTGAATTGACAAAGTTTAGGAGAAATTGTTGATTTTTATAGGAAGATCTTGCAACTCAGTGGTACTTGCTCAATTGAGATCTGTAATTTTTGTTTATTTGTATAAGTAATAAATTATATATCTAGAACTAAACAAATATTTAGGAATGTAATCAGTGCAGACAAAATTGTTATTGAAAAATTAGTGACAAGAGTTAAAAATTGAACTTAGAAAAACCATGCAAGATATCCATATTTTATACATGTTAGGATAGTATATACGGTAACATCCTGGGTTGCCTCCCTGCACAAAAGCAGGATGAAAGTGTGATGGTGTACAGGGATGTGTATGCATGTATGTATGATGTAGGGCTGGGGTTTGACGGAGCTGCTGTTGAGAATGAGGATGGAGCATCATAGCTGGTTAGAGTGCACACTGGGTAATTTTTTTTTTTATATTTAAATCCCCCCACCTTTGTTTGAATCATTTACATCATTATCAAAAGCTCATATTTGGACAAGTCTCCTATCACACTTGCTGGATCAATATCAAGAGTGTGTATAGATCCAGAATAACATTCATCTGCCCAACAGGTATCCTTGCACCTTACCCAGCAAACGATAAACCACCCCTCTGTTTTTAAGTTGTATATGGGCCAGTGCCTTTTGGATGTGCAAACATTGAAAGGTTTGCCATTTCAAATTACCCAAAAGGAAATCTAAGAGTTACTGTATGTGCAGTTTGTGCACCCGTTGAGACCTACATACTTAAACTAAGGACTGATGGTATTATCATGTCATTCATTTGTCATTCCATTTTTAATAGACATAATGCAAATGTACATCATGGAACTGCATTCCTGTTATAGGTTGTACAGTGTATATGTGCTTTTAAATGAAGCCAAAGTATGAAGGTTTTAGCTAGTGGAGAAGCTATTCTTTCTTATCCTCTAACCAATAAGTAAAGTGAAATATGCAATATAGGTGTAAAAATCTATTCTTATGGTGCTCTCTCAACATCCAAAGCAGTAGTGTGTATTAAGAGAATGAGGAATTGTTTGGTCAAGGGGCAGCAGAGGAAGGTTTGCTTCTGATAGTGGCTCCTATTAAATGTTAATCAGCGACTACAAATAATCCATTCATCAGGTATTCAAAGTGTCATACAGTACCAAGTCTAGAGATATTGTGACAACTACAGTGATCCTGACCAGTGTCCCTCCCATTACAATTCTACAGTTTGTGCTGTGGTACTTTAGCATACATTTTGCTTATTTGCCAATTGAATGAGTACTTTCAGCTTCAAAATCAAAAATATTCCATGTAAACACTTAAAATATTTTGTACAATGGATTTAGAAGTTAGAAATATAAAACAAAATTAAATAGTCATATGACTGTAGAATTCAGCATTGTATTGTGAAATACATACGTATGAAGGTTAGAAATGCAGAAAATGTATACTGCAAGAACTAAAATTACATGGAAGTACATATCATCTCAATCTGGATGCTAGCTTGGCTCTGGTAAAAGTGCCACTTTATAAAGGATATGACTGATCTCCACAATTACTTTTTTTAATAATCCCTCTAATGGGGAAGACAAGGTCATTGGAAGAATCCACTTTAAGATATTTCTAGTGCAAGCCAATGAATGCTGCTGCTGCCCTCTCCCCACTTTCATGCTCTTTATATCAGTAGCTAAAGTCATTTTATACTTTAGAAATATCAAAGCCTTTGTATTATGAGTGTTAATAGTAAGTTCTTTTCTAACTTATGCATCTAATGCACCATTGTGCATTTACTGGGAATCTTGTGAATATATTGAACCTTTCCTATTTAATTTGTTTATTTTATAATACTCCCATGGTAATCTTTAAAAACTGTATATACTTTTCATTATTTGTATAAGATTATACAGATCAAAAGGCATTCATTATATTTAACTGAGCTGACAGCCATCATTTACAATATGCACATGAATTTCAATAAAATTCATCAGAACTTAATTTTTCATTACCTTTATTTACAATTTTTATCTGTGATTTATTTTAACTGAGCACTGTCTACATTTATGTGTGGCATTAGTATGGTACTTAAAATGCTCAGTACAACCCTGCAAATCAAATTCATAGAATTTACTAAACTTGCAAGTTCCCACAAGCTAGGAAACAAAAGTAAATTTTTTACAGAAAGTTCAGGCATTCTTGTATCACATGGAAGTTTATTACAAACATTTACCTGTTCCCTCAACCATCAAAATCTACTTTATATTTATTCCTGGTTCTATCTTTACCACCAGTTTAACCACTGTACAAGTACCGTCGACTTAAAATAATTTTCAACAAAAACCCTGGGCAAAACTACTCTTCCATTTCAGCAGAATTGTTCAATTCCTTGTTCTTCCTGGAAATTCACATCATTGGGTAACACTACAATCTCTTATCCAAAAGTAGCAAAGGGTTCATCAATATAATTACAAGAGCAAAATATCTGTCACGTGCACCAAGAAAATTAGGAATGCAAGTGCAATACAAGTGGGAAAACATAGCAAAGCAACTAGTAATATGGGGAAAGATAAAAAGAGCAAGAGTGCTTATTTGTGCCTGCCAAGTGTCAAATGAGCCAAACCCAAGACAGAACTAGAGAATGTTCTTTCCATAAAATTAGGTTAGCAGCAGCAAGTAATTTCCTATACAACTAAAATTTTAGTATGAATAAAACATTCAATTGTAATGGCATTTTGCAGTCTATATAAATGGCTATTTAAAAATTATATAGCTGTATTAAGGAGAGTATGTAGAAGTAACGAAGTTAACCGAGACAATTTTTTTTAGCATTTTCATTTGCTTTCTATCAGTAATATTTTTTTACCACACGTCTCATGATCAGTCTAGTAGTAAATTTTGGCGAGTGCCACACTAGGGGTTCAATGGGCCACAATAAAAGTGCTAACTGTGGCTATACATTAAATTCGGGCCTTGACAAACTGAGCCACATACCAAATTGAAGCCAGTTAAAGAAATTTGCAATACAAGCTTCAAAATAAGTGTGAAGTACGTGCATACATGCATGATGCTTTGGTATGGCAAGTTGAGCGAGCAACAGGATTATAGTGCCCAATATATTTTAAAGACACACTGTGCATTATGTACAGTATATAGCCAGTTATACAGCTATGGTCAGTCTACGATGGATATATATTTTCTTGGTCGAGTTTCCCACTTTGTAAATAGTGCAAGAATAAGAAAACTTCAAGAGGTTGCTTTGGCTCAAAAAATAAGATGCCAGTTTAATATTTTCAAAAACCAATATACCACACTCCATGTCAAGTGATCAAATGAATGCTCTTCAACAAAAGGTAATTTTGTATACATTACAAACATTTGATTTCACACTATTAGGCGAGTAGAATGCAACTACCATTTTTGAAAGGGAGAACTAAAATACATTTAGGAAAGATACAACAAGACCAAAGAGAATGAAACCAGTTAGTTGACCATATAAGCCTGGACGAGACCCTTCGGGTGCGATTTCCCCCAAGAGGGCATTTTCCAGGGAAAAATGCATGATGTAAGGTATTATTTAAAAAATAAAGTTATAAAAACTTGTATTTGAACAATATGAAACAATTCAGGTTGAGACTAAATTCAAACAAGTCAAACACACAATGTGAAAACAAAAGTTTAATGAAGATGCAAAAAAAAATAACTAAATTCCTCCTCAATGAAACACAGCCAAGTTCAGCAACACTTATCCAAAATCAGCCTCTTAAAACTATTTGTACAATTAATGATTTTGGACGTTTCATTAAATACTGAACCATTTCATTCACAGCATGAAAAAAAGATAGTGTTCAAACAAGATAAAAGTATTTCTAAGGAATAATATACTTGGTGAGGAGAGAGGGTTCATCACATCAGTCAGTCAGGACAAAACAAGATCATGTTCAAGGCACCAGGTTTATTCTTCCTCCTCCTCTTCCTCTTCCATTTTGGGTGGTGGTGTAGTGATGGGTCGTCGGAACAACAAGATGTGGGGCTCTGGCAAAATGGTGGTTAAATGTAAAATCAATGGAAAATTGTGAAGACTCTTAGACATTTTCTTAACCAAGCAATTATCAAATGAAGGCACCAAGTTGGAAAAACTATTTTGCCCTGTTACAGAATATTCAAAAATCCTAACTATTCCTTGGAATGCCAGTGTGAGAAAGATAAGTGATGACAAAAGGATTAGATTCACCAAGGATTATATTGAAGGGGCAAAGCAACTTGAGGGGCATTGGGAAAGGACAACTTCTTATTACCCCTGAAAATGAGGATATTCTATGCAACTAAGCAGGATAATGCAACTTGGCCAATAAGGAGCAGGATGTTTTCTGCTCAGGAGTTAAGAGTGCGAGACCAATACACAGGCAGGGTAGTTACTTCCCACCACTTATTACAGCAGGAGGAGGAAGGCTATGGGAACAGGTCACACTTAAGACATAACAAACCAGGTACTCTTATTAGACCATTGATGATGCTGTCATTGTGGTAATAATGAGTAGAAATCCAAATAACTAACAACTTTATGGAAGATGTTACAGGTACGAATGGCCTTAGCAGTACTGTCTGCAAGTTCATTCAAGATAACTGTAGCTGGGTACTGGACAAAATGCAACTGCATTAAATCTGCTCAAGATGAGAGTATTGGATTTCAACTACCACAATACTGTATAAAAAGGTTAAAATATAAAAGCCATGAGGGCACTAAATCAATCTAAGCATAAAAAGAAGCTGTAGTGAAAAAGTTGCATAAAGCTGCCATGAAAATGGCCAGACTGAGGAAAGGTGGTACATACAGGATTCATCAAGAAAAACTAATTTAGTCAACACTGTCAGTAGGCTTCAACCCACAGTCATTTGGAGGAAGGGAGGGAATTATCAAGGGAAAGCACCAAGCCATTACAACTATATAGCCCTTTGGACAGGTCAGGATAAGGATTTGGGATGGGGGGGGGAAGTAATGGTGCCCAACCACTGGGACGGTCGGGGTTTTGAACGCCGATCTGAGTAGTACTAGGGAGAAATTGTCACCACGACATAAGTGAGATCACCTATATAAAACAGTGATAACACCAAAAGGATGGAGGAAGGAATTTTTTTTTTAAAGGCAAGCAGGAAAAATGTTTCAAATGTTACCCTGGGGAACAAATTCATACCGAGTGTCAAAACAGTACCAAGCTGCACTTTAAGTGTACAGCAAGGGAGGAACCTCTGAAAAAGTGGAGAATTGCCACAAATTCCAAAAAAACAATCAAGCTAAAATATTTAACCACCATTGTGTAAAAATCCTTTTATAGGTCAAAAAGAAAAAGTTATAAATTCATAAAGGCAGGATGTCAGTTGTGCTGCAACACTGCAAAAGCTAAATTGAGAGGGAGATAAAAACACAAGACAAATGTTTACCATAGACTAAAAAGCAAGCTTTACAGAATTTGTCAGTGACGGGGCAAAACTATGAGGGAGGTGCCTTGTGTACTGGGTTTCTTTATAGGAACAGTTTCGAGCTAGTCCTAATGGACAAACGTCACCTCCCGAATGCGGCTATAAATATGCAATAAATAATACAAGGTGTGCAATGGGAGATGGTAGAGTATCTCTACACCGTCCATATCATTGTACACAGCAACAGTCCAAGCCCCTTTGCTACCATGGGACTGCAAAGAGACAAGGTGGATTGGAGATCAGAAAAGGTTGAGATTGCTGTGGGCCAACTGATGGCAAATGCAGGAATCCAAGGGGGTGAAATTCAATATGGGATTTATGTGTAAAGTAAGAGAGAAATGAGAATGGCCAAGAAGAACGAACCCCCATGTTATTAGCAACCAAAACTATCTGCAATCATGAGACTGACGAGGCATTACATCCAGAACAAATTTACCCGTAATTCTTTGGATCTTCTAGGTATGGGGAAGAGGTGTCTACAGTAATAGTAATGGCATAAGATCTTCAATTGTCCCTTGGAACAATTACAATACCGACAAGAGAATCTTCTCACGTTTAGCTGTATGAATGACCCTATGTACCAATGCACTTGCCTACCAAATCAACTTTGTTAAGTTATATTCTATACATAACATGCTGATGCAAGAGATTTACTGTACTGTATGCATAAGTATTAGTCAATTTACAAGCAGGAAAATAGGCTTTATAAAATATTTGTTTAGTTTAAGGCATTTATCATTATGAGTGTTGAAGTGATTAATGTCAATTATGAAAACTCACCCCTACCCCCTTTCATTATAAATGTTTTAATGTATTTGGAACAATTACAGCCACGTACCAACTTGGATTTTATGGTATTTAGGAAAAGTATTAACTAGAAAATTTTATTTAAAATTTCCTCACCCTCAAAATTTTAGCAATGATTTGTTTACTTTAAATTAATTAGGTAGGTCTTTAGAGTATATATGGCTTAGTATTAAGTTACTCTGGACTATATTTTCAAGTAAAATGGATAGGATTTTTGTTTACAGCTGGAAAGAGCAGTTATTTTACTAGAAATGTAATAAATTTTTTATAAATTCCCTCTCCCATACAGACCTAAGATGGGAACAGGGCTGAAGCCATGTTATTGAAGCAAGGGGTCAAAGAAGGCCAATATAGTTACTGTACAGTAGCTGACCAACCTGTGGCACCAAGTTGGTCAATCTCTTGACTCAGTCCAAACCTTCTGCCACCAACACACAGTACAACACAAATATCTTGACATTTTATTTTACAGACTTTATTGTGGTATAAATTTTATAGTTGAGCTTTTCACTTTTCTATTTATACCAGAAGATTTCCAAGAAGCTATTCAACATTTTTATTACTCAATGTAAAACTACTTGCCACCAAGTAGCCACTGGTGAACTTATCCTACAGTAAACTGGATTTTTAGTTTTATGGCAACTTCTGTTCATCTGCATTTTACTGAATAGTGGATGAAGGTTAATGACATACCTGGCTCGTGAATCATGTAGTGAACCCACCCTTGGCTCTGCTGTACACCTAGGCTACGCCATTCAGATTCAGACATGAGGTGTGTCTTGGGAACCAATTTGGACAAATCCTTAGGCAACATGACATGTCTGAAAAACAATGTGTGAAATTAAAGTGCATATAATATTTAGCCCTAAAGCATATTTTTTGAAATTGCAAAGGAAACACCCCTGGCAAAAAATTAAAACAAAGAATGCACTTAAACTAATTTGTGAAGATTAAACATCAAGGCTGTGTTTCGTTCACTTAGCATGAACCAAAACACGAGACTGATGGGTTCCTAGTACTTGCAGACACCAAAGACAACACCAAGCTATATTCTTCATACTGTCTACTTGTGTTTTATTTCTCTAAGCAATTGGAATACTTCCTTGTATCATGGTAGTTAAAGAGTTATATTAACACATTTACTTTGCTAGGCCCCAATTTGATTAGGCAGTTTAGTTTTGGTCACTACATGGGTATTCTCTAAAACAGAGAAGTTTCTTTGAACTAGTACAGAGGATAAAGTTAATTCCAGACATTTGAAACTTTCCTTATGATCACATTGAAAAGGCTCAATTTTATAATACAGTATTAAGAATAATGGATAACACGATTGAATTACAGTACAATATACCAAAGGATATCTGGTCAGTCTACCCAAAAGACTGAAAATTAAAAGTTAATTATACTTTACAATGCCAAGTAAAACACATTCTTACACCTAGATTCTGATATATGAGGAAGTCATCTAAAATTATAAGGTTGCTGTATGCAATAGGATGCCACAGGGAAAAGGAGGGGGGGGGGGAGAAGTTTATCTTAACATTTTGTACTGCTCTTGCAATGTATACAAAATCTATTGCATAGAGTAAACCAAACCAATGCATACTGTAAAGTCACTCAAGATGGAAGCCAAGGAAATAAAGATGTTTTAAGTGCTCAAGAAACTTCATATGCATAGCATCATGCAAGCAACAACTGACATTTAGTCAATCTATGATCTTACTTTTTCAATGTGTGTTGATGCATTGCTGGAGTGGTACAAGCAGGATGCTTATGGAAAGGGCAAGGCAATTGAAGTCTATGAATATTACAGAACAGCACTTGTATACCAACAGCTGGCTATAAGCATGACCTATAAGAGCTAGTCGGTCTTATGTTTGACAATATCAAATGTGAAGAGATTTTACTTAACCTGCAGACAAAGTTTTGGCAACCCTCCTAACCTGTAAAGGTCGATGTTCATCAGTTCATGAAAGTGTATAGCATAGAGATGAGTTGATGCAGCTGTAGACCTCCCATAGGTATTAACTGCACTACAAAAAAGTCAAGTAACCCAAACCACAATAAAGTCCATCTTAAGACAATGGTATACCATTAATAGTCTTAATTTCATGCAAGGGATCAGCCCTTGTGATACTGACAAGTTTTTTGTGGCATTTCTTTCCTTCTCTGCCTTCGTCCCCTTACCTTGAGTGTGTACCCCGGTACACTTTGTACCACCAGATGGCAGCACTGTACAGTAATGAACCAAGTCCAAGTGCAAGTTCTCAAGGCTTAGTTAAAAAGCACAGTATTTAGAAATCATGTTCTAGGCATTCGGTGAAGTCAAATATCGCAGCAAAGGGCCATTTTATTAAGATTGTAGTCATAGTTTACTATTATTCTTTTAGTTATGGAAATATTCAATGCCTTGGAAACATTAACATTTAAATTACAGCACTTTTTAAATAAATATACAGTATTTGGAAATTCTTGAAGTTTGTATAGTATTCAAATATTTATTGGGAAATATTTATTGTCCTGGGAACCTATGGTCGAAAAGCTAATTAAATGTGTTACTGTATTATAAAATTCAAAATATACAGTATATTTGTCAATATATAGTGCTATATATACAGTCCCCCCCAAGAACCCCAGGAACCCCCTCTACCCATCAACAACACATCCCCTGCCCAGTGAGGAAGCAAAATAAATCCAAACACAGTATAATCACTGCTTCATTAAGGCGTCAGTGCTCGAGTATGAGCCCCCAGTGCTGCTGCTCCAGCAGGAGGGAGGCCGCCCCCAGGGGAGCCACAGGCTGACACACACACCTTAGGGTGAGACCACCTGGCACACTAGTGCCTCTCCAGCCCTCACCTGTACTCATACTTCTCGTCGTAGTACTTGTCAGAGTAGTAGATCCTGTGAGGCATGGCGGCCACTGTTCGAGGACGACACTGGCGAGGTCTACGGCGTGAGAGGGCAGCGTTGGGCGACCCGGCTTCACGCTGGGACTTTTAAAGTTCATGTGGCGGTGTTGTGGAGGTTTAAACTGCCCTCCCACCCACTGATTGGTCCACACCCTGGCCCTCCTCCACTCTTATTGGGCGTCGCTCTGGCGGGAGGCTTGAAATGTCGACTCCTTATTGGTCGCCTCCTCATTTTCCATCCACGTTTTGGGTTCCAATAATGTTTATATTTTTCTTTATTAATTTATTTATTTATTTATATATATACAAGAAGGTACATTGGGATTGTGAGGATACATAGCATAGTAATTACATTCTTGTACGCGCAACGTTTCGGGCAGGTCCTTAATCTAAGATTATCATCTAAGATTTTCATCTGGATTCCATTTATATATCTAACTCTGTAAATTAATGATCAAAATAATAATAATGTGATGATTTATAAGCCATCTTGGGGTGTAAGGATCCGTGTAAGCTTAGCTACCCACTTGTGAGAGTGGTGACTTGAGCTGGTGATGACAGAGCGTAGAGTGCCTTGTGGCACGGCTCCTGGCATCCTGACACCCTCAACACCTGCAACATTAATTTAATTAAGACCAAACTGTGATGGATCCCAGCACCAGTGCCATCAACCTGCCTCTAGGATCACGAGCACTGCCCGGGACTATGCTACTTTCTAGAATAAAAATGTGGATGTTATCCTGACAGGATCGAGATATGTTAACAGCGAGGCTGATAATTATAAGCTTATATTTCAAGAAACACTTTAAAATATATATATACATAGCCTCAAAATATATGCACATAATTCTAACTTTAATCAACCCTGGTTTGGGTACCAGTGTAGAATTCCAGACGACGAAAAATCCAAAGCCTGGAATCGCTGTAAAAGAACCAACCAATAGAAACAATATTCTTATTCTGCAACAATTCAAGAAACACATACAAAATGGGATATTGATAGTACGTGGCACGAAGTCTTTATGAGAAAATAATAGGTAAATCAGACAGTAAAGCATAATGGTGACACATAAAGGGAGGAGAATGCAGCGTTCATGTGATGGCTCCCCACCCAAATGCACAACCATGAATATAGCTCAACAACTCATAAACTTCTCATTTCACAAGCAAGATGCAAGTTGCTGAACTAGACAGCTCTCCCTGTGCTTCCTTACCTTAATTAATTAACAACTATCGCGTCTCTCTAACATTATAAGCGTTAAACATAATTTACTATAAACTGTTCTTAAGTTCCTAGGACCAGACTGCAATTAATACTCACTTTGTGAGGGGTAGTTTATTGTACATCCTATACTCATTCTGTGAGCGGTAGTGCATGGAAGGATCCGCTGTGGTCATAATCTGACCACAGCGGAGATTTTTACATTATTACATAAGAACAAGGGTAACTACAGAAGGCCTATTAGCCCATACAGATCAGCTATTTATAACCACCCAATCCCACTCATATACATGTCCAACCCACTTTTGCATATTTCCGAAATAAGATATATTGATAGAAATTGCAAAATGTTGGTGGAATGGTGCGCATTGTGGCATGCACGTGTCCCAGTGTTTACAGCCCGGCACCGCTGGGTCCGTCTGCTGGTGTTAGCCAAAGTTGCTCCCTCATCACTACCACCCTCTCACTTGGACTCCTCGTCCCCACCAACATGTTTAGTACATCCAGCACCTTCCTCAACAACCAGGTGAGGGCTGGGTGCTGTGTTGAGGGCCGTCACCGGCCGCCGCTACTCTTCCCACACCGGAATTCTCCTGTGCTAGCAGGGTTTTCTTAGATTAAGGACCTGCCCGAAACGCTGCGCGTACTAGTGGCTTTACAAGATTGTAATTACCATATTATGTATCCTCACAATCCCAATGTACCTTCTTGTATATATATAAATAAATAGGGCTAAAACTTGTCCCAAGAAAAGGGATATCCTTGTCTAGCCAGGCCTAACTTAGCCTGTGTCCTATTCTATATATTATCCTGCCCAAATAGGAAAACGTGGGGTGTGTAACGTCACTGTGACGTATTAGGGTTGCATTTAAGGTGTTTTGACACACTGCAACATCCAAGTGATGACGAGTTTATGTACTGTATCTACTCTCTCTGAGGCCGGTCAAAAATGACTTTCAATATTTGCCCTATTAACTCACAATCCACTCTTGCTGCTTATACTGTACTATAGACACATTAGAAAATTTCTATATACAAAAAATATATATTTTTTTGTGAATATACAGTTGCTACTGGTTTAGATGATACTATACATGTTATACTGGCATGTATAGTTCTACCCTAAGGCAGAGAGTCCCAAACTTTTTGTCTATGCTGCAGTTTTGGAATAAAATTTGTTTGTGCTACACCAAATTTTGTATTGATAAAAATGCATTAAAAGGAAAGTGGCTTTAGTGCTTGATTCATAATATAGAACACTACTACATCATATTATGATCATGGGACATTCAGACAGTATACAACAATGCAACTACATTAAAACATGATTTATTCCCAAAATATAGATGAGCCTTCTTCATTTGTAACATTCTATAAGTAAACAAACTCAGTGAGAGTTAAGGTAATTATCAGGAGAAAGCATTAAGCCAGTACAATTATATAACAGTGGAAGGGATATGGGGCTAAGGATTTGAGATAGGGGAAAGGATGCAAAAGTGCCCAACCACTTGGATTGAGTGAATTTGTTTTAGTAATCATTCAGGAGTTGGAGAATGAAGCTCTATTTTGCAGGTTGTGTTGCCACTATCATATGTGGTGTCACAGTATTCTGCAGTGAGGCGAGGTCAACCCAAGGTTAAATCTTCAAATAAGAATGGATGTCAAGGTGCTGCCAAAGTTGACATTATCTGCTCTGACCACCTGGCTGAGGTATTATTAATGAGCTCCTTTCTTAATTTCGGTGCTAAAATTATTTACCATCCTAGTTTGTGCATAATAATTGTTTTTATATTTTTGTCTTACTTATGATTCTTGAATAAATAGTCTTTTTAAAAGTAGACATAATGGCTAGTGAATATAATGATCAGGTAACAAACCATACCATTTTTTTTTAAGTTGGTCTTTAATAGGTATACAGATGTATAATTATTTTTTGTGATGCTATCTGATCATACCAGACAGTACAGGTATTGGGCGAGTCTGGACTAAAGGAGGTGAGTAAATTGGTGACCCCACAGCTCTTGCGGGACATAGCTCTTCATGGCCCAAAGGTGAACCTGCATTGTGGTAGGGACTCGACTGGAGACTACCTGCTGCGTTCCTCACACCTTTCAGCTGCTATTTATGGTTGGTGTCTTGTTGTCACATGAGAACACAGTTCAGTACTGTCTTTTTTTCTTCTCAGAATTTCAAATTATTTGATGATTAAAACTAAATAAAATATTTACAAGTATTTATGTTTAAAGTTCTGTTGACACTATTAGAGAACTGCATAAATTCTTTTGTGTTTAAGGGTCAAGAGAAATATTTAAGTTTGTACGAGCTGCCAGATTTGATATTTTTTCATCACATTAAAGAAAACTATTAATCAATTAATTCTGTCACTGTCTTATGCAATTACAATACTGAATTTATTTATTAAAATTTAGTATAGATGTTATTGAACTCCCTCAACTTCTTATAGTCACTATAATAGTCATTTTTTTATTTGGCTTAGAAACAGTACAGTAAATCACACAGTACATTAGGGGTAAATTGACAGTTGTCTGCTAAACACATTTTCCAGAAGGCACCTTGATGCACTTATGTACATTACTAAAACAAGAACATTGTAAGAGGTTACAGATGGTTCCTACAAAATATGTGGACAGTCTTAAAAGTATTCTAGAAAATATCTGCAGCAGTTCCCCACCATTTCTTAATACTAGGTGTGCAGTGCTTCTAGTGAAAAGTCATCCAGTACTGTATGTTATAGAGGATAGTTGAAACAAATACATTCACTCACTTCATACAGCCCCAACCACTTTGGCTGGATGGTCAACCCAACCCAATAGTGAATAGGGTGAATAGTGCCCAACCACTTGAAGCGACGGTCTCGCTTCTTGCAGGGCGGCGTTCAATTCCCGACCATGCATGTGGTTGGGCACTATTTCTTCCTCAGTCTCATCCCAAATCCCTTATCCTGACCCCTTTCAAGTGTTATATAGTTGTAATGGCTTGGTGTATTCCCCCTGATAGTTCCATTCCCTTCACTTCATGCAGACTGCTTCAACCCAGTCTTATCCCTTACCATATCCAATTCATTGTTCATAATCAATTTCCACTTCCTCACATGCTCACACAATATGCCCTCTTCCCAGCTTCCTCTCAGTCTACCCTCAAATTCATTCAAATACACTCTTATTCACCACTCTGTCATTATATGATAAACCATTAAAATGTTGATACCAATATAGACATGACTTACAGATAAAAGACAAAAATGGCATGTGTCTCATAAATCAGCTGAAACATTTATGGAAAACAAGCACATGAGTTCAAGCACACCATCTTTCTCTGGAGATGCAAGGTTGAAGCCCCTCTTCAATATTACCAAGAAACTCCTCTCGTCACAGAATATCACAAGTGAGTATAGTATATGATTTTTTAGTTTTTTGTGGGTGCTACTTTAGTGTGCAGACTACCGGGCAATTTACACTCCAGCATGTAGTCCACCTCAACCTAACCTGACCTTAGGTCTCAGTAGGCAGGTCAGATCATTACATCGCATAGACTATGTATACTGCTATAGACAGCATGCTAAAGTAGTACCTTTTTGTGTATCTATATAAGTATTTTAGGGTGGCTTACTTATCTTCAATTGTTAGGTTTTATTCATTCACTTGTGAGAATTTACATTGATATTTGTTAGGGCTCCATACCATAATTACACATTAGATATGACAGAAAGCTTGGAAAAATCCAAGTTTACTGTTGGATTTTTGGATTTGACAAGCAGTTTTGGGCAGTTATTTATAAAACTGGTGAGCTGGGATCCTCAACTACAGCACGGCAGTGCCACTTCTTCTTAGGCTTACCCTTATGCCAAGTCATTCAATGAGAAACTTGTTAGATCTACAGGGTTCATTTCTAATTGGGTCATGTGATTTCACACTAACATATTATATGGTGTTGTAAAAATGCTTCCTGCCAGCAACAACTTGCTGCACTATAAACCACTGTAGTGGAACGAACACTGAATTTCTTCAGTTCCCTGTTCACTTGTAAAGCTCACAGCTGAGAGCCCCTGGCTTCAATCTGCAACATGGTGAGACTTCCAGCCATGTTTCCTTACACATTATGCTTCTATACAGGTACCCAGGAATTTAGTCAACTGTTGTGAGTTGCATACTGGAAAACAGCAAGTCTTTGGCTAAGGGCTCTTTGATAAGCCTAATAGGTTTCCTGTCCCCCAACAATGACAAAAAATACCAAATCAAACTGTTTTTGAATGGTAAGTTAACAAGTGATTCATCCTCTAGATTTTTACCTACCTTTTGTTTACCTTTTCTTGGTTCTGGGAATCAATGTCCCTGCAGCTCAGTATTCCAGATTGATGGTATGGTCAGGCAGACTGTTAGACACCATTGCTCACAGTCTGGTGTATAAGTCACAGCCCGGTTGATCAGGTATCTTTTGGAGGTACTGTATTTGTCAAGTTCTCTTTTGAACACTGTGAGAGGTTGGCTAGTTATACTCCTTGTGTATAGAGGGAGAATGTTGAAGTCTTGGTCCCTTAGTGTTGATAGAATTATCTCTTAGTGTACATTTTGCTTTTCATTGGGGCTGTTTTGAACTTCCTGCCATGCTTCCAGGTCTTGTAAAGTTATTTCTGTGTAGAGTTGAACCCTGTCCTATTAATATTTTTAAAGTGTAAATTATCTGGGAGAACTGATAGGTGTACCTGTTCAAAAACTAGATAAGTTCCTACAGGAAGTGCCTGACCAGCTGGATTGTAATGGATGTGTGCTTGTGGGCTGATGTAACTTGTGTGTGGAGGAAGTTACACTGAGGAGTTCCACTTCAGGAAGCCACTGAGACCCAGCCAGAAAGAAACATCTTATTACATTCAAGCATGGGCATGCTGTCTTTGATTCTATATTGGTATCACATTAATGAAGAATTCATTTGGATTATTGATCTTTATTGTGTTCAGGGGTTCACTGAAAAAAGTCGTACTGTTTCCTCAGTATTTCACTCATTTCTTTGCTGTCATCTGTGAAAGTTACATCTTCTTTGTGCAAGGGACCCAATACTGGATGTAGTTTTTGTTCTAAATTTTGCATAGGAGTAGGAGTATTTCTGGTTTCCTTCAATTTCACTAATGACCTTCTCTCTCTCTCTCTCTCTCTCCTAGATTTTATGAGTCTTGTGCTTTAGTTCGATCATTTCTATTTGACTACATGGGTTTATATGTCATTCTTGGGAGAGAGAGTGGGGGCACTTGAGTAGTTGTTCTCTATAAAAGCAAGTCAAGTGACCACTGAAATAGACAAAAATGCATATAGATCGAGGGGACTAAAAGCTTAGTTGTTGAAATAATAAAGAACTTATCTTCTGATGGTAATATACAGGTGGTTTAAGGATATTTTGAAATAAATTTAAGCTTGGTTTGTGGCATAATATTAAAAATTTACTGCATAAAATTTGATACTATATTAAAGAAAGGCCACCAGGAAGACAGAGATTTAATTTAATATCCAAGTCATTGAATGAAGACAATAATTAGTGTTCCATTTTCAGACGTACCTCGTTGTGGTTTCAAGACCCAGCAGTCTATTGAACGTGAAGCTCTCAGACAAGCAACTGTCACTGATAGGTTACGAGATGGACTGAAATCTAGACAGCGTCTTGTGGCCAACAAAACAGTACAACAAGAAATAGAACAAAACTCCAAACTAAAGAGTAAGCCCCTCAGTTTATATAATTATGTGTTATTGTAGTGTGTATAATAAATTAAAAAGATGTTAAAATTACTGCTTAATTTGTATATACAGTAATATTATGTTGCTATCAGACAAATTCTGCAAATTTTCCATACAATTTAAATTAGTCTTGGATCTCATGTTGATTTAAAATATTTTTTTTATTTACTTTTCTTTAAATACTTTTTTAAAATACTTTTCTTAAGCAATTGTTGCTTTCATATACAGTTCTGTACTTTACTGTAGTCATATTTTTATCACATCTGCTGTTGAACAGTCATATTTATTGTAATTTTCATAAACTTTCTGAACATTTTAAATACTGTATATGCCTGACTGGATATTTTTTATGGATAAATTGCTGTAGCCATGTCTCAACAATTGCAAAAATGGTATGCCCAATTGCATCTACAGTATTAGTATTTAGTACAGTTAAATGTGTTTGCACAACCATTTATTAGCATGATTAAAAGGCATTTTTGTTGACTTGTGCAGGTCTGATGGCTGAGGAGGCCTCGGAAGAAAGCCGCAAAGCCTTGAAGGTGGCTTTTGCCGAGGGTTACCTTGCTGGCGACCCTCAGAAACAACAGTCTCGGGCCATGAGATGGATACGAAACTTGCAGCAAGTTCTAGCTGTTGTGGTATTCATAGCCATACTTATTTCCTTAATGGGTGAGAGCTGCTAACATTCTTTGCTCAGTATTACTGTAATTTAATAGCTCACATAATTAAATTATAATACTGTAGTATACACTGGTTGGAATTCTGTCTTATTTCTTTGTAGAAAGTTCTCATACTGATAATCTTTACTTGGTTCTACACTGTATCTACAAGAAACAAAAAATTAAGTTTATTTCAGTATATTTCATGAAAATATTAGTTCATATTTGTTGTACTGTGTAAGGATATAATTTTGAGGAAAATTATCACTTTTCACACCATTAGATATACAGTAGTAGTTTATTATCTGCATATGTAAATACAGTATATAGATTAATATCCCCACAGATAAGATATTGCAAAGAATTTTTTTCTGTTGCTTCATTTATATTTTGTCTTCTTATATTACAATGTTGTGAACTTTTGTTATCAATACCTCAGAATATTTGCTCATATTATATGCAATGAGGAGCAGGATATCAGCAGCATATGTGAAGTTAGCAATTACAAGGGCATCAGTTAATAATGTAAATAAGGAAGCTTTGAGGTCCATACACACTGAATATGTGAGACCATTACTTGAGTATGCAGCTCCAGCACGGAACCCACCATGTGAAGCATTAACAAAAATTGGAGAAGGTTCAAAGGTTTACAACTAGAGTAGTACCAGAATTGAGAGGCCTCAGCTTAGGACAGATTGAGAGAACTCACCCTCACAACTTAGAGGAGAGAAGAAACAGAGATGATGTGATAACTGCATTCAAGATCTTGAGGGGAATAGTGGATAAAAGAGGCCAATTTTAATGAAAAAGTAGGAGGATGTAGGGACATTGGTTGAAGCTGGACTTGTTATCAGGTCGAAGAGATGTAAGGAAGCTTTTGCTCCCTGTATGGGGTATCAGCAAGTGGAATGTACTGAAGGAAGAAGTTATTAAAGCAAATTCCATCCACAGCGTTAAAAAGGAGTATGATGAAAATATTAATATGTTGAGAGAGATTAGTATGCCAGGTATAAGCACCAAGGAGGTGGGGCATAAAGAGCTAGATCTCACTCCCCCATAGTCACTGATAGGTAAGCACTGTATTCTCTACATATAAAATATACAGTATTGTTTATGTACTAATGTTCTTACAGGTGGCTTGGGAGGATCTGTGTTCAGGATGCATGTGGGAAATGGAAACGAGGTCCATCCAGAAGAAATTACAGTTTCATTTGAGGATGTAAAAGGGGTAAATTAGACTTTAATTTCACTGTTGTTTTGTTATTTGTTATGAACTGTATCACACATTCAGATACTGTAAATTCTTGCCATGCACTTAGTAATATTGGCAGTGCTTAACAGGTGGATGAAGCCAAGCAAGAACTGCAGGAAATTGTGGAATTCTTGAGAAACCCTGAGAAGTTCACTTCCTTGGGTGCTGAGTTGCCAAAGGGGGTATTGTTGGTGGGTCCTCCAGGTACTGGGAAAACACTCCTTGCTCGAGCTGTAGCAGGGGAGGCTGGTGTGCCTTTCTTCCACGCTGCTGGTCCCGAGTTTGACGAGATATTGGTCGGACAGGGTGCTCGTAGAGTGCGTGACCTTTTCCGTAAGTTTCATCTGTTATCTGGTTTCTGCTGTGAAAGCAAATTTAGACTATCTGGACTATTGCCTGCACAATATTTGATTTACTACAGTATTATTCCCCCTACTTGTGCCTTTGTTTCTTGTTCCCATTTTTCTTTTTCATTCCTCCTACTTTTCATTGCAAGCCATGTAGTGACTAGTTAATAGTGTATTCAAAATTCATCAACAAGTATTTCAGAAGAGCTATTGAGTTTTTAACATACTAAGGTTAATCAGTATTGGAATTAATGCTGCAGACAACAGATATGGGTTAGGGCAAGTTTATCTGTAATTATCCTGTTAAGTTGTAAAGTAGTTATTCACTCTTAATCTTTCTAAATAGTGATAAAGAAACTGGAATTACTTAAGAGATATTTAGATAAAGTACATAACATGTCTAAGAACCTGTTCACTTTTAAAAGGCTTAATATGTATTTTTTACAATCTTAATGACTGGATACATTATCAGATTATTTTCATATTGTTGTATTTCAGGTGCAGCCAAGGTGCGTGCCCCATGTGTGATCTTCATCGATGAAATTGACTCTGTTGGTGCTAAACGTTCAAATTCTGTATTACATCCATATGCCAATCAGACAATTAATCAACTGTTAGCAGAAATGGATGGGTTCCACAAGAACGAGGGGGTTATTGTCTTGGGGGCAACCAACCGTCGTGATGATCTTGATAAAGCTCTTTTGCGGCCTGGTAGATTTGATGTGGAAGTCCAGGTGAGTTTATATTTTGTTTACAGCTTTTTTAAAGGGTGAAGATAGGAGGGTAGAAGAGAGAGTCATTGACCAGGTACTTGTGGAGAGATGCCTATTAAAGTATATTTCTGGTACATAAGAAATTATAGAATATATGGAGACTTGTTTGGTTACATGTTGCTGCTGTGTAAGATGAAATAAAGTGGTGAAAGATGATTGTACCTCACAAGGATCCAGGAGGTATAAGAATCAGAGTTGAGAAGTTAAGTGGGAGGTAAATATATAAAAAAAAAAAAAAAAAAAAGTTGATAGTGATCTTGGAACAAGACATTAAGAAAAACTATCTTTAGTGTCTTGTGGGATGTATACAAGAAATGTTCAGTTAAGATTGCCAAGTATGTGGAGTTTCATAAATTGGCAGAAGACTCAGGGGAACTGCTGGGTTGGGTGAGAAGGTGGTGAGAGTGCTGTAGTTGATGTAAAAAAGTGGATTTTATGGTTTAAAATTAACAGATTATATATACATTATATATATATAGAGAGAGAGGGAGAGAGATAGATATAGAAATATAGATACAGTAGATAGATGCAAGGCAATAGGAGTATGGTAAGAGTAAATGTTAATTTTTGTTATGTATATGAGAGGAGTTTGGCGTCTCCATGAGAAGAGACTTTTCTGACCACATTACTGGGACTCATCATCTTCTTGTTGGTTACAGGTCCCTATTCCAGACCTTGCAGGGAGGAAAGAGATCTTTGACTACTACTTAGGTAAAGTGAAGGCTGGAGATGATGTGGATAAGAATGTACTTTCCCGAGGAACAACAGGCTTTACGGGTAAATATTTCCAGAACATTTAGTAACACGGTTCTCACATTACTTGTAAGTCGAACACATGGCATTAATCTGTTGATCTCTGATCATCGATGTGATTGTGATTTATATTACTGTGATACAGTTGATAACGTGCCTATGGAAATCATGAATAAATACTGAATTTCCTTGTTGGGTATATTGCAATTTAAATACAAAATACAGTTAGCAACCATTTTTGCACATGTTGTGGTTTCACCGATACATTTCTGAAAAGGTTTTATTAAATTATTAAGTTAGCTTGTGGGGAAAACTGACTTGAGGGATTTATTGTTTTATTTACAATTTATTAATTTATATAGTAATTTATTTCTCACATTAATTTATTTATTTTGATAGCGGACTGTATGATTTAAAATCCCACAAATAGTTTCCACCTCATTCTGGGGGGAGGGTATTATTATTTATATATAGTCTATCAATTGAAATTATTGAGTGGTAGACATTCACTATAATATTAAGACTACATAGATTAGTAAATAAAATGAAAATACAGCTTATCTGTATACAGTAGTAGTTTATGGCCTGGACAACCGGATGTGAACATGAATGAACACGCCAACCAATACTCCTTGTAGGTGAGGCTAGCATCATCACATGTTACTTGTTATACCAGGTAATTGTTATTAATTCTTCTTCAGGTTGTCACTGGTTACCTGCCAGAAGTATGTATCGTAACTAATGTAAATAGCATTCTAATAACATATTGTATGACAGAATTATTAATACATTATTATGTGAGGCTTACCCAATTTTGGGTGTTCTCAGGTGGTATAACCATATCAGTAAATACACAATACATAAGAGCTATTATAATATGTTAAAAACTGTACGGATACAATACCTTCCCTGGATATGATGGTGTCAATTTGTGCTGATCAGTTCTTCGACAATAACTTGCTGTTCCTCAAGTAATCAAGAGTTCAACATGACACATTTGAACTGTTCAGGGATAAAATGACTACTGTTTCTCCCACTCGTGCATCTGGCTTCTTCTCCAGATGTGTTTATCAACCAGGGAAAGAGGGTTTATATTCTATTTTAGTACTGATAATTAAGTTCATTCAAGGGAAATGTTTCTATGATGTTTACAGTCTAGAGGCTGATGTTTTAAGAGGATTTTGTAATATTATTAGCTGGTGAATTTAAGGGCTACATGGCAATGATTCCCTGTTTTCTCCCGAGAAAAATTCCACTGGTGACTCGTTTTCTATGTATGATTTGTTCGTAGTAAATTAGCAGCAATATTATCTGCCTAATGTATTGAAAGTTAGTAGTAAATGGTGTCGGTTTTTCCAACATACCTGGTTAAGTGAGTGTATGATTAATGTAAAAAAAAATTCCAGGTGCAGACATAAAAAATGTGACCAACCAAGCAGCTCTGAGAGCAGCAGCTGATCAAGTGGATTCAGTCTCTATGAAGCATCTTGAGGCAGCGAGAGACAAAGTTCTTATGGGTGAGTTGAGTGTAGTACTGTACTGTATGTGTAATTACCTAAGTGTAGTTATAGGATGAGACCTACGCTCATGGTGTCCCGTCTTCCCACTACTCTGTCACATAACGCTTTGAATCCACCGACGGTTTTGGCCTCTACCACCTTATCACTTAATTTGTTCCAACCGTCGACCACTCTGTTTGCGAAAGTGAATTTTCTTATTTCTTCGGTAGGTTTATTTAGTCAGTTTAAATCTATGACCTCTTGTTCTTGACCTTCCAGGTCTTAGGAGTTCTTCCCTATCAATTTTATCTATTCCTGTTACTATTTTATATGTAGTGATCACATCGCCTCTTTTTTTTTCTTCCATCTTTTAGTTTTGGCATATTTTTATTTTTTGTGTGTGTGTGGGAAAAGGGGGGGGAGGTAGGGATTTGTATTAAGGGGCCTTGTCACATCTACTCCATCCATGCTCATCTATGACTTTCCTAAGCACACCATCTTCTAAAAAGCAAAAGAGCTGTATTTCTACTATTTGTCCATCCAGCATTATGTATGATTATCTTATTTTTAATTGCTTTTGGAATAACATCACATAAGGTTGAATGATTATATAGGTAGTATAGCTCAATATATTTACTATATTAAGTAAACAAATTAAGAGCACACCGTACACTGACAAGAGCACACGTCTCATGTACTGATGATGTCTCATATGCTGATGATGTCAAATGTGCTGATGCAATGGTCCTGGAAGAGCTGGTCATTGCCTAAGGGAATACTGTATATTTTGTATACTGCAATAGTGTGTGTTGCTTAAAAAAGAACTTTTTATCTACATTCAAAGCCTTATTTTTTATGTGTTTTATGACTTTTGCATTTTATGAATTCTTTCCAGTACTTTTTTGTAGATTACATTTAATTTTTTTTTCTATTATTATTATGTTGCTTTATAATGTACTTTGTTGCTGGTATTTCAAGTTTCGTGTTAGTGAGTAAAGAAAGCTATTTATATTGGTATACTTAAAAAGACTCATTGCTGGAGTGTTGTGTTTCAGGGCCAGAACGAAAATCTCGCATCCCTGATGAGGAAGCAAACCTTGTAACGGCTTACCATGAAGGCGGACACACACTAGTGGCATATTATACCAAGGACTCCCACCCGCTTCACAAAGTCACCATCATCCCACGGGGACCATCACTGGGACATGTACGTGGCTTTAATCTCACCTTATTGGACTGCTACCTGCACCTGTTGTTAAATTTCTCAGTCGTATGTATAAACCTTCTAGATAGTAACATAGGTACCATGGTAGAAAATAGGAACGTAAAACAACAATCAATAAAACTATATTTATTGATTACTGTAAACTAAGGGAACATAAGTCTAGCTGGAATGAAATATAACACAAAAGACCCAAAGACATGTGTAAGTCAAGGGTATAAAAGAATTTTAGACTAACGTAAAATGAACAGCAAAATGGGATTGCAAAAATGCTGTGAAAATGCTTGTTCTCCCCAAACAACAGGAGATAGCCTCGAACAGAACATGATATGTATGATCAACTAACTAGGAATGCCCAGTCTCTAGTCGCTCTGCTTATTTAAGCGTGTTCCAAGCCTTATATTCAGATCTGAGAGCTACAGGGCCATTGGTCATGGGCGCTGACAGAATGATCTGGAAGGGTCAACTGCATTCACTCTATTGAACCTTGTTTGTGTACACCTGAGAATACAGGTTTGCAGAGTGTACTCGCCGAACCGTAATCAATCATTAACAAGCACCTCATTCATTAAAATGCATTCTTATTACACAGGTTGTATTCGCATTATGGTTTTTATAAACATTGTGCTAATTATTTTAAAATATTGTTATTATTTTGACAGACTGCTTACATCCCGGCAAAAGAACAGTACCACATGACTCGAAGTCAAATGTTAGCTACCATGGATTCCCTCATGGGTGGCCGAGCAGCAGAAGAATTAATTTTTGGCAATGATCTGGTGACTTCTGGTTCATCCTCTGACCTCAAGGTAATGTTATAACTCTTATCATCCAATTCCTTAACTCATAAATTGTGACAATACAGTATTTCTTAAAGCTTGATCTTTCTGGGACACTTTATAATAATCTCATAATTCATATGTTTTAGTACCATTATGTAGTAGTGTTACATGCATTAATTTTGTTTTCCCATATAGAAATAAAATTGATAGTATGTTTGTTGTAAACAGCAAGCAACCAACATTGCCACTCATATGGTGAAGGACCTAGGCATGAGCGAGCGTGTGGGATTTCGAACGTTTGAAGACAACAGCGGCCAACTCATCAGCACGGGTGACTCACTTGGACAGTCAACAAAAGAGGCTATTGATTTGGAGATAAAGAGATTGTTACAAGTAAGTTGTTTATCTTAAGACACTGTATGTGTGTCATTAATGCTTACTATACTGTTCTTGACAGCTTTGTGTTTCTTTTGCAGTGGTGACAGTGGCCAGCACAGTCTAAGTTGCCTAAGTACAGTATTAAATGTTCTTGGGGGAAAGTATTTTATTTTTAACTTTTATTCTAAGGGTGGTTTACGTCAGTAGTGAGTTAACCTTTGATCCTGATTTGCTTCTAGACCAGTGGCTACATAGCCTTCCCGGTTTGGTGCCTTCTATTGATAATTACTTACTTACTTCTAAACCAGTGAAGGTGGCAAATGAGTGTGAAGTGGCACTTGTTGGCATTGGTCAGAGATTGTCACAGAAGTGTAGAGTGTCTGTTTTGGCGTTATGATGTCAGTGCATTAAGCTAGGGCAGCTACTGATGTGCCACCAAGAAAGAGAGTTTCATTACACTTGGTCCTTTAGTTTTTGCAGGCCTTTTATACAGGACATTATTAATTCATACAATTTTCAGACCATGCATTTCCTCTCCTGCACCTCATCTTTTTTGTTTAGGGAAGTTGGGGTCACTATAAATATCTTTTATCTTAATCCCCAAAACAATTTTGCTTTTTCTGGAAGATTATTCCTAATTCTTAATACAAAATTAATAACACTGCAGTAATTATTTTACTGAATATAAATGTTTCTGCAAGTTCCCTGTCCCTCCACGTCATTCACTTCTACCTACGGAATGCCTCCATACATTCTTTGGAAATTTATTCAGTGGCTTGAATTCTATATACATTGACATTTTATAAGACATCGATATTTTCAGTGCGTTAATGTCTTCGTCATATTCCATAACTCATAAATATGTTTAATGATGAATTACTATTTATTTCAGGAATCTTATGAACGTGCAAAAGCAATCTTGAAATCTCATGCAAGGGAACACAAAGCGGTAGCTGATGCTCTTATGAAATATGAAACCTTAGATGCTGATGACATCAAAGCCATACTGGATGGAAGACCAGTTGCCAAGAATTTGTAGTGGAACATATATGCCTTACTTTGCAAATTTCATATTGTAAATTTATTTCATTATACACCATACATATTTATCAGCAGCTTTGTTTGAACTGTTTTTCCCTTATTCTTCTCTGAAGATTTGTGTGAATATAGTTTGTACATTAAACAAGTGGCTGAAAAAATTTACTCTTCTAGCTTCTGTTAGAACATTAGTCTCTCTCCATGGTTCTCTTAGCACTTCACCTATCATTGACGGTCATAATTATAAGAGTTTATTTGTACTACAGTATGTCCTTATTTTACCCATTTTAATGTTCTTGCTTTCATAATGTTTTCACATTTTGTATACTGTTCTTTCAATATTCTTGTACAGTATTTACTATCTTAAGTAAATCTAGATAAGAGCTCTTACTGGATGCTTCAGGGTGTATTGTCCAGGAAGATGTTTTGAGAGTTTTAACCTTTTTACATATGGGGGGAAATGTCCAGCTTTGGACTGACACTGTTTGGGGTTCTTGCATTCCTCCAGTCTAGTATATTAAAGTTATGTACTTAAAAGTTTTAAAAATGCTGTATTTTTTATTTTTTTTTGCTTTGTAGTAAATTCAGTAAAGTATGTACGTATGGAAGTATTACTCCAATTATGTACTTGATGATAATAATAAAGAACGTTTCATCAGTATTTCCTTCATGATTCAACATGTAATTATTTTATGAGATGTTGCACCAGAAAAACTTGCTTGTACAGACGTGCTAATGTTTAGTCAACCTCAAACAGCCTTGATGCTCATAGTGGTTCCAGTTAGCTTTGCTCAAGGTCTTTTTGTTCTGTGAGTTTTGACTTGATTTCAAAAGCATAAGAAGTCATTCAAACTTAATTCCTCCTTACACACAGAAATCACAATAGCACGATGCATCAAATGAACAAATGAGCATCAAATGGACAACCTTCGTCACGGCCCTTGTGGATTTGTTAATTCGTCCTGTTGATTTGATTTGGGTTAAAACGCAGCCAGAATTGATTTGATATCAAACTAGAAAGGCTATGTGGTGGTCCCCAGGTTCGTTTACCTCCCTCCCACCTTCCCCCTCTTCACCCACCCCACTCCTTTCTTCTCCCCCTCTTCCTCTTTACAAAGCATAAATATGTAAAACGATCTATATTTCAGACTTGACTTCATAAAAATTGCAGGAGGGGAGGGGAGGGGAGGGGGGCTGACTATAAATTTGCATATTTGTTAGTGTGGCACTGGGGCCAACCTTGCCTGGCCTATGACACTTGCCATACCCTCGTGGGAAGGCATATGGGAGTGCAAAGTTGGGTGAGGTAGCTCCAAGCATCTGGCCTCCAACTTTTAACAAACATGCTTGTTTTATGTAGATACAATGGTAGGGGGGAAAGGAGTGTCAATGAATAGATACATAGATTTGGTAAATATATTGTACTTATGTGTACAAACAAAAAGTGTCTTTCATAGATGCAAATAATAAAAATCTACACAATTTTTAAAAGGAAAATAATGTTCATTAATTATTGGAATCTGAATACAGTACCCAGTATGGCATTTATATTATAAGCTACATTGCACATTTCATGTGTATTAAAAGTGATACATTTATGTTTTTATCCATTTTTTTTCAGCTTCTTGATCTATTTTAATGGGGCCATATTCTATGTGAGAACTTGCCTCAATATGGTGACTAGGCACAAAATACCTCTGGGTTATCTCAACCTAACCTCTTGTATTCCCCTGACATCATCATAGAATCCGAATCCGGCCTATATGGAAACTTCTATTTTATCTTTACTTAAAATAGGTTGTTTCCTGTTACTTTATGTTCCAGCACTTCACTTTTTTTTTTCATCAGACTCATAATTTTTGAAGCACAATATTATACACAGATATGGTGGGGAAGTGCACAATTCTTGTGCTCATATTTCATCATCTCATCCAGGATTATCACTTGTAATTACACCTTAATAATTACTTAAGTAATGACAAGTGATAAACCTGGACGAGAGGATGAAAAATCAGCACAAGAATTGTTCACTTCCCCACCAAGCTCAACCAAAGTTATTGCTTGAGGGTTTGGTTAGGATCAAATCTACATTTTGAAGTACATATAAATTCTATCTTGTAATTTTAAAATGACTACTTTAAGTAACTTTTGGTCCAACATGCAAAAATGCACCTTGACTGCCCCCCCCCCCCTGAAAAAAATGGTTTTCTGCTATCTTGAAAAGAGCACAAAAAAAGCAACAACCAAATCTAATTTATTTTATGCTTAGTAGAGCACGTGTATGTACTAAATTAGGCCTAAGATTGTATGTTAAATCCTAGGCCTAATTAATATTGGTTATTAAGCCTAGGACAGGTTATGTTAGGTTCTATAGTTACTGTTCCACTTTTTTTTTGGATGCCATTTGAGGTACAGTATTTCAGTAGTACAAACTGTGAACATTTTTGGATACCACAGACTATTTTTGTACATTCAGCTGATAGTTGCTGTAAGTATGATCATTTTTGGATGGGTTGATAAATTCTATGCATGTGAGAGGTTAATTTTCACTGCATTCTTAGCTACCATATTTTGCAGATGGCTAGATCAAGAGTGGTTTTCTATTCTCTCGCTACTGCCCTGCACCTTGTATCACTGGTCTTCAATGCCATTTACTTAATAATATGCAGTTATTGAAATGACTTCATCCTATCACCCTGAAGTTTATATTTATCTCATTGTATATCAACTGTCTGAGCATGTGCACTTTTGTGTATGGTGTAAGGATGAAGACTGAAGCATAATGACACAGCTAAGATAAAGGAACACTTATCCCTAACATTAAAGAAAGGAGAAAGTGATGTAAAGTATTCTCATAAAAGTGGATGTAAACAGGTATCAATTGGGGGTATAAGGGAAGTTTGTAGCCCCCACTTCTTAAAGGCTAATGAAGTATTGAATATTAAACATATCTGTCCCACAGAGACATTTGCACATATTTTTGCATGCACACACACATGTAGATATATACAGTACAGTAATTATTTCTGAGCGGAATTCAGGGTGATTGCGTGTATTTGGAGATTTAACACTACTACTACTACAGAAAATATGCAAATTAGTGAAAATGGCGATGGGTGAAATTTTGCCCAAATTGACCTACAGTTTTCAAAATAACTCCCAAGAGTGGTTCAGTACAGATGCTTGAGAGATAGTGCACATCTTCAACAGTCGCCAACTAGAACGTAACGCTCGACGTGTCCAGTTCCTACCCTCACAAGGCTCTTCAACTTCGACACAGAACAGATAGCCAGACTTTGGCCACATCGAGCTCTTCGACTCCGCCCGCATTCAGAGCACCCTGCTCTACGACTCACCCTGCATCCGAGCTCTCTACCCTGGACCTTGCTCAGCTCTCTGCTCTGCTCCAGGCTTCGTCTCAACATCTACGACACTACCAACAAACCAACTGCTGTAACCAAGACTACTAAATAAATATGAAACCCACTAAACTGTGTATCTAACCAACCAAATGACGTAACATAATCGTACGTTACAAGCATTTTACCGAATATTCTGGGTGATAAACGTATACATTTCTTACTTTACACATGCAGCATGTTACCAGATGTACACACATACTTTTATGACTAGGTAGACACAGACAACTTGCAATAGACATTCGGACAACTCAACAAAGTTACAATCTTAGTGCTCTGCTACTCTTCCCATCATTTCTTGCCCTCCCACACTCTCCATTGTTCTTTCCCATCCTACCTTGCCCGCTACCATCCCCTTTCCTTCTCCCATTCCTTCCTGTATTAGTAGCAAACATATTCATATATATATGTTATCGTCCAGAAACATATTTGAAGGAAGTATAATAGTCCAGAGAACTTGTGTACATTATGCATTAGTATCAAAGACAAGATTATCCTAAACATGGCATAAATGTAGTGATCCATTAAGTGGTTAATTGATCCATTTAGAGTGCCTAAAGAGCAGAACTTAATCCCCAATGCAAGCACAACTAGGTGAGTACACTTGTGTGTACACGGGGGGGGGGGGGTCTAGTGTACAAAAGTGCCGGTGTGGTGATGGCTTAGTGGTATACGAGTCGACCAGTGAAGGCTAGTGGTGGTGTACGAGTCGACCACAACAACAAACATGGCGAGCCTCCTGCCGGAGTTCGAGCAGCAGTTCGCAGCCGTCACCGCAGATATCACCTCCAAGATATGTCACATTTCTTCAAGAGAGTCATGTGAGCATTCTTAGCACATATTTGGGCGGAGGTACTGTGGAGGCTTGGGATATTACTCGACCATGAGACATGTTTCATTGAAAACACGAGAGAGCCCTGGACTGTAAGATGAATTGTTTATATATATATATTTTTGCGTTCTTACTATTACAGTAACACAAATACCCAAAAATAATAATTTCAGTGAAGATTTACTGTGAGGTGATCCATATTCTGTAGCAGGAGTCAGGGGACCTTGATTACTCTACCAGTAATCTATGTTCAAATATCCCCAGACTTGAAAGTAAACAAAAACAATCTGATACTAATTGCTCTTAAAATGAGAACTAGACTTCTTTCAAATTTAAGAATTAATAAGACTTAAAAAAGCCACACATGCTGTGATAATAGCACACACACGAAATTAAAATGGATTGAAGTAGTGACCAGACCTGATGACCAGACCACACACCAGGAGCTGGAGGAACGACAACGTTTCGGTCCATCCTTTTAACTTTAGCCATGACTGTTGACTGATAAGACTAACAGGCTTCCTGTCCTATATATTAACTTATATTAATTTTAATTTGTATTCTTTATTTGTTAAATAGGCTTTTAATTAAATGGCTGAAAAATTGACAGGTGCAGTTTATTGGTAAGAAATGTAGGATTCCGATCCTAGGTATCAGCTGGACAGTACTGAACATTGCAAATTCATTCACAATCCTATGCAATTCCTCACTCTCAACAAACTCATGATCTGCTTCCAATCATGCCAGTAAATAATTTCTCTACCACAATGCACCTTACTCCCACCGCTGGTGTTCCTGACTTTGCCCCCATAACCAATTCATTCCTCTATAGTTCACACACTTCCTGTACTTTTCCTTATACTGTACTGTACATGTATATAGTACATGTTCATGTATACTGTACATGTACATGTATACTGTACATGTTCTGCCCGAAACGCTGCGCGTGCTAGTGGCTTTACAAGACTGTAATTACCATATTTGTATCCTCACATTCCTTATGTACATTCTTGTATATGCATAAATAAATAAATAAATAAATATAGGGTAAACTTAGTCCAGTCATCAGGCACCTCACTTTTCTGCCATATTGACATACCTGAATTTACCTGAGGGCCACTATTTCTCTAGTGGCCTCAACAAAGACATGAATTCGGTGAGTTCAAAAATTGGCATTTACAGTTTTGGTGGATAGGAAGTTCTATGGGTTTATAACCCTCTGAGTGAAAAAGTATCTCCTGCTTTCTATTCTACCTCACACCCATATCTCAACATATCTGCAGCTATTTAATCTATACAAGGAGCATTTTCCCTTTCTAATATATCATAACTACTGTAATTTACCCCCTATCCTCCTCTGTTCCACTGGTCTCATTGCACTTATCCCAGATTGTTACAGTATCGCCTTTTGTTCACTCATGCACATTTTGCTTTCTGGATGCACTTGATGAAGACTGTGTGTGTACTTCTAGCCGTTCCTTCTGACAGGCCTGATTGAGTGGATCTTCTGGGTCTATTGTAAGAGTACATGATTTTTATATTGTACAGGTATATGTATATACAGATATAAGTACAGTATTACTGTACAGGTATATATGTATAGTAATACAATACAGCATAGGATGTCATAAATTTGTATGCTACCTGGGATAGTTCTGGCATCTTCGAAATTCTCACCACTCTTATCATTTGGTACACATCTATATGTGTACCAAATTGCATCAAAATCAAAATGGGTGCCAGAAAATTTGCCCAAAATTTGGGTGAACTGACATAGAATGACTCGACAGTTACCGCGCTGAAACAACCAAGAATTACTAAAACAAGCACAACTAAAATCTATAAATATTTTAAATAAAATTAGGTCATAAATTCTCTGAATGAGGCTACAGACAACCTTTTGTGAAAGAGGTTGTCATGGTTACATAGATTTTCATATTCTCTACATACAGTATATTGAAGAAAGTTTTATTGTGATCATTCCATATTAATATAGGGACGACATTTTTGGTAAATTTAAGTGGATGCCAAGTTGTCCTTAGATCCCTTAATAATTTATTTATTTTCAATTTTAATGAGAACTCCTAGTCCTAAGTTTTAGTCTTTAATGGTTTTCCTGCCCGAAACGCTTTGCGTAATAGTGGCTTTAGGCATTGTATGTACTAGCTCTATCTATAAATCTATCAAATTTTGTAAAATCTCTTGTATGTATGTACCTTACCTGAATAAACATTTATTTATTTATTTATTATTTATTTATTTAAATTTTGTTTTCCTTCAGCTGAAAGAATATCCCTAATACAAGATGTGGAAAACCTCACGGAAGAAGCAAGAGAACTGGTGAGTCCTAAAATGTAGATTGTGTTGCAGTCATATTAATGCTTGCTTAAATATTGTGAGTTGTGCAAATTGTGTATTATAACATTGTGCAAATGTGGTATTATCAAATGTCAGATTTGCTACTGACACTTTCTCCAACTTCTTTTATTTTTTGTATATCTTATATACAGTATCTGCATATGTAGAGCTAGTATATTTGCAAAGTTTGAATTTTTGTTAGTTTTATACCATGCTTTCTTTAGGTGGTAGACTTGTATAGTGGAACTGGCCAATGACTAGTGACTGCCTAACACTATCCCAATCAAAAGTGTCATAATTCTATGGACACTTTTTTTTAATTAAAAATTGCACCAAACATTTAAGTATCAATTTGCTCAATACATAATTGTATTTTCTCATGTTTAATTCAAAGTAGCTGTACATGACTAGCTCACTAACCCTTTGACTGGGACACTGAACTGTATTCACTTGATTCATAACAGACAATTTACTCCTTTGATGTATTGAGTTGTCTCAAGCTAAACATTGAGCTTCCATGTAGTTGCTTTAAAACTGACTGGGGAACATTTCATAATTAAATCCAAAATGTAGTGTTTTATTATAATTTAGCCATTAGTTAGCAGTGATAAGGAGCAGTCTTGTTTCCAAATCATTAAAACAAAAGTCCTACATAGGTCCTTGTGTTTATGAATGACTATACTTTACACATGACAAAACTGACAACTGTCAAGCTTTTCTCACAAATATTTGCACCTACTTTCAATATTCAAAGTGCATTCCCTATAGGAAAAACTGGCCTTCCATAAAGCATAGCTGAACTGAGAAACTTTTCCTTATCATCTCTACTAATGCAGTCGCCTCAATTTCTGGTAGTAAAGACTGCAGCATCCTTTTCAACATTTACTGCTGAATATCATATGGCAATTCACTTACCAGTTACAGTATATATTGTATTTAGACTTGGTTTAATTTTAAGTAGGAGGCTAATATCCTCTATTTTGTTTTGAAACTTGAGGATATTATAAGAGATGAACTAATGTGTAGGGGTCATGATACACCATTGATTATTGTCTTAGCTGGAGAGGATGGAATTGGAAGTACGAGACTTGGAACCAGTACAAAGGGAGAAGCTGGCAGGAAGAATAAAGAGCTATCAGGTTGAGCTGAAGCGCTTGGAGGGGGAATACTCGCGTGTGAGGGCCATTACCACAAGCGAAGGTCAGCATCTGATCAATTTATCATAAAATTCACCTTTATTCATTCTCTTATAGTAATCATGTATGTTTTTAAAATCATATATTGATGGCAAATGCATATTGGGTATTGTTGCCAACTATTAACTGCAATACCCATTCATCTTTAATCTTAAATAATATATCCAGTATAATTCATGTGGGGTATAAGTATGTGGAGTATGTGCTCATCAAAGTGGTTGTAGGTTGATTTTCCTTTGTCTTGAGAAGATGTCAGCTTGTATGATCAGGAGTGCAAATGTATATAACTATTTGGTGATCTTTGCAACTAGGTGATGTAGTTCAATTGCTCAAGAATATAAAAACATCAATGCCTTTATACAATATATTGTATACTGTTCATGTATGTATGTTGAACAGGTAGCACGAGAGCAGAACTCCTGGAGGATGGGTATGCTGGTGTGAGTGTTGGAGAAGAACAGCGACAAGCACTCCTGGACAATAGTGAGACTTTAGAACGTGCAACTGTGAGGTTGTCACAGGGACACAAGATTGCTCTGGAAACAGAACATATAGGTGCACAGATACTAAATGACTTATACAGCCAAAGGCAAACCATCAGTCATGCACGAGAAAGGGTAAGAAATTAAGTTACAGTTCTCTGTAATGATTTATAATGTAATCTCGTGGGGAACTTCCCTTTCCCAAAGGAGTGGCCCATGTACAGGTTTCCTCAGACATTTTGCATGTGTGTGATTACTTGTATCAGTATGTGATTATCTGTACATTACTGTATGCAGTTATAATATAGAGAGAGCTATGTATGGTGTCCTATACCCTTAGTTTAGTAGTTTAACTTAAATATTTTAAGCTTTCGGTGGTTTGTTACATGATAATATTTAGCTAAAATATGCTGTGTTGAATAAAACACTAGCTTCTATGCATTAAGTTCATTGAAGGTCATACAGACAATAGGACAAATGGTTACATGCTATAAAAATCAGATGTGTACTGAATGCATTGCACCCAGCTAGTACCAGATGTCAAAGAAAATGGTATCTAACTTGGTCGGTACCCAGTAACAATTAGTTGCAGCTGGTGGGGAATTACTTGCAGTGCTTTGGATCTCTTAAGTGCTTCAGAACTCTTATCTTCATTCTTATGCTTTGGCACTGGGATTTGCTTACACTGGTTTGTGCAGTTTTCTTGGGGTGGCTGTGTGCTAACCTTATTCTCCAGGTGTTTGTTTAGGAAATGTAAACACTTGCCCCCTTACCCATTGCCTTGGGTATGGTGTTTTATTGGGAACACACCAACTACTGTATGCTGCTCTCACAGCTTGACTTCTGCCTTGAGTGTGCCAGCTGGAGTTGTTGATTTAGTTCCCTTGCTTCAGATGTTCATTATCTCATTTTTTTTAATGGTTGATAATTATATAGAACCTTGTGTAGTTTCCTTTTTTTTTTTTTTTACCTCAGTGACCGCCCTTGCTGTCTAAACATGCTTCTTGTTGAGTCAATAGATTTTCACCCTAATTTTTTATACTGTACTTGTACTGACAGTGGACTGCTATCTTGCCTGTTTACTTTCTGCAATGCGGCTTATGAGGTGGCACTTTTCTTGTGGGCTGACGTGTGTGTGGGTGTGTGTGTAATTACACAAGTGTAGTTACAGGGTGAGAGCTACGCTCGTGGTGTCCCGTCTACCCAGCACTCTTTGTCGTATAACGCTTTGAAAGTATTGACGGTTTTGACCTGTACCACCATCTCACCTGACTTGTTCCAACTGTCTACCACTCTCTTTGCGAAAGTGAATTTTCTTATATTTTTTCGGCAGCTTTGTTAAGTTAGTTTAAATCTATGACCACTTGTTCTCAAAGTTCCAGGTCTCGGGAAGTCTTCACTAACAATTTTATCAATTCCTGTTACTGTCTTGTGTGTAGTGATAATATCACCTCTTTTTCTTCTATCTTCTAGTTTTGGCATGTTTAATGCCTCTAATCTCTCCTCATAGCTCTTGCACTTCAGTTCTGGGAGCCACTTAGTGGCATGTCTTTACACCTTTTCCAGTTTGTTGATGTACTTCTTAAGATATGGGCACCATACAACCGCTGCATATTCTAGCTTTGGTCTAACAAAGATAGTGAACAATTTCTTTAGTATTTTGCCATCCATTTATTTAAAAGCAATTCTGAAGTTAGAAAGCATAGCATAGGCTCCTCGCACAGCGTTCTTTATGTGGTCCTCGGGCGATAGATTTCTATCTAGAACCACCCCTAGATCTTTCTTTATCAGAAGTCTTTAAAGATTTCCCACATAATTTATAAGTTGTGTGGGGTCTATGTTCTCCTGTTCCACATTCCATTACATGGCATTTATGCACATTAAAATCCATTTGCAAAATGGTGCTCCATATACTTATTTTGTCCAGGTCTTCTTAAAGGACATTACAATCATCTAAGTTTCTCATCTTTCCTATTGTCTTAGCATCATCAGCAAACATGTTCATATAATTCTGTATTCCATCTGGCAGATCATTTATATAGACAATGCACATTACCAGTGCAAGAACTGAACCCTGTGGTACTCCATTTGTGACATTTCTCCAGTCCAATACATTGCCTCTGATTACTGCCCTCATTTTGCTATCAGAAAATTTTTCATCGATGTTAGAAGCTTACCTGTCACCCCTCCAATATGTTTCAGTTTCCAGAACAACCTCTTATGTGGAACTCTATCGAAAGCCTTTGTTAGGTTCAGATATATGCAGTCAACCCAATCATCTCATTCCTGTAAAATCTCAGTGGCTCGATCACAGAAACTGAGTATATTCAATACACTCGGTCTTCCAGATCGAAAACCAAACTGTCTGTCTGTCTGATATTACATCGTTTCTCTCCAGGTGTTCTACCCATTTAATTTTAATTATTTTTTCCAATATATTGACTATTACACTTGTCAATGATACAGGTTTATAATTGAGGGGGGGTCTTCCCTGCTGCCACTTTTGTAGATTGGAAGTATGTTAGCCTTTTTCCATGTGTGCATGTGTGCAGGTACATTGCTTTTGCCAGTGGAGAGTCTCAGCAGTGTTCCTCACTATGAACTCTGAGGAGAATATTGAGATTGGTCCTCTCCACTCATAAGAAGTCTCATTGAGGCATTTGTTTTTCCTGATTTGGTCTGACCACTAATTATTCTTTGTCTATGCCACCTTCACTGGTCACGGCATCTAAATGCCTTGGGCTTCCATCCATGCAGGCACTGGCATGGATGTCACTGAAGGCAGTGTTTTGTGCATCCTCCCTTTGTATGAGATGAACCTTTATTTCAATCTCAGGGAGGCCTGCCTGTTGGGCTTTGCATTGTTTCTGACCCTGTTTGAGGCTGTTCCAAAGTCAGGTTCCAAAGCTGGCCCCACCACCTTGCAGAGCCTAATTTGTGGCCCCAACTTTACCTATATACAGTACCGTACAGCATTTGTGGGACTCGAGCTGCACTCATACACTGTAATAGTATGTGGCTCCAGTTGTATCCATGTGATGGGGTATTGTATAGCTTCAATGTAGTCATGTATTGAATAGGCATTATTTTTATATCTGGTTCTTCACTACATCTTTAACTTAAACTTGCATTGTAAATTTATAAAGGATTATTAATTAAAATGGTCAATTAAAAATATACATACCGGCAAGTAATTCATAAATATTTCTTTACAGTTACGTGAGACTGACGTAGACTTGGACCAGAGCTCAAGAGTGCTCAACACTATGCTACGACAGGTATTGCAAAATAGATTTATCTTGTATGCTGTTTTTATTGTTGTAGGTGTTGTCATAGTGTTTGCAATCTACCTCGCGGTTAGAAGAGGATGAAGTAATAAGGTTTCGTTATTATAAGATTTTGATAAGAATTGATAACGGTATATTACATGTAACCATTAAGCACTTAACATGCATCTTTCATTATTATAAGTTGACTAAAAGTTCTTAGAACAATTTTGGAATTGCAGTATTTAAATGTAATCTCTGAGTGAAAGCATATTGGAATTTTCCCCATTATAAAAATATAAATAAATATGTTGTGAAAATTACAAATACACCATTAAAGTCAAAGAAAGAAACAGAAATAGAAATGGCAGTAAATGCATTAGTCTTTATTTACATCAAACATTAGTCATTCATTAATGTTAGATGTGTATGTGAATTTTTAATTGATGTTTGTTCAACAGAAATATTGTGACTTGCCAAGGTGTTACGTACTGTAGATGTTTCTTGTGATATACTCCAGTTGATGAATCAGAATAATTATAGAATTTTAAGCACCAAATGTTTTATTGCACTTGTCATTCCTGTACAGTATTCATCCTGACTTCCATCATATAATTAATTATATGTTTAATTACCTGATATCAAATAATTCACAACAATAAATAAAAAAAATAAAAAACATTAATTTTGATTAACAGTTTACAAACATTAGTGTTCTTTACTGTAGTTAAATGTTAAGAATATTTGACCATAAGGAAACCATTGTGGCCTATCTATGTGGACATTGTGGCCAATGTCAAGCAGCTCATATTTATACCCGACCAAACTCAATCACATACATGTCTAACCTTAACTTGAAACAATCCAATTATTGAGGAAATTAGTAGGAGCCATGAGGAAGATTCCAACCTGCACACTAGGGACTCCCAAGCACCTGCCTTAGACCAGTTAACCACGACATGCTCATCATACATCTTGTTAATGTGATTTCTTTGTGCAATCCAGTTATTCTTTGTCTGATGTATTACTTGATAATTTGGTAAATAGATAAACATCCCTATTTCCAATTAAATATACTTTTATACATCTATTAAGTATTGTTATATTTCATACCTTATTAATATTCCTTTGTTATACAGTTTCATCCATTTCTATACTTCAGTTATTGTCATATCACTCTTACTCTTTGACTTTCTAGAGAATGTATGTTAAGCTTTTTAATCTCTCTTCATAAGGAAGCTTTCTAATTTGTATGGTTACTTTGTCATCCTTTTCTGTACTCGTTCAAGTCTACCTACCTTGTGCTGATTCCGAAAATCAACGTCCTCGCGGCCTGGTCATTGACCAGCCCTCCTGGTTGGTGGTCTTGTCAACCAGTCTGGTGGACGTGGCTGCTTGCAGCCTGATTTATGAATCGCAGCCAATTTTATCAGGTATCCTTTGAAGGTGTTTATCGAGTTTTCTCTTGAACACCGTGAGATGTTGGCCAGTTATATTCCTTATGTGTAGAGGGAGAGTGTTGAAAAGGCTTGGGCATTTGATGTTGATACGGTTTTCTCTCGGTGTATCTATTGCAACTCTGCTTTTCAATGGGGCTATTTTGTACTTCCTGCCATGCCTCCTGGTCTAATGTGATGTTATTTCCATGTTCAGATTTAGAACCAGTCCCTCTTAATATTTTCCAGGTGTAAATTATGCAACCCATCCTCCTGTTTAGATAGTATCTATTGTGACAATCGTCAGTAATCAGAATTCGTATGTGCTTAGTTTTTAGATAGTATGGAATTCTTTTACAATAAATGAAGCTAAAACACAAACCTAAGTATTTCTAGGCCTAGTATAGCGCACACATGTACTAAGTTAGGGCTCAGATATTGTGTATTAGGCCTAGGGAGGTTAGGATAGTGCTCTGTCAAAGCAACACAAGTAAAAAACCAGTTTTCCTGTTTGTCCAACTCAATAGTTCAGATTTTTACATTCTAATTTCATTGTATGTTGGGATACAGTACAGTATATACTATGGTCCTCATCATTACTATAAATACTACCAAAACAGGAGGATGGGTATGACATGCCTTGTTTGAAAGGTTCTTGTTACCCAATTTGTTATTTTTCTTCCAGTTGTGACAACTACTTTGTCTTCTTTGAGGGTAAGGTTTTCCGACATGATTGCTCCCATGTCCTTTACATTGTTATTTTGTTCTATAGTGTGATTTGACTGCATCTTATATGTGGTTTCTGTTTATACATTTTAATTTCTTCCATAGTGCAGGAGCTAGAACTTATCTTCATTGAACATCATAAAATTATCTGTGGGCCATTGAAAGACCCAATTTACATCAGGTTGGAGGTTTGTTTGTTATTCTATATTGTCTATTCTCATGAAAATCTTAATGTCATCTGCAAAGGATACAATACTATAGTTTGTATCTGTGTCTGTCTGATCTTTTGCTCTCTCTCCTTCACCTGGATTTTATGATTTTTGCAGCTTGAGCTCGATCATTTCTATTTCTCTGTTTAGCCTTGCTTGTCGTTGGGATAGGGTGGAGCATTTGAGATGTGTGATTTGTTTTCTTTGCCTATAGAGAGAATGTTGTTCTTGTTCCAGTTGGCATCTTCACTTTATTCCTTAGTGGTACTGTATGCAACTTCCACATTTTGAGTGCTACTGTGTCTAGTTTCTTGAAGCACTTGTTGAAGTTTCCATTATCTAATTGTTCTTCCCAGCTTATTTCTGCGAGATCTTGGTTTATTTGTTTCCAGTTAATCTTTTTTTGAAATTAAATTTGCTGAATTCTCCTTTGAATTTGAGACTGGCTGATCAGGTCTATTGCCCATGCTTGTCTGAACTTTGATTAGGTTGTGATCTGAGTAACATGTATTTGTAATCATAATGTCCCTAATCAGTTCATCATCGAGTGTAAAAATATGATCTAAGAGTACTTTCTTTTCTAGTTGGTTCTATTTGCTGGTTTAAAGCAAATCTATCACACATCTGCATGTGTGACTGTTGACTTTGACTACTTCCTGGGATTCTCTCTGGTATAACAGTATTTTCCACATTCCATTTTAGATGCTGTAAGTTGAAATCGCCTAGCAAAATTTAGTTCGTTCGGGGCAAATGTTCAGCAAAAATGTTCGGGGAAGGGTTTGAGAGATTTTCTAAGCAGTATTCTATTTTCGTAAGTTAGTCTTTAAACTGCTGAGTACTATTTTCTCATTGCAAATGACTGGTTTTGAAGTACAGGCTGACCCCACCTAACCCCTGTGTATCCTGTCACATCTGAAAAGATTGTACTCCAGTATCCATATCTCGATCATAAGTCTTTAGTGTGGGTTTCAGTTAATGAAACCCTCATTAAAGAGGTCAGTTATAAAGTTGAATCTGTTCTAGATGTTTTGATACTTTATATGTTGGCAAATAGGAAAGATGTTATCATATTTGTGGAAGTGCTGGGTATTTTGCTTGGTGTTAGCATCTGGTTTTCATAAGGGTGCCTCATTGTGTCTTGTCCAGCATTTGACCAAGTTGACTGTAGAGTTTAGACATTTCTTTCAACTTTATAAAATTCTCTATATCCATTATTTGTATGAATAAATTCCAGTATCTTATTTACTGTAGTGTGTATATATATATATATATATATATATATATATATATATATATATAATATATGTCGTACCTAATAGCCAGAACGCACTTCTCGGCCTACTATGCAAGGCCCGATTTGCCTAATAAGCCAAGTTTTCCTGAATTAATATATTTTTTCAAATTTTTTTCTTATGAAATAATAAAGCTACCCATTTCATTATGTATGAGGTCAATTTTATTTTATTGGAGTTAAAATTAACGTAGATATATGACCAAACCTAACCAACCCTACCTAACCTATCTTTATAGTTTAGGTTAGGTTAGGTAGCCGAAAAAGTTAGGTTAGGTAGTCGAAAAACAATTAATTCATGAAAACTTGGCTTATTAGGCAAATTGGGCCTTGCATAGTAGGCCGAGAAGTGCGTTCTGGCTACTAGGTACGACATATATTATATAATATATATATATATATATATATATATATATATATATATATCCCTTCTAGGTATAATATATATATATATATATATATATCCCTTCTAGGTATAATATATATATATATGTCGTACCTAGTAGCCAGAATGCACTTCTCGGCCTACTATGCATGAACCGATTTGCCTAATAAGCCAAGTTTACCTGAATTAATATATTTTCTCTAATTTTTTTCTTATGAAATGATAAAGCTACCCATTTCATTATGTATGAGGTCAAGTTTTTTTAATTGGAGTTAAAATTAACGTAGATATATGACCGAACCTAACCAACCCTACCTAACCTATCTCTATAGGTTAGGTTAGGTTAGGTTAGGTAGCTGAAAAAGTTAGGTTAGGTTAGGTTTGGTAGGTTAGGTAGTCGAAAAAACATTAATTCATGAAAACTTGGCTTATTAGGCAAATTGGGCCTTGCATAGTAGGCTGAGAAGTGCGTTCTGGCAACTAGGTACGACATATATATATATATATATATATCCCTTCTAGGTATAATATATATATATCTAACTTTGCAATTCCAACATTGTCCAGATGATATCTGTTAATGCTGTTATTACTGTTCCATCAAGTACACCCCATCTCTTGACAGCTGCCTGTGACCACATCTTAATGGTTTATTGTCAGCCTCAAATTCTTAATTAATAAAAAAAAGTAAATAAATAAACAGTAAATTTACAGTATTTACTGTAAATAATACAGTAAATAAATCAGAAGTTATTATTTAACATTTTTTACTAGTTGTCTTCTTGGTATATTTTTAAAGTTATCAAAATTTCTGTAGTTTTAATTTGTTATACTGTATTTAGCTTTACCCAGTACCAGGTACTTTATATATTTTTAACATTGTGATATTTGTAAGAGTCGAGTGTGGTTTTTGTATATTTACATATTTAATAAAAATGTATATAGGGACGTTTATTGTTAACCTGTTTGTTTCAACTGTTATTGAAACAAACAAACTTTTTCTAAGGCAGTAGAGTTTTATGATGTTTTTTGAAGGAGGAGTAATGTAGTTTTGAAAGATGAAGATTGGACTTGAAGGAAACACTAGGGAATGAAATAAGAAATGAAGGCATACAGAAAGAGGTGGAAGTTGGGAATATATTGAGAAGTTAGTAATATTGGCATGCAACATATTGATAGCATGACAGATGATGAGAATGTGTATGGTATTTGAAAGGTGTGATGGAGAGAGGAGCTAATAATAGCTACAGTATAAGAAGAGGAATGAAACCATGCACCAAGGAGACAACACCAACAATAAAAGATACTAATGACTGGGGAAATTTGTAATCAAGAATTGTGTAGAAAATTGCAAACTGAATGACCTGCACTTCATTTTCAGTGGAACTCGGGGAACTGCCATAAAGAAGCAATTACAGCAGAGAACTTACGGGCTAACTTGATTATATTTCTCATAATCAAGTTAGTCCGTAAATTGGTAAACATGTATAGACATGCTATTAAATGGCTTCCCGAACTTAAAAAAACACGAGCTTACGAGAAGCTAGAGCATTTAAATATGCCAAAGCAAGAAGATAGAAGAATAAGAGGCAGTATGATCACTACATACAAAATAATAGCAGGAATCAACATAATTGGCAAGGAGGAATTCTTGAAACCTGCAACTTCAAGAACAAGAGGTCATAGATTCAAGCTAAGGAAACAAAGGTGCCCCAAAAAATTAGAGTTCTCCCTTGTAAACAGTGATAGATCTTTGGAATAAGATAAGAGAGAAGGTGGCAGATGCCAAAATTGTCAGTATAGTTTCAAAGTGTCTATGATAGAGTATTGGGAAGACAGGACACCAGAGTATAGCTCTCATCCTGTAACTACACTTTGATATGTAGGAGCAGTGGCCTTAGAAATGCCAATAGCATTGGCCCCAAAACAATGCTATTCATTCAGTTATATAGAGAGAAGTTGAAAGGAAATTAATTGATTTAATTTCTCGAAAATGTTTTCTTTTTAGCATTCATGTTGTACATTGCAGTACAAGTGCTTTTTGTCTAAACCTCCTGTACATACAGCAGTAGTACTTTTGAACTTTTTTTTAATTGTACATGTTTCATATTTTACATACAGGAGCATTAACATTTTAGGGAATACTCAATATTCTTACATTCCAGCCATGGTTTTCTCAAACTTGTTCCAGTTCACCTTGCTCCTCTACAATTCTACAGCGGCAGACTCTGATGGCATGCACTATGACACTGCTATCTCCATTTGTCCACTTTACAGCTTATACTTTGTATTTTTAACTGCAGTTGGGAGACAAGGTCTGTATCTGTGGACCTTGTCTGAACTTTGGTTCCATCTTGCATTTTCCGAACCTCCTCGAGCTTCATTATGACTGGCTCCAGAGGACATAAACACACTGCCAGGGTCTTGGCCTTTGTTGTTGCGGTGGCAGTTGCACTTCCCAATCCGTACACCCTTATTCTCCGGAAGGCAATGTACATGTCCTTCGCCACCCTACACATGTTAAAAAGACCGTGTTGGTCCACTCTTTAGGTTTGGCATGGGTCCTTGCTCTTGTCTGCCTCTCTTTCTCCTATCCTCTTTTCTGAGGATGTTGAAGCAGTTCTTCTCTGGTGGCTGCAACTTATCAGCCCATATCAGACCACCTCTGTTTTTGGGGGTTCTTTCTTCAAGGTCAGATAGACTTGGCACATCGCCTGCTGTTAGTCAAGGTAGGCCACCTGTGGAGTCGGTACCAAATTGCATGCGCTTATCCCATCTCGTCCTTCACTGTCAGTTTCGTGTCATGCATATATTAATACAAATACTGTACCATGCTCAATGTAAATAATTTTTCTAAGCAATTTTTCCATGAAAATTGAGAAAAGTACCCAATTATATTTTTGAAAAGAATCAATCAATAATGTCAGAATAGACTTTTCAGTGGAATCTGTATTGGAAACTTCAGACATTTTAGTATTGTCCTATTACTACTAGGTACATTATTACTGCAAATGGCTACAAAGCAACATAGAAGGAAATTACAGCAGTATTCAGTTACTACCACAAAAACATGGACTACACTAACAAACTTGACAAATAAACACATTTCTTCACTATAAGTTTTATTCCCCCTCCTTTGGACCCTATACACGATATGATAGTTTATAATGACAATGTCGTACACATAGTGGTATCCTCATACAGTACTCAACAAAATGTGTTAACCTGACTAGTACTCCACTTGGTTGCAACTACCTGCTTATTGACAAATTAATATTAATAATTATTCCTCCCTTATAACATCTCTGGACTTATATCCTACATTTAAATAAAACTTAATATAAAACTTACAACTTATTACCCATCAAAAGCTTCCTTTGGTTTTATTAGTGTCAGATCTGGAGAAATGCCCCAAACTCTTGTATCTAATTAAACAAATAGTATTCAAAGAATTTTCTGTCACACAGTTCAGGAGCACCTCAGGTATCAAATAACTTTCATATTTTTTTTTATCGGGTAAATAATTCCAAATTCTTGTGATAATCTGGAGTAATTGCCAGAGACTAAGTACATCACCACAGAATTGACATTTTACTTTAAAGTACACAATGCCCCTCCCCCCCCCCCCCCCCCCCCCCCCCCCAAAAAAAAAAAAAACCGAGATTCAAAACCTAACTTACAAAAGATAACCACCAAACGATCAACTTTAAAGAACCATACAAGGGGCAGTTAGCAACCGGTCTCTTTCCATAGAGCGTTCTTTCTCACTGAGGTAACATGGACAGCAAACTAGGGCAGGTGTTTACCAAAATTTTAAATTTCAAGTGTAGAATTTACTTCAGATTTGCTGTACGAGATTTTTATATAAATTTAAACCTTAACATTTAAGAACAGACTGATTTACACTGCCAGGGGGTTTTTCTACAGCCTAGTCTGCTGCTAGAGTAACATTGCCAACACAAGCCCACTGGTGTGTTTGGGTACAGGACAGTCTAGGCTGGGCTGCAGGCTACCAAACCAACTAACCAATATTATTGCTAGGTATCCGATTCAAGAAAAGTATGAAATGCGAATTTGAAAACAAAAGGAAAGAACAATTCATCTTTATTAAAAAGCAAATTATGCTAATTTAAGAATTGCTCACTATACAGTATTGCCATAGAAAATATTACCTTGTAGCTCATAAATATGAGCGAAGGTTGTGCCAGCAACCTAGTCTAGGTATCCTTTCTTAAGATGGTAGACATGTACTGGCAAAGTGTTCAATTTAAAGGTCACTTGTCTCTACAACACACTTAGTAGGCAATAATATAGGGAAAAATTACATAATGCAGCAAAGCTACTGACCTTCATATCAAAATAAAAATAGAATGTAATCTTACAAAAAATAAAAAGCTATAGCAAGCCCATAACTTTTGTTCACTGAGGAAAGGAATGTAAGCACAGCAATAGAAATGAACCTTATCAAGGCTTTAAGTGTTAACTTTACTGAAACTGAAACATTGTCCAGAACATTACATGGAAAACGACAACTAGTAACCTTCAAAAACCAATGGATTGTTCTGTAATCTGCAGAAACTACTAACAGAATATTCCTTAGAAAATGGCTTCGTTATCTTGTTGTAAGGCATAGATTGTTGGACAATTCTAGAAAGGGCACTTAATTAATTATGCAATAAGTATAACTTTAACCTAGGAAAGGAATGGTAATCCACTGGTTTTGTTATGTGGGTTTTCTTATTTTTCTTTACATAACCATTAGATGGAATATGTAAACAAGGGCCCTCTAGAAAAGCCGACTGGCCAGAGTTTCAGATGAGAAGAATCCATAATCTGTACATTTTTTATTTTTTTGGCAAAAACAAGGGGAAAAAAAAGAAAAAAAAAAAGACAATTGGTGGTTATTAACTACAGCACAAAGGGTCCTAATTGTAAACACTATTGAATGGTTCACCCAACTATAAACACCATAGCACACCTTCTCACCTGAAATCTACTTGCCTACTGATATGTACTAAAAGAACATCACCTGTTGAGCTCATAACAGCTACAGTTTTCAAAATGGACGGAGAAGTATCAAGCTGAGAGTTTCAAGTATAAACTGAGGATCATATACATAGGTGCAGAATGTGGGCATTTTCTCACAAGGCAGCAGAAGGGACATCAAGTTACCTGTAAGATCACAGTGGATACTGAGCACAAGAGTCAGGGCTGCCTTAATATATATACTGTGTCTGTGTGTATTATATATATAAAATACATATAATATATATGTATTATATAATATATATAATACATTATATATATTATACATACATTATACATATATATATATACATATATATATATAATTTATATATATTATACATACATTATACATATATATATATATATATATATATATATATATATATATATATATATATATATATATATATATATATATATATATATATATATATATATATATATATATATATATATATATATATATATATATATATATATATATAAACTGTATATTTTTTTTGTTTTTTTTATGTTTTTTTTTTGTCTCGTCTTTCTTTCATTATCTTGAGCAGATACCTCCTGTCTTCTGCCAAAAAGAAGTGCCTGCCCAGGCAATATGAAACCTAACTATTATTTCTTTCAACAATATGACAATTTGTTTTTAATTAACTGCATTGTAACAAATTTTAAGATACATTATTAAAGTTTAGAAGAGCGAGACAAGACTCCTGGACAGGCTACTTTTTTCTGCAGTGGTGATACCAACAGATATTCTGCATCTCCTCAGATTAGACTTGAACGTGATCCCCAAGCTTGATGGTAACCACTAGGGTTTATTCAGCAGGCGGAACAAGGGGCACTCAAAAGCAAGAGCTTTTTGTTTGCTGTTCCCCAGCCTACATGCAGGGGCACACAGGTTCATCACTTAAAGCTTAACACTCATCCTAATTATTCTTAAAATTCAAAAATCCCATAGCAGGATATCAAAAACTCAATTAAGATAAAGTTAATGAGAAACGTGTATGCCTCCTAACAAACACTGATGAATACATACTACAATATGACAAAACAGATATGTATATTATATACCACATTCAGCAACTGAGACAATAATATGGACTTGCCCTACATTACCACCAAGAATATTCACAACCTACATTGAAAATTTCACTAAATTTGAGTGCTGGACACGTTATACGGTCTGCCTAGTTTTGCACTGGAAAAATCTACAATGAACACAGAAAGGGAGATTTTTGAACATTAAAATATAAAGTACTTCTCCAATTCTGACCTGAGTGTAGCAGGGCAAGTCCTAGTCAAACAGTCAGCCTCCACTGGCTAATATGTACCTCATACATATTAGAATTCAACATCAACAACTAAGACTGGAATAGTGGAACGGAATAGAGGCAAAAAATATGGACAATCAATATTTTCTAACACTAGCAGAATAGTGTTAATATTTACAAACAACAACAACAGATGTATGCCACACTTAAAATGAGAGCACGTTGTAATGCAACAGCAAGGCTGCACCTTCCAGTTATGGGGATGATCCTTGGGTGGCACACATCTACGTGTTTATGTCATTTCATTAATTAAAGGTTTATTGCTATCAATAAACATAGCTTCATATCAACTGACACACCAAAGACTTTTTAGGATATGCAAATTAAAACTATACATTTCAAACACTGGTAAACATAAAAATTCAAGGTGCAGCTGTATATACGATATCAGCACCTTGTTTTCATGTTAAAAGTGAAAAGCTCCATCATCATCTGCACTCCCAAATGCTTGCCAGGACTTACTACAGAAGCACATCTTGTATCTGGCATATCATACACTCAAAAAATATTTTCTTCTATTCTACTGCATACCCATGCTTGCTGTTACCCTTAAAGTGAGCTGCTACTGTTTAGCTTTGGTATGGGTTCCTAGATGAACTAGAATTCTTTGGTACATTCAAGGAACAATGTATAAATAATCTAAATTCACCTTGACTTACCCGAGATTCCTTCTCATCAAGGTGAACACTGTTGATGCTCAAGGATTAAGTGCACAAAAACCTGGAGCTTTTCTGATATTAGGATAGAAATTTGCTTTGAGATTACAGCAAGCATGAGGTATGATAAGCTTATTAAATCTTCTATTTCTATGTAAACTGGGTTTGTTGTGAAAGAGCAGTGTTAATAAGGTGAGATGAATTATCTTCCACCTTATTCCAACTTTGTTTTTGAAATAAGTAAGAGGTTCATAGTAAACCTTTACCCTCATTTAAAACTTGAAATGAAGCACAGAAAAATTGATACTCCAATTTTTCAATGCAAGCAGCAAATTACAAGTTTAGCCAATGAACAGGCTTTTTACTGTACCACAACACTGAAGGTTCCATATCAACATTTGTAAGTGAACAGGGACAATTGTAGCAACAATATAGAATAACAAATCAATTTCTCACCTCTGATTTGTATCCAACTAGTACACCTGCAGCAAGTAAATTTAATTTGAACCATGACAATCTTCAGTATAAAGAAAGTGTCTGCTATTTAAATTACCTCCGATTTAAACTTCTGACTTCTAATTTAAACATGTATAGCAGGTTATTTCCTTATGAAAAATTCATTATGTTGACCCTGCAAAGGTGGAAAGCTGATCTGTGGAACCAGGTGTTTTCCTAGGCAAAAACAGTTATGATGCCAGGCGTTCCATGTGTGCTGCAGGTCGGGGCTCCATCAACTTCAGTCTTGTGTCCCTGTAACATTGAAATAAAATTATTAAATAATATTAACATATTAAACTCATGAAATCCATAGCAAAACAAAATTACACAACTCATTGGCAATAAAATATTTTGCATATGCCATCACAGCTGCATGACTTGCCATTAAGAAAAATTTATCCTGCAAGTTTCCTCAAAAACTCGTGTACAGTCAACTCCCAGTGTTACATGGCGACAAGATCCCAAATGCTTTGCAGTGAAGTTACGTAATACTTTGTTATGTATCTTGTGGAAAGAAAATGTGATTTCAGGACCAATCACTTATGATATTTTACGACTTTTTGACAATCCAGTAAAGCTATTTTAATGCTTTTTTATTTGTATTAGTTATAAGCAGTTTAATCTACCCCAAAAAAGTTTAAATTATTTTGTTATGAAATTCAATATTCATGCATTTAAACAATAAGGAAACTTTTAAACAATGAATAGCACTGCTGGTACCGAAGACATGCATTATTGTCTGCATTTCTATCCTCTGTAGAAACGGTGCACATACAATCCTGCCCCCACACACCTGGGAGTTCACACCTGTGTATCACTAATTGCTCAGATAAGAAGTGCAATCACTTGGATTGCTGTATGTAAATGATTCAACTTCTAATTATTAACAGTTCAGGTATTATTTGTATGCTAAAACAGACTACAATATTAGATATGTATATTTATATATATATATTGTACACAAAAAATAGCTAGTGATTATGCAATACAGTACTACTAATACAGTACTGTACTATTGTTCTAGTACACTGTTTTCCTAGCCAACCCAAGTGCTGTGTAATTTTATTGTACCAAACAATTTCCAAAAACCCATTTTGTCACAAGTCCCTACCCCACACATTATGTACAAATTATTTTCCCATGAAACAATGCTATACAGCTGTAAACATGGAAGAAACATTAAAAAAAAGGACAACTGCATTTGGAAATCTACTGGAGCACGTTTGCAAATACTATACAGTATAAAATAATCAAATTAAGTTGTGAATATTATCAATTTAACTTATTTTCTTAACTATTTTTTTATTTGAACTTTCAAGGCAATATGCAATATTTAAGAAGCCTCCTCCCTTCATAAGTCATCACTTGACACTCCCAGACATCCTTTAGGTCACCATTACTGAACATTTGCTCTCACTTATGTCAAGTTATCAACAAACTAAATCTTAACATTTATGCTTGTCAAACAAAAAAACAAAACAAAAAGCAAATCTAGTCTCTTTCCAGCTATAAAAGAAAGATTAAAAAACTGAGTAGAAAGCATACCAAGATAAAACCAAGTTTTGTGATTCCCTTCATCTTATACTTGGACAGTGTACAAGTGAAATAAAGACTGGGGTACTTGAGACATTCTGGGCCGAGAAAGAATGGGTGATCACAAGCTGATGAGTGTATATGAAGAGGGTAAAGAAGAGCGGAATATTAGTGTTGAGTGTTTACAGTTTAAGGACAGGAATACACTGAAGAGAGGCTGCACACACACATTTGAAGGGATCTGATAGTGTACTTAGCACACGAATGTTTGGTTTTATTTAACTGAATAAATGTAGTAGGTAAAGTTCTGGTTAGTGAGATACAAATTTTAATATACAGGTAAATTTAAATTGTATATCATTGTGAGACGATTGCTAATAAGTACCTTGTTTTTGTCCTAATTCATGTGCTGATTTAATGTTATTACTGTGCAGATTGTTTGTTTAATTAATGTTTGAGCAATATATAGAGTCTTCACCTTGGTGTAGGGATGTGGCGAGGGCGTAGGGATGTGGCGACCCCATCGCCCACCACTCAGTGGGGCAAACAGCCCCGTATCCCCTGTGATAAAAGGGAAGGAGATTGGGCTGGGGACCCATCTTCTCTATCTTCTCCCCATTAAAGGCCAAAACAGCCTCGGATCTGGAGCCCGCGCCTGCCCGGGTCCCAGAAAGCAAAGGCAGGCACGTATGGCTGTGTGGAATGTGAGAGGGATAAATGAGGAACGAAGGTGGTGCAAGTGTTCAGGGATGGCAAGTTAAATGTACCTGGGTTGTGTGAACATAGAAGGCAGCAAGAGTAGTGTAGTATTAAGAAGATCAAAGGCATCAGAGAGAGAGAAGTATGTTTGTTCTATGATGAATGGTAGCATGTTGAGTGACACCATCAATGACATGGTTCAAAATGCTGTTATGCGATCTTGTGCACTCGTGATGGGGAAAAAAAACGTACATGTTCAGGGATGAACTGAAGAAGGGAAGTGATACAACGAGACTGGTATGGGTGATATGAATGATTGAGCTGGTATAGACCCCAAGTGACAAGTGTTAAAAAAAAAAAAGTGTGTTTTGAGAAGTTAAAGTGTGTAAAGAATGAAAGCTACATGCAAGACACATTAAGCCTGAGGATGCAGGAGTATACATAGTACACACTATACAACACATTACAATGAAAGAGCACTATCAAATGTCATGGTAATGTTGTGCAAGACGAGATCAGGTAATAAATGAGTGCCCCCTTCAAGGATAATGTGATACAATAAAATGAGAAATAGGCTGACCGACACAAAAGGAGAGTAGATCTCAACAATTGCAGATACAGTACTAGGTACTGGTAGATAACCTATGGAAAAGTGTACGGTGGGATGAGGATGTGGCAAGAGGAAAGTGATGCCAAAACTAAATGAATACTGTGGATACAAAGCAAGAAATAAAGTAGCAAGAAAAGAGGGCATGACGAGATTAGATATGGAAAGCGATTGAAAAATAAACAATTGCGCAATGTAAATAATTCCAGTCCTATGAACACCACTTTATTGTTTATCTTACTACTGCAGTAGAGAACAAGTAAGGGCAATTCAGAAAAATAGGAAGATTAAGGTTCTTGGGAAAGAAGTGCAAAATTGCAGCACTGCAACAGATTGTTAAACTGGGAGAAATGTAGACAACTGAAGACAAGTTGTGTAGTGCTCACTTATCACTCACTACACATTTGACAAGGTGTGCGTGATTGACAGTGCTAGCTTAAAAAAAGATAAATTACATATCAAAAGATGAAGTCAGGGAAGAGGTGTGACCTGAATGATTTAACTAATGTGGGGGGGATCAAGTCTGGAGGATACCTACAGACCCATGATTATATACACTGGAGAAAATAACTGAATGCCTGCGAAATATTTTCCATAAATATCTGGAAAATGGCATGACGTCTGATAACTGAAAAATCATGATTGTTCCCTGGTATAAAAGCATAGGTGAACATAGCTTAATATCTATATAACAATCTCGCCTGTTGTTAGGGAGAGCGTGACAAGCTAAGGTTTTCCTCTTCAGGGTATACTTGCCCATTCAACTAGAGAGAACAATAGTGCAAGAACTAGAGTACAGCCTGAATTGTGCAAAGATAAACTGGTTCTGCAGAATGTGTGCAAGTGGTCAAATAGATTAGATACAGTATTGTGCTTTTACCAAAATAATTGGAGGAGTGTGGAGCCCTGTACCATAAAGTGTACAAGGCTTACAGGGGCTTGGAAAGAGGATGTAATGAAACAAAATAGAGACTATAGAAGGTATAAATTATTAGCAGAGCAACAAACGTAATAATAAAAATTAAATTGAAGCAGCATATAAAAAATGAAGGAAGTATAGCATGTGTAGCAGTTAATGGTTTACAGAGTGACTACAAACTGATATAAATGCATTAGTTCATCAAAGCTATTCAACATGTACAGTACATGTATCGAGTAATGATGGCTCAAGTCAAGAGTATAACCATGAATGCATGCATATCAAAGATTGATTATTTCAGAGTACTGTACTCTATTAGATAAATATGATTTATATTTTAAAGTAAAAATAAATAAATATAAAAATATTGGCAATAAATTAAATTCGATAAAATTAGTGTAATAACTATTGGAATATCATTAATATGATTTACAAAAAGATTATTTTGTATAGGGAAAATTTACAGCAGAGAAAGTTGGTAAAGGAAAAAATATGATGAAATGAAAGCCATGATTACTAAGATAGAAAGAGGCAAGATAGATCATAAATCAATACTGATATAAGCTGTAAAATCCAAGCTGATGGTGAAATGCACTAGATGAGCTGGATTGGCAGAAATTTATTTAATTTAAAATAGAACTAGATAGACATGTGGCTATAGAGAAGAGGGCGAGACTGGAAAGAGAAACGAGAATCATGAAGTTGCAGGCGTATGAATGGAAACTACTGTGAAGGTGACCTTTCAGATGTCTCCCAATGATTACATGCGAACAGAAGATGTGGCAAATGTGGGACAAGGCATACAAGGTGGTGTATGGCCATGTGTATGTACACATGGTCAGGCTATATCTAAGGTAGATTTATGTCTATTAGCAGGAAGTGAACTGACTACATATTAAGAAAATTTACAACCCCAACCCTAAATACCAGAAGACCAAAGGTGGAATATTAGAAATTCAACAAAGCCTGCTAGAATGTAACTGAAAAGGCAGCTACAACAGCAAGAGGAATTGACATTGCCTGAAACCCTGTGTGTATTAGTGGCTTTAAGTATTGTATGTACTAGCTCTATCTATAAATCCAACATCATGTTTGTAACTCATCTTTTATGTATGTATTATATATATTTATCCTACTTTGTGTATTATGTATTATTTATCCTACTTTACCATAGATCTTGGTGTCATTTGCAAATTAGACGACTAATATTCTAGATTTTTCAAGTCGTGATTCATTTCCATTTAGGATCTTTTGCTTTCTTTGATCATACTACTGTCAAATTCAAGTACTGTATTGTATCATTTATTTCATGTGCTTGTAACTTCCTTGCTAGTCTTTCATATGGTACCTTATAAAAAGCTTTAGAGAAGTCTGTGTATTCTACATCTACTGGACGTTTTGTTTGAATGGCTGGTTATTGTTTCCAAAGATGTGACTTTCTGAAAAGGAGTTTCAGTGGTAGACCAGTTCATCTGCCAGGTCTTTTACGACTTTGGGTTGAATTTCATTCACACTCGAGATTTTGAATCTTTTAGTTCATCACTACTCTTCCCGATTATTTTGCATTATGGAAACACTGGGTACTGTATCCCTTAATTCATTCTCTTTACCTGTTTCAAACATTTGTTTGGGTATTGGGATGTTGTCTAGTCTAAACACTGTAGTGTGAACACTGATGTAAAGTATCCGGTGTTGGCCTGCCCTTTTATTGTAAATTATAATTTGGTCAGGCTCACCTTTTAGAGTCCTACCAAATCTTTTCACTTTGTTTTACTTCTTATATTTGAGTAGAAAGACACTGGATCTTTGTGTTTTAAACATTTTCTTTCATATTTTCTTTTTGCTAATATAATTTCCTGGGTAGCTGGATTTAATTATTTTTATGTACATTTCAGTTTGTTTTCAATTAGCACACTTTGTTTCACTTATTTACTCAAATGTTTATACTGTACAGGAATTTGAGAGTACTGTATTAAAATAGGGACATGAAGAGTACTGCAAAGAATGGCCTCAATGTTATTAAGGATCCTGACAAGGACTCTGCCACGAATGATGTGGAGAATTAAACAATCTATACTGTGCTGTATATTCCTTTCAGCCTTAATATTCCTAACAGCCTGAAACCTTTATATTTAGTAAAGTGAGGCCATAAAACGAGCTACGGTACATGAACACACGGAACTCTCTTAGATGGGATAATGCAATTGTTTATCTCCTTAACCACTGCACTGAGCCAAACAAATGTCGTTTTGAGAGTTGCGTTTTTTTTCAATTAGGCTTTATTTTAATGTTTTCATCAGTCTCTGTGGTTTGAAATGAAAATAGTCGAGTTTGGAAACATTTTGACATTAACTTTACCTGAACATTTATAAAACAACAAAAATATGTCCTTAACATATGCACTATGAAGTTTTTGCCACAAACAGGTGCGCAGTGCAGGGGTTAAACCTACCAATAATATAACTGAATTTCTGTAGTTAAGTTATGCTTGAAATACATTACATACTAGTGGGTTTATTAAATATGAATTTTATACAACTAAGCACTGTACCATGTTCTATATATTTTCATATAAAAATTATTATACAGTATAGGCAAAAACTAAATATCTGGGATGCAACTAAACGACATTAAAGGATTCAAAGATGATGCGAGTATCTGGTGTGGTCATGCTGACAATGATGAATAAGGGTGTGAGCTAACAATGACAAACAGTACATCATGATGATTAGGTGATGTACATCTTAGTGTGTGTGCGCAGAGAGAATATGCAAGGGGTACTGTAATATAAAATTAAGGGGAATGGAATGGGCAATACAATGAAAGTTCAAAGAGACAAGTCTGGCAAGTATACAGTATAGTCATCTATTCTCTCGAGAAGTTCCCTAAGGAAATGAGATGTCAAGACAAATATGGATGTTTCCTAATGCACAATGTCTTATTTCTAAAATTTTGTCAAAGAAAATTCGTCTCTGCATTATCGTACAATATATTAATGGGTTTCCGAGAATTTTTAAACCAGTATCTGTACATCAATAATGTCTAAGTACTACATAGTACAGTACATGATATTCACAAGTTTCTTCCACAGTCAGACAGCTAAAAATAACAAGGCAAGGTAATGGATAGAGGTTCCATGCCATGCTAAATTATTTCATGCAGATTCTCGCCCTTTAGACCATAAGGGAGGATGGACAAATTTAAAGTATTCAGAGTTAATAAGAATTCGCTATAGGTAAGACATACCTATTATATTAAAATAAAAATGGGAGGATATCGCTCAAGTATTGGAAAACTGCGCAGCATTGTAGATTAAAATATTCTTGATGGGCATTCACTCAGTTTTAAGTAACATTTTACAAACTTTACCCAAGGTCACTTATATACTGTTCTGAATAAAAAAAAGTGACATCGCCCATTCAGGGATTTTACTTGCACGATCTTATATTAATACCTAAAAGGTACGTACCAACCTCGCCCATTTTATTCTTGGCGTACTCGATGCGGATTCCACCCCGATCCGAGGACACCAAGACAAAGCCCTGCAGTGAGGTGAGAGCCGCAGAGGCAAACCTCACATCAGAGAACTCGACAAAGGCAACAGGGGTGCCTCCCTTAGTGTGCATGCGCAGGCGGACATAGCCAGGGAAGCTGTGGACCAAAGCAGGCGGGGTGTGAGGTAGGTGTGACCAGCCGGGGTACCGTGTCCAAGATAGAGGAGGAGGGAGCCCATAAGGTAACCCCAAGATGACAACACCTTGTGTGTCGCAAGGCATTATTAAAAAACAAAAAAGTGCATACTTAAGGAAACTACTGAAAAGTATAGGATAGAGCCATCAATGAAAGTTGGTGTTAAAATACAGGAAAAGTTTAAAACCAGGAACACTGGGAAGATAAAGTTTTGTGCTGCCCAACATCCATAAAAAAAATGTCACCTTAAAGAAATTAAATAATGAAAATCTGTTAACAAATGAGATGGAAATATGATACTTTTGTTTATTTGGACGACGAGGTGTTTTGTGTACGTACTGTATCAATATATAAAAATATGTGAGAAACTGAATGGGGTGAGGGGGGGGGGCAAAGACAGACAGGCATCTTCAAGATTTACAATTTTATCACTTTTAAAGCTCAGAAAATGCAGAAATATTGCCAATACCCATTATAAGCAATTATAAGTGGTACACTAGCTATTCAAAAAAAAAAAAAAAAAAGGTGTCTGTGCGGGATAAGTCATACTGAATACAAAACATTAAGAAATTTATTAAAATTACAGGTGCAGGCTGATGATATATGAAGCAGGTTCTGAGTATAGTAATGTATTTTGTTTTTATTGTTAAAGAACATGGTTTGCTGATTATAGGGTAGAGATGAAATTATTTGTCTAAGATTGAATGGCAGGATGTGTTAGGGACGGTGTTGAGGACAGTGGAGGGGGGGAGGGGAGGCCTGGGGATGACACAGGTGGAAACCGAGTATCCAAATGAGCCAGAGACATTAGAAGGAATTTTTTCAGTGTCAAGAGTAATTAACATTTGGAATACATTAGACAGTGATGTGGTGGAGGCTGACTCCATACTCAGTTTCAAATGTAGATATGATTGAACCCAGTAGGCTCAGGAACCTGTACACCAGTTGATTGACAGTTGAGAGGCAGGACCAACGAGCCAGAGCTCAACCCCTGCAAGTACAACTAGGCAAGTACACACACATCCCCAGGAAGCAGCCCATAGCAGCCGTCTAACAGGTACCTATTTACTACTAGGTGAACAGGGGCGTCAGGGTGAAAGTGTCTGCCCATTTGTTTAAGCCTCGGCTGGGAATCATGCACAGCCCCTTAGGACTATGACCTCCAAGTGCCATCCACACAGCTGCATGGCCTCCTTACCTGTTTGTACTCGCCTAGTTGTGCTTGCGGGGGTTGAGCTCTGCTCTTTCGGCCTACCTCTCAACTGTCAATCAACTGTTACTAATTCCCCCCTCCCCCACACCCCCCCCCCAGGAAGCAGCCCGTAATAGCTGTCTAACTCCCAGGTATCTATTTACTGCTAGGTAACAGGGGCATCAGGGTGAAAGAAACTGCCCGTTTCTCTCTGCCAGAGCCGGGAATCGAACCCGGGCCACAGGATTACGAGTCCTGTGTGCTGTCCACTCAGCTACCAGACCCTACAGTGTGTGGTGTGGTGGGGTGTGTTTGTGGTGAGGTGTGTGTGGTGGGGTGTGAGAGGGGGTGTGAGAGGGGGTGGGGTGTGAGAGGGGGTGTGAGGGGGGCTGTGTGTGTGATGGAGGGGGGGTGAGGGGGTGGTGGTGTTTGAGGGGGGTGTGTGATGGGTGTTTGGGTGGGGGTGGAGGGGAGGGTGTGATGGGTGTTTGGATGGGGGTGGGGGTGGGGGGGGGGAGGTTGCGTGCGTGAGCACGAGCATTTATCCCATATGGTCACACCACCACCAGGAAATATTAGTCAGTGGGCCAGGAACTGGTGTTCAACCAATAAAGCAGTGATACCGAAGCTACACATTGAACTACAGTATTGTCAAACTGCTCTACTGTGCACAATAATGAAATGGTATTAACCATTTGTTTTCTACTGTATTTTTTATAATCGCCAACTGTACTTCTGAATACATTTTAAAAGAAACAGTTGTCATCAAGAAAATAGGTTTCAGAGAAAGTCGACTTGAGTATTTACTATAAATATCGTACTGTATTTAGAGAAACCAAATTGATATCACAAATAATTATCATTAACTTGATTGATGACCAGATGGCTCCTGGGAGGTTATCTAAAAGGGTAACTGCAGAGACTGGCTATAAGGACAACAACGTGCCTACTCCCATAGTGCGTGACGCAAGCGTGACAGGAATAACTGCATTTACAACTTACACATGAGAGGTGAGTGTGGGGTGGGTGGGTGGGTGCAGTGTGGCAGTGCTATATTATTGGCTACTGTTCTAGGTAATAGTGGTGGGTTAATTAATCGAAGTAAAGCTGGAGTCACATTTGAGTGCTTTGCCATGCAAGTTTAAGGCAATTTTATTACAAAGATTATTATTATACTTCCTCGCCTATTACAGTGTTACAGTATCAGAAAGTTTACTTAATTCTGTTAAGCCTTTATGCAAGCATAATGAAGTCCCTGGTTAACTGACATCACCACCAATACCACGAGCACAAGTACCATTACCCAAAAATTTTTTCAAGCAAACGCCTAAGTGGTAGCTCATACCTAGAGAAGATATCCTTGAGTTCATGCTCTGCGACATTTGGGCCAAGGTTTGCGATGAAGAGTGTAGAACAGGGAGGGTTGTGGGGTGCGGCGGGATGGTGGGCAGGTGCCTGGTGGACCGAATGGGGCGAGCCAGCAGGGGAGGCCAGGGCGGGCGAAGGCATCACTACTCCTGTTGCATGGGACACCATGGGTGCGTGGGGCAGCGCTAATTGAGGCTGCAAAAGAGTACTGTAATTACACAACATTGCAGCCTATGCACAGGGTACATTCTTGTTATGCCCAAGGGAGGGGTGTATGTTGTACATGGGACACTTTATATTTTCAATAACATTTAAGGTAATAATTTGTTAGTCATTGTATTACACCACTGGAAAAATCCTCCATAAACTACTTGATTTTTACGTCAAGTATTTATAACATTAAATAGTAATTATTCATTGAGAAATTATCTAGGCAATAAATTGTTAACATCAAACTACAAACTATGTGCAAAAATAATGAAAACTACCACAAAATCCAGTGAAAAAAATCTAATGCAGAAATATGTGATTTATGGTGTTAATGTAGCAGGAGTGGAAGATGCAGTCATGTTTACTTGGCACCTGTCACAGGTGCTCTCACGGACACCTCTATGGTGCCAGGTGCCACCCGGGGTGCCATGGACAACAACCATGGCATCTACATGGCACACCTTTACTGTATAATGCTATATTATATATATTGAAGAGTGTAGAATAAGATATACTAAATATCTCAATTACTAAAACCAATCTTATGCTTAGTTTTGATAAGAGGTTTCCCTCATATCCTACTAATTAAAATTGGATATAATTTGTATGCAAACATTCTATATTAAAGTGGTTAATATAAATGTCAGAAGCAACAAAGGCTGGTCAAGAGTGACCAAGCCATATATCATGACTGCATCTTCACTCATTAACTACTGAACAAGCAAAGGACAAAGGTAACCAGTGTTGCCTGGCTTCCATATACAGTGTGGTTAAAGTGTGAGCAACACCTCTCCCAATATCTTCCTACACATTTGTTAATATCTGAAAATATTCTCATGATCGGAACATCCGATAAAGCTCCTTCAGTCATAATGTCACTTTCAATGTACCAGTCAATATCAGCATACAAGATTCACTGTATCTTGACTATACTCTTACTGGATAATCTTAAGACAATTTCAAGTTCATTTAAAATTTATATATTGTACTCATGTTTAGCAACTGAAAAAGTCAACCAATTGCTGCAGGTTTCTTAAGTCCTTAGGAATGTGTTCCTTCCAGTTGCCACTAAGGCCGCTGCAGATCGTCAGACTGAGTAAATTATATCAGATCAAGAAAGCTTTAACGCTACTATTTAATACCTGTATTCATTTTGAATATTTATCAATAACTGCATTTTTCAGACCAGCTGTTCCTTTGTTTTTCACATAACTTTACGAGATTTAAAAGTACACTACTTTACAGTATCAAGTGCTTTTACCATTTATTTTTACAAGATTGTAATAATTATTTACCGAATTACAAAAAAAAAAAAAAAAAAAAATACCGAACTTCCCCGAATTAGTTTTTTCAATCTTAATAATTTGGACCAGGGAGAGGCTTTAAATAAAGAATATGGACAGCAATAAACAAAAATAACAAGGACAGAGCAGAAATAATACAAGTGAGTAATGGCGTGTAGTCCTAATGGTGCTTCAACACAAAATTTGCAGGTTAGAATTGACTGTATTAGCATTCAAATGTTGCATCACACTGTGTTTGTGCTCATCTACAGCTAGTGATGACTGTGTATGGACTCCTGGTCTTGGCTCAGGAGAGAGATCAGACCGTGTATGGTGGGGTATGCAGGTACAGTACTGTATGGTGGGGTATGCAGGTACAGTACTGTATGGTGGGGTATGCAGGTACAGTACTGTATGGTGGGGTATGCAGGTACAGTACTGTATGGTGGGGTATGCAGGTACAGTACTGTATGGTGGGGTATGCAGGTACAGTACTGTATGGTGGGGTATGCAGGTACAGTACTGTATGGTGGGGTATGCAGGTACAGTACTGTATGGTGGGGTATGCAGGTACAGTACTGTATGGTGGGGTATGCAGGTACAGTACTGTATGGTGGGGTATGCAGGTACAGTACTGTATGGTGGGGTATGCAGGTACAGTACTGTATGGTGGGGTATGCAGGTACAGTACTGTATGGTGGGGTATGCAGGTACAGTACTGTATGGTGGGGTATGCAGGTACAGTACTGTTTGGTGGGGTATGCAGGTACAGTACTGTATGGTGGTGTATGAAGGTACAGTACTGTATGGTGGTCCAGCACGGTCTGCCACAAAATGTATGAAGGGCGATGACTTAAAGAGTAGCAACCATAAAGCATGAATATGAAGAGTTGGGAACAAAGTTTAACACGACAGCTACACCAACACACACATACATCCATTAAGTAAACAAATATGACAAAAAAACGGTAAAAACCCCAACCATGATGAGCTGTGTGTGACGCAAGTAATTCATTACCATGGTAGTCAACTGATACAACAATGGAGTGACAATTTGGCACTCTTATAAATCACGGCCCTGTCAAATTTATGTTAAATGTTACAAATAACAATGGAAAAGGATTACACTGCATACTCAAGTTGGAAGTTAATGGAGAAGAACTTTAGGAAGATTCAAGACTGATGCCTAGGGAGCCAACACAACCGAGCACCAACCAACCCTGGATATTCATAGCAGTCACACCTTGGTATAGTAAATGTGGGAGTGTTGGTATGGAGGTGGTTGTGGTGTTGGGGGGTGGTGGTGGTAGTGGTGGTGTTAGGGTGGTGGTGGTGTTGGAAGGATGCACGGTAAGTGGTCACTTTATGTAAGAGAGCAGATGCCTGACATGTCAGTCATAGTACTAAGCCTGACACAGGTGTTAAGGAGAGGGTACACATGACACACACAAGTCTAAGGCACATCAGCTGCAAATATAGGCCCATTTGGTGTTTAATGTTCCACTATAATCTATAAATCTGACACTGAATAAATAATGTTTTCAGCATCAGAGTAGCTAATAAATGGAATGCATTAGGAAGTGATGTGGTGGAGGCTGACTCCATACACAGCTTTAAGTGTAGATATGATAGAGCCCAGTAGGCTCAGGAACCTGTACATTAGTTTATTGACGGTTGAGAGGCGGGACCAAAGAGCCAGAGCTCAACCCCCGCAAGCACAATTAGGCAAGTACACACACATCAAATGTTCACCACTCGCCCCCCCCCCCCCCCCCAGACAAATTTTATTGACCTTTAATGCCCATAAAAGAGACTCTAAAATTAGCTATTAATCTGAAATTTGCAGGTCAGAGTTCAAACACCTGATAGTCCAGGTGAAATGCAATTCATCCGTAATAATGTAAA